GGTTGATATGCTAAAACAAAAATGGTGATAATGGTGGTATTATTAAAGTACAAAGTTACCAAGTTGAATGGTGAAACTTTTGAAATTGATACTAAGCACACAATGTCAAAAGATCAAGTTGATTTTTTCAAAGCTGGTTCTGCAATTAATCATATTGGTAACTTACGTCGTGCTGAAGCTGCCAGAAAGCAATAGTTTATTAAAAATAGTTAGAGAAAAGGTGTATATATAGTTATAAAAGCCTATGCTGCATTAATCTGTAATATCTACCTTTTTTAGGTCTATGTTATACCAAGCTTTCATATTTACTTTTTTTTTTTTTTTAGTTTGATGTATTTGATGAACTTGGATGAGGAATACAATTACGCACGAACCGCTTGGATTGTAGGCTTCTCGCTATGTTGGAATTCAGGCTTCCTTATAATATCATGTGATTCAGCTTTCATTATTTTCAATATACACAAAATCAGCAAATACCTCAACATCGATTCAAGTTAAATGCGGCCAACTAAATTTATTACATTTTGAATTACATTATTCTGTAAAAATATCTCACAGCCTCTCTTTTGTTCTCTTCTAGTAAACATGATATTCCTTCAAGCCACAGGCCAGTTATTTAAAGACCATGGTCAATAGAAAAAATTCAATTAGTTCGAGAGGACGTTCAATCAATTTTTGACACATAAAATGGATTCGCGGACATACAAGGAAATCAAGTAATCAGATGTTAAAGAATTCACAGATCAATTTATTCAATCATGGAATCCTTGTGACTCTTATACAGAAATATCTTTTCTTGTAATTACCTATTTTATATATTAATCATACAAATTATTACCCTAGACACCTTAATAAAACACTCAATATAAAAAGCTAGAACTAAACATACAACTAAAAAAAATTAGCTTTAAAACGAATAAAAACAAACAACAACAACAAAGAATTACACAAACAAAAGCACTGGTTATTTAATGTCCTTGAAACCTTATGGTTTAATCTGTTTACTCAAAACCCAATATCTATCATCATGTTTCAAATTGGCTTGGTGAACTCTCCAAAATTCTAATAAAATGAACTCCTGTAATGGTAAAATTGGGGAAACATTATCATTTAATGAGCTTCCTGAATTGAAACTGAAAATTGAATTTCTTTTGGATTTTTTGGTTGGACCCATATTATCATAACCAACTTGTAAATACTCCATATTTGAAACAATCTTGGAGATTTTCAAAAATTTGTCAATATTAATAATTTTGGATCTTAAAAATGAATTGGAATTTCTGAAATCTCTATTACCTTCATCAATAAAAGTTAAATCTTGTAAAAATAAATTGATATAAGGAACTAATGGAATTGGTGATTTGGTTTCATTTTCGTCCAATATCTTGGAAATTTTATATCTATAGCCCTTGTAGTTATTATCTGGATGAATAATCTTCATCAAGTCTTTGAACAAATTTTTATATTTATCTGGTAATCCAATCCAAATTTCATCCAATCTTGACAAGATATGGTTTTGTAAACTAATGATAATAGCAGCTAATGAGTTGAAATTCTTCAAATAATAAGAAGATAATGCAACATTTAACCAGTTTTTAAATCTCAAAATACGCTTCTTCATTGGCAATTCTGGTAATAAAATAGAGTCTAAAACATATTCACTCAACAAATTAGTAAATAATAACGATCTTGAAACATTTGGTGATAAGTTCAGCTTTGATTTCTTTGAGGCAAAATTACCACTCAATAATTCTTCAGACTTCATAGATAAGAATATTCTTGATTCAATCAATGTCAATTGTTTAGCAAATTCAAATGAATTCAACTCAACAAGATTATAATCAATACCAATAACTTGTGAAAAGGGTGTTTGGCATGAAGTATACCATTTATCAAATAATGAGTTCACATCAATAGGATAATAATGTGTATAGTCATTATGTTCCCATAAAGTTGTCCCCAAGAATCTTCTATATTGTAGAACCAAGTTTTCAATTTCATGGATTTGGGATTTGCTCAACAATGAATTGTTATTGAAATTGATGCTTGGTAATGGTAACAGCATTGAATTTCTGTTTGAAGTATTCATCTTGGCCAATTCATACTCTTCAAAAATATAGTCATCATTATCTAATTCATCATTAATGGAAACAATTGATGGAACTGAACTTGAACTGGAAATGATTGAAGAATGTCTTGAAAGTGTCATTTGTCTTTTAACTAGTTGGATACTACCATTTGCAATGGTTGCAGAGCTGGAAGAGTGTGCCAAAATTGGTGTGATGGTTGTAACTGTTGGTGAAGCCTTGATTTTACTTGGAGTTAGCCCAGTTAATTTGGAGCATAATTCAATCAGTTTCTTAGATTCAATAGGTAAGAATTGTGAAACACCTTCATTGAAGAAATTGATCAAAGTTGGTAATAAGTTATAATCATTTCTATAATCCCAATAACTTTGAAGCCAAATTTGAAACATCTTGCAAATGATTCTTCTTCTATTTTTCAGTCTTGATTCATAAGAAGAATATTCGCCAGTCTCATCGTAATCATCAAAAGCATCAAACTTATTTGTAATGTTGAATCTTCCAATCAATTCTTCAATCAATTCAACACCATTAGCATATAATTTAAAGGTTAAAAAGAAACTTGAAATCAAAAATTGGTCAGGTTTGTTTAATTCATCAGTGAGCAGGAAAACCAATCCTTTGAACGAGGCACCAATTAATTTACCGTTTGAATCATAAACAATTTCTGATTTAGCATCATGTTCAATTTCAATCTCTTCATTTGATTCATTCAAATATGGTTCAAAAACTGAGTTACGGATAAATGATTTTGAATCTGGCAAAAATTCTTGCAACAAATTTGTCCCTGAACTTGTCAGTCCCATTTCATTATTCAAACCGGAACGAACCATTGAGTATCTTGATTGTCTCTTGATATTACTTCTTTTCAATTCTTTCAAATCAACTTTACTTTTATCTAAAGTCTTCAACAACCCTTCTGAACAAGTCTTTATGAAGCTATCTGGTGTTATTTTAATTGCTTGGAAATCTGGGAATCTCTTCTCTTCACCAAGTCTAAAATCACCAATCAATGTGATGTACCTATAACAATTTTCAATAGATGCAGAAATGGATCTTGTCATTCTTGAAATAATACCGATTAAATCATCACCTTCAGGACTGTAATAGTATAGCCCATCTTTAACCGTGAGATTTAAACTTCCATAATCTTCATGAATTGTCTTAGTAACAAACATTTTAACACTTGAAACCAATTCAGAAACTAATGACAACAAAGTATCCAAATTATCATCAACTTTAGTTTCAACTTTTGTACTTCTATTATTCAAAATCATAACAGAGGATTTACTAATGAATAAGATTTCTCTTAGTAATAAAATCATTTGATGAATCAAGTTCTCCAATAATTGACAGCCAGCTGGATTATGCTCAATCATATCTAATCTCCCCAATATCAACCCAATATAAGTGAATAGTAAATTGTGAATCTCATTTAGTCTTTCTTTAGCATATGGTTGTTCACCCAAATATGGAATGTTGTTTTTCTTTTCAGCTTTAGCTTTCAATTGACGTTCTTGGTTTTCCTTTTGTAATAAATCATTTTCAATCCCCCAAATCTCCAAAAATGCTAAAGACTTTCTAACAACTTGTAACACCATCAATTGCAATGTTTCAAGGTGAACAACACTTGTTGAATGTTTATATGAATCTGCCTTAATCATCAATGAATACCAATCTGCCAATAAACTTTTTCTAATTCTTCGTATGATTGGTTTCTTCTTCACTATATCAGTTGATCTTGATAAACAGTCAGTCTTCTCAAGGAGATATCTAACACCATCTCTGATATCATTAATATGATTGATTGAAAAACCAGATTTCCCATCATCTTCAGCAGGACTTCTCAAAAACTTTGCACTAGATATTAACAACAATTTCAAAGGACTCTTGGATTTAGCACTTGGTAATGGTTGATCTGATGGTTTAACCAACTCTGTAAAATAATTTATAGGGACCCAACCTCTCTTGAAATTTTTAATCATGGTAACTTCACCCCATCCGCTTGAATCCACAGAATGGACAAAAGCAACATCATTTTTTTCAAAAGATAAACAAATAGCTGAATCAGATGTGAGCTCTAGTGAATTTGCATCAAATCCATGTAGTGCACTGAGAAATAATGAAACCAAATCTTCATCTTCTGGTGTTGATGAATATCTTAAACTTTTCCTATCCTGTGGGTTTGATGAAATGGAATCGGCACCAGCAGCACTTCCTGATAGTAAATTAGCTGTATTGTGTTTTTCCTGCTTCTCCTTCTTTTCCTTCTTCAAATCATTAAGATATTCAGATTCTTTGGAATATGTTGTATCATTAAAAGAATAATTGAATGATTGATCTTGGAGTCCACTACTTGTGGGACTATCAACCGAATCATTATTTGTGGATAAAGATCTTGATTTCATGAGTGGTACAGTCTTCTTAGGAGAGGTCTTGATTGGTTTCATTTCAACCGTGTCATTAACTTGTTCAATTTGAGCATCATCAGGAATATAAGTACTTGATATTTCACCTTGAGCTTTCAGGGAGCTGACATCTGACGTCTCTAGTTGTGAGCGAGGTTCCAATACAGGTGTGACATTGTAACTGATGCTATGATGATGTGGATGAAAGATAGTTTTAGATGGTAACTTTGGTGTTTCATTAGTTGGTGGTTCATTAATTAAAGGTAGAGCTTGAGATTGTGTGAAACCATGTTCATCAACTCTTGGAGTTGGATCATCATTATACTGTGGTTCATTAATTATTGGAGTTGGTTCTTCATGAGGACGACCAAAGGTGTATTCATCAACTTTTGGTGTTGGGTCATCATTATAATAGTGGCTTGATGTATTTGAAGCTTCATTAGACCAGCTGCGATGAACTTCATTAGGATTGTTAATCGATAAATCTCCGATTCCCAGACCTAAGGCACCACTTTGGTTTTTAGTTATAGTTTCATTACTTTCTTGGTTATATCTATCCAGGAATTGAGATGATGAGGATGATGATGAATTGGGAAGTTGATAATCCATAGCAGTTTGGTATGAGCTTATCGAATGATCACTAACGGTGTTCTCAGTTAGGTGTGAGCTTATTGATTGTTCAGAATATAGTCTTGGTGAATCAGCACTCAATGAATTAAAAGTTTCTTTGGATTTGAATTTCAAAGGTTTAGTTGGTGAAATGTCCTTATGAGGATCACCATTCTGAGCTATGTGAGGAGTCTTGAGCTGGCTCAATTGGAGTAGCTCATCCTGCTGATGATCTACCATTCTTTGATTGATCTGATATAATAGGAATCTGAACTGAGAGTTATTGATAGATTGATAGATTGTCCTTTTCTTTCAAAATTCTGAGAATAATTAAACCCAGTCAACCTTGGGACAAAAAGATTATGATCTACCTTGTGCAACCAATTCAGCTAACAACCAAAAAACACTGAATTCCCAGTGCAAAACCACAGAACAAACAAAGCACAACAATGCCTATAAAATAAAACAACAGACACAAGCAAGTCAATCTGCTAACAACGTACAATTTAATCTCAAACGCACAGAAAGTCGCGCTTTTTCCCAATTTCATTTTTTCCATCACGAAAAAAAATTGTGTCCGTGCGAAATTAAAAAAAAAAAAAAAATATTACGCGTTTGGGAAATTTTATAAATGTTATGCCATATATTTTATTCATAAATACTTCTTCGTCTCTTGGTCTCATGAATCAATGTCCTTCATTATCTGTAATCCCATCAAACGTTCCTCGTAAAGCTTGGCCAGTTGGTTCACCTTCTTTTGTCCCTCGATGGAGCTATAACCGTCACTAAATTTACTGACCACTTTACTCTGTTTCTTTCTATTGATCATTGGACCGTTTGTAGATTTGTTTAACGATGAAGTGACATCAGCTAGTACTTTCAACTCATTTCCTGAGGTTGTCTTTGTAGTCTCGATCGGTTCAGTTTCAATGATGATGTTTTCATCAGATGAAGAACTAAATTCACTTGAAATTGAAATCATTGATGAAGTGGATGCATGTCTTTTAGGGTTTGGGGTGTCTGGTAGGGCTTTTGGCTCAGTTCTTTGAATAGATGGAACCCTTTTATGGAAAGAAACTTTACGTGGAGCTGGTGTTTGTGGTACTGGTTTGGAACTTGAAGTAATATCTCTTACTATTGAATCCCAGTTGTCCAATAAGTTCTTGATGAATCTTTGTCCTATTGCAATTCTGTCATTATTTTTCAATGAAACTTTTTCTTGAGATAATGTTGGCGTGATTGATTTTGATAATGTTTTAATATCATGCTTAGTTTTAGTTGAGTTTCTTAAAAATGTGCATAATATTTCAAAAAATTTGTAAATGATATCGAATTGATTATTAGCACGGATGATTTTTTGGAATGTACTTAAAGTGTATTGATAATCATCTGATATTGGTAATTGGATTGAATCAATAGGTATCAAAGTTGGAATTTCGTTTCTTAATATTGATAAATATAAGGATCCCATGACATAAATATCCCATTGTGAAACATCAAGATAATTCCCACGATCAATTGCTTCATTCAAAATAGATAGTTTCTTTTGGTTCCCAGGCTTTGTGAAGACAAGTTCAAACTCTGCTCCCTCTAGTAATAATCTTGTTGTTATTCTTTCAAAAATTTGTTCTTTATATTTCCTATAATCTGATGAATTGTGCTTAGTTGTATATGGGATAATTAATCTATCCTCAAGCTGTGAATCATACAAGTAAACGTCTAAACTTATTCTGATCTTGGTTATATCTATGTGTCTTGATAACTCTGTTAAATTGTTGCAATAAATTAATCTATCATATTTCTCACCATTGATTGAGTTAGTCTTGAAGAATCCGATACGTAACACATTTTGTAAGACTTGAATCATTGATCTAACAAGCCATGATTCATGGACAATGTAAGCTTTTTTCAAATGAGATCTAAGTTCATCTGGTAACAATTGATAACATTTCAGACAAGTAATCCAAGAATTATTGGTATGGTTAAAATTTTTAAATCCTGAAGTGAAACATGTAAGCACATATGGATGTTTTGGGATTCTAGTTATTATTCTTTTGAAAGCCTTAACTATTAGTTGTTCAAATGTTTTCCGATCAAGGTTTGCATCTTCAAAGTTTGGTAAATAGTTGGAATCAAATACATATACCGGTAGATTTGTGAATGGGTCTATGGTGTCCGTTTTGAAAAAAGCCTTTTCAGCATGGAATTCTATTCTCATGTTGACATTAAAGTTGATCTGAGCTTGAAATGAACACCTCAACGGAAAATGTAAACAATGAAACGCGTAAAAGAGTGAAGTATGAGAAAGAGCAAATGAGCGAAAATAGCTGTCACAATGATTGGATTTCAAAGATAGTGTAATTCAGTCTTTTATAATCCCCAATTGATTGAATTTCAAGAAAGGAACGTCTCAAGTTACCGATTGAAACCAAAAAATTGATATATTTGTTTTGATTTTTCAGCTCCTTCCAAAAAAAAACAAGAGGCCGGAATATCAATATAATATTCAATTTCCGAGGGCAAAGATGATGAGTTGCGCCAATTTGGAATTAATTGTTAGGGAAAAATGAGTTAAAATAGATAGAATTTATATTAAAATAATCAGTAAACTCTTCTCTTCCTAATGGTATACTTTATAAGGCATTTTTGTTTTTAACCAGCTTGCGCTGATCGCCATAAGAAATTGAAACTAAAATTAAAATTTAGACGTTACCAAAATCTGAAAATATTACGAAAAATTTAAAAAAATTTTAAAGCAAACTAAAAACAGATTAATACTGTTAAATAAAGTCAGGAGATTAAGAATATATAATTTTTATGCAAAAATAAGGCCTCTAGGGGTGAAAAAATTAGCAAAAATTGGCAAAAAAATAGAACTCCTCATGGGGGGCTCGAACCCCCGACATTTCGGTTAACTTCCGCTAAGAAATGGTTTTTTCCCTAGTTTGACTGTAAAAGCCGAACGCTCTACCAACTGAGCTAACAAGGACGAGTTCTGAAGGCGAAAATCCGTTGGATTGATAATATATAACGCTAGCAAACGTGGAAAACCACCCAAAATTTTGAGATAATAGCTTGAAAAACACATAAATCCAAGATCCAAGAGAGCAGTCATCTAACGTGCTATTTTATGCAAAAATTCAAGCCTTTTTGGCGAAGATATTCACATTTGAAGTTGAGTCAAATTTTGACATCTTTTGACGCGAAATTGATCAACAATTTCAAAAAAAAACCAAAACGTCAACATCAACATTCAACCTCGAGATTCAATCAAGGGAATTGGTTTCTTAATTGGTTTTTTATTCAAGATGTCCAAGCCCTCAAAGGATAATCAAGATACGGAAAAGCTTCTTTCCAAGTCAGCAAAAGGTGTGACGTTCTTACTTTTCGGGCAGGTTTTCACAAAATTTAGTACCTTTATTTTGAATCAAATCTTGATTAGTTATATATCCCCAAAGATCTTTGGTATAAATGCCTTTTTGGAATTTCTGATCAGCACAATTTTATTCTTCAGTAGAGAAGGTATAAGGCTTTCATCTCAGCGGATTAATGATACAATTGGTGATGATGAGAAATCATCTGAAGATGAAAAAAAATTGGATAAATATGATCATAATAGAGTATTTCATGGCTCAAAATTAGCAATATTACAAAGTATCATCAATATTTCCTATGTTCCTTTAATGATCGGTGTTCCATTATCCACAATTGTCATATATTGGCAATATAGCAAAATCTCTGATTTTTTCACTCATATGCAATTATTTAATGTTTCTTTAACCGTTATCTGGATTGCAATCTTGACTGAATTGATTTCAGAACCTTTTTATATTTTGAATCAATTCAATTTAAATTATGATACAAGAACCCGTTATGAAAGTGCAGCTATAACTGCAAATTGTTTTGTTAATTTTGGTATTATATTTTGGTTTAAAGATAAGACTTCCATTGATGGATTACCAATATTTGCATTCTCAATTGGTAAATTGGCACATTCCCTAGTTTTGTTATTGTTATACTACATTGATTTTAGAAAATATAGAAAAGAAACATCAAGTGGGAAAAGATTAAATTTAACATTGACCAGAATCTATTCAAGTAATACTAATTATTATTATTTTGATCATGATGCCATGAATCATTTTTACAAAATTTTCTTCCAATTATGCTTCAAACATTTATTAACCGAAGGTGATAAATTAATAATTAATTCATTATGCACGATTGAAGAACAAGGTATTTATTCATTAATTTCAAATTATGGTTCATTATTGGCAAGATTAGTGTTTGCACCAATTGAGGAAAGTTTGAGAAATTTTTTAACAAGATTATTATTGGGTAATAGATCAATCAAAAACTTAAATTTATCAATTGATATCTTGAGGAAAATCATTGCATTTTATATTTATCTTTCCATCATTATAACAATTTTTGGTCCTTTAAATTCAGGTTATTTAATTCAAAAAATCATTGGTAATAATTGGTCAAATCATGTTTCCAACACAATCCCATTATATACCCTATACTTACCATTATTAGCATTCAATGGTATTTTGGAATCAGTGCATCAATCAACTGCATCAGGTAACGAAGTTGTTACATATACCTATTATATGGTTGTCTTTTCAGTTATTTTCATGATTACCTCATATATTGGTATTGATAAATTCCAATTATCATTACACGGTTTAATTTTATCGAATATGTTTAATATGTTGTTGAGAATCATATATTGTTATGGATTTATCAAACATTTTTATCAAAAAAATTTAATTACGTCAAGCATTTGGAAATTTGATAATAATCTGAAATCAATATTGGCACTAAGTGTGGTTATTTGGATCATTGATCTTTCACTATTTGGTTATACTCGTAATATTAAGGAACTTGCTGGTAATACAGTTCTTGCAATGATTTTGGTCGGGTTCATCTTGTACAAAGAGAAGGATTTGGTTTTATCAATCATCAAAAGGAAACCATTAGTAGAATAAGCATTGTGTAATAATATATTTATGGAAACACCACGTCATTGTTTGGACCATAAACCGTACTACAAAACAGTAGAACCCCTAAAAAAAAACTATTCATCAAATTTATGCAACGTTATATATTTTCCACATCAATCGTCATGATAGCCACTACTCACAAAGACGTGTTTTAAATAAGTACTCCATAGCTCATCTAACTTTGAAGTCTCATCTTTCTTTTTCCCATCAATTTTCTCATTACTCTTCTTTTTTAAAGGTTTACCAAATTTTCTAGCCAATTTCAAGAAATCTTTAACCAATAACGACTTCATATTATAAGGTTCTTCATCTGACTTATATTCAACATTATAGTTAAATGGTTCATTTCCTTCATTCACTGATGATAAATTAACAAAATATTGAACAAATTTAGTTGGTGAAAATGTTTGTGGCGTGTAGGCTGGACCTAGAGGTTGTGACTCTGGCATTTTTGGTGGTAATGAATCATCCTTCTTCTTCTTTTTCTTTTTACCCTTCTTCTTTTTCTTTCTTTCAATTGAGATATCATTCTCCTCTTCATCAAAATCTTCATAATCGTCATCATTATCAAATGAAAAAGCATCTAAAGAATCTTCAATCTTTATTCTTTGATCCAATTCTGCTAAAAACTGTGTCCATGGTTTTTGAACAAGTTTATAGTTTTCTTCAATATCCGTGATATTATACTCCCAAACTCTTAGGCCAGGATTAAAAGTTGGAATAACACTAGCTGCAACGTTAACAATTGAATAACGTTCAGAATCTTTACCTTGATTCTTTGGTTTTTTGACATCTGCATAAAATGTCTTTCTAACAGTCTCCATATAGTCTTCTTTCCCCGAAGGTGCACCACCCATTAAATGAGCATCTAATGCAGCCATTGCACCGTCAACTTCTGAATCTGACTGATCAAAGTCGAAAGCTGCATATTGAGCTTCAAGACTCATATCAAATTCATCATCATGGTTATATTTGAATTCATTAGACCTTATTGATGCTTGATCAATCGAATCATAAGCCTTTTCAGAATCAACTGGCACAAAATGATCAAGATTCATATGACCATAAACACCACCAATAATTATATCACGATATTCATGTAACCAAACTGCATATTTTCTGAAACAAGAGATGTCATAATTTTTAGGGACAGGTGGGACATGCCCACTTAGCCAAACCTTCATATTACGTTTTCTCAATTCTTCCAATACAACACCTAACCATTGAAATAATTTATAACCTGGTTGTTTACGATTATCACAATTATCCACTAATGGGTTAGCCTTGAATAAATATAGTGTGTTTATGGATAGCACTGCTAATTGATTTGGAATCACTTCACTGAAAAAATAAGCACCTCTTTCGAAAATATGTAATTGTTCTTGTGGTATAAAATTTTGCCATATGTTCCATAATTCTCTAGTTTGTAAAGTTGGACCTGGTGAAAATAAATTATGAGGATACACGTCATTATTACCCAGACTTGGAATCACAGGAACATCAAATTCTCTTGGATCTAATGAGTTTTGTGAACCAAATAGATTTATAAATTCATTTGCAACTTTTTCATTCATATCAAAGATTTGTAATTCAGTTCTTGGTATTCTTCTATCTGCATCATGTCTAATATTATCACCTGTCCATATAACGAAATCTATCTTGTCTCTCAAGTTTTCTTTAATCCATCTAAAAGTTTCATTCATTAAAATAGTTGGAGAATCACAACCTAATAGGGCATCACCATATTTCGATGCAACTTGTTGTGATTTCTTCTTCTTCTTCCCTCTATGACAAGCTTCTTCGATTAAAGAACCCTCTTTATAATATTCATCTGGATGGATATCCGTTATATGTAAAAATCTTCCATGAATTGTCTTTTTTTTCAACCCATTGAAATTATCATCAAGGGATTCAATAATGATTGGTTTTGTTGGTGTTAACCCTAATTTCAAATATTCTTCTTCATTAATCTCCTTATGGGACACTGAAAAAGGTGTTATATCATCTTGTATTGAATTGACTTCATTATTTTGCTTTGTAAACCAATTGTAATTGTTTAAAGGTGATAGGGTCCCAGTTGTTGATATAATGAGGAGCCCAACCAGCACCAAAGCTCCCAAATAAATCCTGCTTTTTGGTCGGCTTTTCTTGAGTCCATCCTTCTCGAGATCAAATTTCTCCCTGGGTATAGACATACTGAATGAATAAGCTTATGGATGGGGCTAGACGATATCAATTCGATGCTTTAATACCGATAACCACTATAATTCAAACATGATGTCTGTTATAAATTTGGCCCACGAATATTGGTAGGGTTACCCTCGAAATGGAGCAAGAGGTCGTATTTCTGTTTTGGGATAATAGGTGGTAAGTGACACACCATAGTTAAGCTCATACACGTTAGGTTAAACCAGTGTCATTTGAATAGTATTAATTACTTGGTAATCTGATGGAGATATGATGGAGAGTTCTATCAATGAACGAGTCAACTTTGAAGTACTGCTACGACTGCTTGCTTTATCATTGACTGGAGGCCCTTTTGCTCTCCTTCACGTAGCCCATAATATTTCCCTAATGGGAATTAAACCTTGATCCATGATGAGACAGCATTTACAAGATTAAATTAATTACTGGCATTGGTACAACTCCTTCTTTTCGAAATTACAATTATAATGATTTATGCTAGACAGATAAATGATCTAAAAAGGATACAGCTTGTTGTTAAACGCTCCTCGTCGCGATGAATTTGGAAGGTTGATGTAGGGAGACGCACCAAACACGCTCTTTTGGGTTCACGTTAATTAAAGGCAGATCTTGTAATTATTTTAATTCACCATCGCGTAGAAAAGATGCGTTTAAGCCCTTGAAATGCGCCTTTGACTCTTGAGACTCCCAAAGCAGTAGCGAGATCAGGCTTAAAGGGGAGGAGAGACAATGGTGTATGCCATGGTACCAATTTCGATTGAAGATGTTATAGGTTGGATCGTGATTCGTGAGTCAAAGGGAATGTGACTACGTGACTAGGTACAACTGAATTGACCAGTAAACCAGACAAATACAATCAGTAACCACAACCATAACATTCAACCAATCTCAATCACCATAATCGAATCTTAACAGTGTTTTCACTACTATTTTCTTCGAATTCTCTGCCCACTGCGTTCCTTAAACCAGATCTCGCATCTGCCGAAAAAAAATTAAAATTCTCGAGAAGCGAAAAGTAAACAAAAACACGATCAATTCGAAGCGCGACTTGAAGATTTCAGTACGCGAATTATGGGCCATCAGCTAGCTGTAGCCAATTTAACTCCTTCTTGCAAATGTAAACAACCTTTTCTGCGTGTAAATTAACTACATGGCCATTCTGTAAAATATAAAACATCCTCAAATCCTTCTTTTCCTTCAAAGCTTCACATCCACAAAACAAAGAGAGAAAGAGAGATACCTCATTTCACACACTTGCACACATTCCCTTCTGTACATTCTGCTTTAATACCCAGTCCTTTCATTTGATTACATTCACTTCCAAGTCTATTGCTTATTTATTTCATTTCAAATCTTTTTGGCTAGCTTTCAATTATGTCTATTACAATGTCAAGACCAAATTTACCTTCAATTTCACATTCAGCTCCTCAGCTACCAAGAGTTATCACAACATCAACTGGTCCAAGTGATATTAGATCTTTACCACCATTATCAGCTTTATTGAATGGTCCAAGTGAACCACAACCAGAACAACAACAAAGACCAACTATCTCAACTAGTCCAGCACCACATTCAGCTCCAGTTTCTCCAATTAGACAAGGCTCAACTGATTTATTTTCCCATAAAGTGACACCTACTTCAGCTTCTGCAACTACTTCATCACATCCTTTACCAACAGTGACAACACCTGTTAGATTACCATCATTTGATTCAATCAAGTTTGATAACCATCCACCAAAACAACCTATCTTACAACATTCAAAATCTTTTAGTGTTGTTCCTCAAATTCCAACACCAACTTCTCAACCACAACAATTATTACCAACTACAGGTCATCAAAACTTGGTTTCACCTTTAGTTGAAAAAAGATCATATGCTTTCATTTCACATTCACCTTCAACTTTCCCATTACAAGAACCATCAATTGATAATGCTCAATTGGCACGTCGTAAAAGAAGAAGAACTTCTCCATTAGAATTATCAATCTTGCAAGCTGAATTTGAAAAAGGTCAAACACCAAATAGAACGCGTCGTTTGGATATTGCTAAAAGGGTAAACATGACTGAAAAGGCTATTCAAATCTGGTTTCAAAACAGAAGACAAACTTTAAGACGTCAATCTAATGCTGAAAGGGAAATTCATCATATTGAACCAATTTATCATCCACATCAATATAGTTCATCAACTCCAGTTAGACAACCACATATGATTTATACAACACCAACTGTTGTTCCAGCTCATCAACAACAACAAGTTCAATTCCCACAAACACATTCATCTTCTTCACCTGTTAAAATTGAAACCACCTTACCTTCAAACCCACCATCTGCATCTTCACAAGCTTCTTCGCCAACATCAACACATCATAGTTCACCAATCCATCAACAAGCACAATTCCCTATCCCACCACCACAACAACCAATTCAAGTTCCTGTTCAACCAACAGCTCCAGTCTTGGTGACACCAGCACGCACACCTAAACCATCATCAATCCCAGCATCAAAATCACCAATTGGCGGTTCAACATTAACATTCAGATTGAAGAATAAACAACCACCAACAATCATTCAATCAGACTACCAATCAACATCAACAATGACACCAGTGTCACATTCATCAAGAACTAGACAAAAACCAGTCATGAAAGTGAATCCTACACCATCAAAATCATCACCTGTTAAAACTATTGAAAAGGAAAATGTGTCACCAAATAGTTCACCATTGAAAAAACAACAATTGGAAAATGGTAAAGAACGTATTGTTTTGAAAGAGTTGAGTTTTAATCCAAAGGGTAAACCAAATAAAAAAGATGATGAAGATCAATGTGTGGCGAATTTATTGAATTTGAGAAATTGGAAATGATGAGTATATGAGCTGTTAAAGAATTTTTAGGGACAAGAACGGGTTTTTATATATGGAGTTTTATATTGTTTATATTTAATGATTTTTAATGATTGATTAAGTGTAGTTTATATGAGGCGGCAAGCGTTGATGTTTATTAATTGTGAGCTCAATATGATATAGTTATGAAGTAAGTCATGATAATAAATAACAGAACGTCAACAACTCGAAGAAACGCGTTATTCAATAAAGAAATCTTAACAGCCACAAATATACATATTCAATACAATTCACCACTCTACAACCATTCAATTCCCTTTTTAATGAATTAATATTATTCAAAAATATACAATAAAAACCAAATAATGAAAATAACTAACCATGAATAAAATTTTCATCATCTATTTTTTACCAGCAACAACTGATTTACCACGACGACCAGTAGTTTTAGTATGTTGACCTCTAACACGTAAACCCCAGAAATGACGGATACCACGGTGAGCTCTGATTTTCTTTAATCTTTCTAAATCATCACGTAATTTAGATTCCATATTGTTAGCTAAAACATGGTAATCTTTACCATCAACAATATCTTTTTGTCTGTTTAAGAACCAAGCTGGAATTTTATATTGGGTTGGGTTTTGTAAAATAGTAACAACACGTTCTAATTCTTCTTGGGTTAATTCACCAGCACGTTTTTTTAAATCAACATCAGCTTTTTTACAAACCAAGTTGGCATAACGACGACCAACACCTCTAATGGTGGTTAAAGCATATTGAATTTTAATTCTACCATCAACGTTGGTGTTTAACAAACTAGAGAATTGTTAGTAATGGGTCTTATAAAAACATGTAAGAGATGAAGGGAGAGTGTATATATGATGTTTGTAAAGTCTTTGATGTTTTTCAATCTTGATTCTATGACTAGGGCTCTTGTAGTGTAATTCTCATAATCTTTTCAAATAACGTATTCAATCATTATGGGACTCGAATTTCTTCTCGATGAATATATGATCACTTTATTCATTCCATTTAATCATTCTCTTCATATCTGCTTTGTCTTTCAATATATAGTTGATCTCTTTTTCACCTTGACTTAAAAATTCACACAAACATCATTATACCCCCTTTTCATTCATCTCTTTATATTCTCATCATGGACATACCGTAAAATGTGTTGGAAACTACCTTGTTCTTGAACAACTAAAGACATTTTGGATAATTACTGCTCTGTTAGTATTAAGTCTTCTCTCAACTTTGATTGATGTTATGTTCAAGATAATGATTTTTTTTCACTAGCTTGAGAGTCTGGATGGTGTGTCCCTGTGCAACTTTTTTTTTGCCAGCATCTTTGGGAGTTTTTCGCGAAGAGAGAGTAGGAAAAAAACTTTTCTGAATTGTCCGAATTGGGAAATTGTCTGTAATTGGATATAAATCCAAACACCATTTGTCCTGTGACAGGGAGTGAAGTGGCTAAACCACGTCATGTGAAATATTCGGAAGTCACATGATTTAGATAGGGCTTCCAGAACTGCCAATCTTGATGGTTGATACGAGATATACTTTATCTTTTGAAAGGAACATTGAATAGTTACATTGTAAGATAAGCCAGAAGCTAAACTTGTTTGACAGATTCATTAAAATCAACGATTAGTGGAATCCCAACAGTTGTACGTCTATGATAATCTACATTCATTCATAATAAAGTTCATTCTATTACTCCCTCTCCTTTGGCATATATACAATTCATTAATGTTAATTACAAGTTGTGATGGGGAAACTCTCAAGTCTAAGCCTCTCAATTTTCACCATATATATCTTGGAAATATTGTAAAGATTTCAATTCAATGAAGATTTTATCAGCTTTTAATAAATCTTTAACTTTAACACCTTCTTTTTCTGCAACATCAATTTTTTTAGAATTAAATTCAGTTGCTTTTAATAAATTTTCTTTCAATCCATTAGTTATAAATAATAATTTTTTATTACTAATTTCAAATTTTCTTAAAAACATCTTTATTGCAATATCATCATTTGTTGGTAAATCTAATTCATCATCTTTAATCAAGAAAATCTTCCCATTTCTATAAGCATCACTTAGGGCAATTCTTACAGCCTTATTATAAACTTTTGTTGGCAATTCAGTTTGATGGAAATTTGGTGCATTTCTAGCTAATGCAACACCACCATCATGTCTTGTTGGAGAACCTCTATCACCAACACGGGCATTACCTGTACCTTTTTGTGGTGCCAATTTTTTATTAGAATAACCCATTTGATTACGAGCTTTTGGATTAGATGAACCAACACGAGCATTGTCCGCATCAAAGATAACGGCCTTCCATAATAAATCACGGCGGATTGGTGTATTTAATAATGATGATGGGATTGGTTGGAAAGTTGTTGGTTTTAAAGATGGGAATGAACGAAGGGAACTTAGTACATATTTTGGTGGTTCTTAAAAATTGTTAATAAATGATATGTGGTTTGTTCTATTAGATTAGACTTACCTTGTGCATGTTCTTTAATTGTATTTGTTGCAACTGTTGCAAGTTTTGCAATTTGTTGTTTCTGGGAGAAGGTGTTAATAGGTGCTCTAAAGATGATTTATGGGTGAGATACATACTATTGGATTCATCAGTATGCTATTTTGTTTGACAAACATGGTTCTGATGGTTGTTTATATCAGATAAATGTTGATTAATGTGTTGATCCCATATTAATGTTCAGTTTTTTTTCTTTGAAAAATTCTTGAACTTTGTATTTGTTGCAAAACACATTCGCGAAGGGGATAAGCAAAAGTGTATAAAGGTGTCAAATTAAAACATAGAGTTCAGATTGAGAGAATAAGTGAATATTGTGGGTTAGAGATGCGATGTGATCAGCGTCAGGGTATCTTAAGTGGCTGTTGAGAAATATAATACGAATGTTAATCAATGAGAACATTAATCATTCCAGAGATCGTTTACCCCAGAATTAATTTAGACAGTACCTAACTTTCTTTCTAATAGCCATGTTAAAATATATTAAATCTTCTGTATATAATTAGTTAAACCTTGTTATAAAAATCAAACATCTCAAGTCATAAAAACACTTCATAATAATAATATCAATAATAAACTCTAATACCATATAACCATAATAAATATACACCACATCTCAAATATTAAACTTGGACCCCTTTTAACTTTTTTTAATCATCCATCATGAAACCCTCAGCTCATAATAATTAAACGTCTATACCTTTTTGTTTGTTCTTCAATAATTGTATAATTGTACATCTCTAGTCAAGTCCCAAATTTTTGTAAAACCTTTTTTTTTGAATCTCTATAATTCTTTAACATTAATTCGTTTTCATAAATAAATAAACCATTCACTCGACTCAAACCCCATCTTTAATCAATTCCAAATACTTTGATCAGGGGAACTAAACTGTCTAGGAATAAACATATTTGAATCACCAGTACTAGCCTCATCTTTGTTTTCCCAAATCTCACCAAGGTTATCACCATCACCATTGTTTTGTTGACCACCATTAACATCTTTACCCACTGCACACATCCATATTCTTGTTTTATAAATCCTGAACAACTCTCTAACCAAATCTCTAAAATCAATTCTATGTAATGCATTATAATAAAAAGTTAATTTCCGACGATCCCATTGATACTCAGCATCAATTATAAACATTTTCAAACTTGATGATTCAATTTTCAAACAACATATCTTTTTAGCCTTTTCTTCATCATTCAACTTGTTTGAAATTTGATAAACTTCTGTAGGATACGCAAACCGAACAATAGGTTTTGGGAAATGTAATGTTGGGATCTGTTGAGTCCCATTGACACTTGATGGTGGTGGAGGAGATGAGGTCAATGAACCAATTGAACCAGTTGAACCAGGGTTATCAAACGATGCCAGGGCTGCTTGTTGTTCTTGATGTTGTAAATACTTCAACAATCTAGCCTCATCGATGGATACATCCAATTTAACAATTTTCCCTAAATCACGACCACGATCAGCCTCAACGACAACTAGGTCATGTAGTTTCAGTCTTAGAGGTGAAGAATCAGGTAGGTAAAAAACATCAACCCGGCCAGCTTTGAATGCAATCAGGACTAGTTGGGTAGATGGTAATGAATTCCCCGAGAATCTTGGTAATTGAGCACCCTTCTGCACCAAATTTTCCAACATAGATGTCATTTCAGAAACAGAGTAGTCTTTAATAGTGACACGGTTATATTGATCATTTGTGAAGAATGAATCAACACTCTTGTACGCCGAGATGAAACTTGGTGTGGATTCTGTAATCAAGTTGTTGGTATTGTTATTTGATGGCTCTTCAGAAATGTGATCAAATGTTGATGAAGGTGTAAAGATTGGAGAATCTAGTGAGCTTGGTGTATATGAATGACGTCTTGGAGATAATAAAAACCCAGAATCATTGCCACCATATTTTGCTTGTTGAGCAGCAGCAACAGCAGCCATTTGTTGTTGTTGTTGCCACATTGCAGAGTTTGTATAGTCATCAATCATATTGTTGTTGTTATTGTTGGACCAGATTGTATAGTTTGAGTTGAATCTGTTTTGATGATGATTATTGTTCAGATTTGGGTAATAATCATTATAGGAAGCTCTTCTTTGATATGAAGATTGTTGAGGAGGTGGCACACCATTTGAAGAGGCAGCACTGACAGATAAATGAGATGGATGTTGAGTAGCTTGAAATTGTTGTTGTTGTTGTTGTTGTTGATTCCCATTGTTATTCCAAATTGACGTGTTTAATTCAAATGGATCAGAATTTGGTTCAATGGTGTTATTATTTGGGGAAGATGAAGAATTTGGGCCATTTGAAAACAAATCTGAAGGGTTTGTGGTTGGAGATGTCATTAGAGTTGTGTTATCAAAGATGGATGATTTTCTTTGGTTGTAGTGGTTTAGTGAAGCCAATTTGGAAGAGGCGTTCGAAGTCATTATATTGTTATTGTTGTTGTTGTAAATGTCACCTTTTTTCTGGGAGGACACGGTACTATTGGGAATTATATCAGCTGTGCTGTTGCTGTTGGCTCTGTTGAAGTCTTGCTGCTGTTGTTGGTTGAAGATGTCCTGGTTGAAGTGCTGGAAGGAGAACATTGTTCTTGTTGGTTATTGTTACATGGTGCTATTGTTGATGCTGGATGGGCAGTTGCTTATATAGAGTCTTGTTCCTTTGTTAGAGCAATTCTATTAAAAGACGGTGACCCCAGAGGGGATATTGCCCTCAACGGGGACTCCGCTTAAGGGCTAGGCGGGAGAGGAGAGTCTGGGGCAGCCTGGGGGTTCTGGGTGGGCTCTGCCTAGCTGCTCTCTGCCTAAAAGCACTACTCTGCCTAGAGCTGATCTGTTCAAAGTGACACATAGCGATCGACAAGAGAAGCAAGTGACAAGTAACTAACTATTAACTAAATAATAACTATTAATTAACTAATAACTAATTACCAACTACCATGACTATCAATATCTACCCCAACAATCATCCATTCTTCACCATTTAATACCATGTCACCTCGATCGTATCATTTTCCTATTCTTCAATCTTCTGGAAAGGCATCAAATTTTAGAGGCTTGTACCAAAAATTAGCTTTAGTGTGGGGCGTACCAAATTGGATCTATTCATTACATAATATATTAGATCATCATTATGATTACATAATTACATCCCAACACCAAGCTCGTCACCTTAAAATTTTATTTCATTTAGATCAAGATAGTGATAGTATATTGGTATCTATTATCAATCACCCTCCACCGCCATGTCCAAGACAAGATACTATTTAGAACAGTCAGTTCCAGAATTAGAAGACCTTCAGAAGAAAGGTTTATTTGAAAAAAATGAAATAACAATGATTATGAGAAGAAGAACCGATTTTGAACATCGATTAAATTCAAGAGGTTCAAAATCAAGAGATTATTTAAAATATGTTGAATTTGAAATGAATTTAGAAAAACTACGTAAGAAAAGATATAATAGATTGAATTCAGTTGGATTAATCAATACAAAACCTTCTATATCAGATTGGGCCTCAGAAAGAAGAATATTATTTATATTTGATCGTTCAATTAAAAAATTCCCAAATGATTTTAAACTATGGGATAATTATTTACAATTTGCCAAGGGCCAAAAATTGTACAAGAAGATTTACAAGATTTATAATCAATTATTACAATTACATCCAACTTCAATAAAATCTTGGATTAATGCAGCAGAATTTGAATTTGAAAATATTGGTTCTGCAAAGAATGCAAGAATTTTATTTCAAAAAGGTTTAAGATTTAATAAAGATTCCAAAAAATTATGGTTAAGTTATACAATTTTTGAATTATCATATATTACGAAATTATTAAATAGAAGAAAATTATTAGGTTTAGTCACTGAAAAGCAACAATTGGAACATGAACATTCAGAATTGGTTGCACAGGATGAAGATGATGATTTGATTAAATTACCAACTGTTTCAAATGAAGAATTGAAGAGTGAATTGAACAATTTACCAGATGCTGATTTAAACATGTTGGGTAACCCTGAAACTAATCCTGCATTGAAAGGTGATGTTGCATTAACTATATTTGATGTTTGTATCAATACATTATTTGGTTTGAAAAAATCTACAATTCAATCAGAATTTGAATTTAAATATGAATTAAGTGTTGAATTCTTATCAATTTTTAAAAAATTTAAAGATTTGAATAGATTTTATCTAAGTTCACATATTATTCAATATTTATTATCACAATTCCCAAATTCAAATAAAGTAATTATTCTTGATATCGTGGCACAATTAGAATTTGAAGAAATTGGTAATGAATCATTTATAAATTCTTTACAATCTGCTACAATGAAATATTTAGCATATAAAGAAAAATTCAATAATGATAATGATAAATCAGAATTGAAAACAAGTTATTCATCATATTTATTAACAAATTTCCTACAAAGTGATGATAAAACTGATGAACAAACTAGACAAATTTTACATTCAATTATCAAAAAATTATAAAACACAATCAGTCCCTTTTTTCAATCCCCAATTCTGTAGTGAATCCAGGTTTATAACCTAAATTTTTAATCAATCTTCTATTGAAGACTCCATACATTGAAACTAAAACAACAACACCACCAATAACACCACAGATCAACCCAATAATAATAATAAACCCCGAGCTTTTATTATCAACCTTAACATCATAATGATACAATCCATCAACATGATACTCATCGATCCATTGAACATGGAACCTAATCGGCATGAAATCACCAATAATATAACGACTAACATTCCCACCAGAACTATACCCAATTGAACTTATAACCCCACCTTGCGCAGTCTTGTGTATCAAGACATTCATAGTGGTGTCGATATCCAAATGGCTTGTTTCTATTAATCCCCTGAAGTTTAAAGTAAACGGAACAAACAATTCAGAATTCAGGCCAATTGGTAAACGACATGAAAATGGGACATCTTGATGAATGTACAATTGGAACAGATGATAATTCTCATCGGTCAACTCTATTGTACAGTTCTTCACACCTGATACGTCATACTCGAGGGTGAATGGTTCGCCAGTCTCGCGACATTTGGGGAATGAGGAGTGGATTATCTCACCTTTTGCATCGAATTTATGTTCACCATTGTCTATTTGTCTTTGGATACAGGAGATTGGGATCTTTGAGTTGAGGGAGAATGGTGTTATGTGTGGTTGTTGGTTTTTGGAGGATGGTAGCTGTGGGTAGACCTCTGCGATGGCCAGGGATATGAAGAGGAAGAGTGGTGTTAGTTTCATTTTGAATATTATGGCTTAATGTTTATGGTTGATGGGTTTATTTGATGATGTGAAAAATGAATTGAAAAATGAAATCAGATTGGTTTGGGCAGGGCTGATTACGTGTGAGATTACGTGTATTAAGTTGATTAGTGGTGATTATATTGTATTATCTATTAATTGAGTATTTTAGTATTAACTATGAAACTAATTGTAATATTTATTCTATTAATTTATTATTGTACTATTTCTTTATTCTATTACTATTTCTTTATGCCATTAATTGATTTCATCATTCCATTTCGCGAACCCTTTTAAAATTCGATTTCGATTTCAATTCAATAACCGCCATAACAATAACAAATTAACAAATTAACAAATTAACAAATTAACCACAACCAATTGAATCAAAATGGCCACAGAAGTATCAACAGAAGTATCCACAACAACAGCAACCCAACCAGAAACCAAAAGAAGAAAATTCTCTTCAATCCCTCCAAGAACCATAGCCCCATTCACTGATAATCAACCACCTGTGAAATTACTATATCCTTTATCAAACTATGCCTTTGCCCCCAAGACAATCAATCAATATCAAGCCCATATAGCTAAAGAATCAGAAACAGAAGCTAATTTATTGAAGAATGGGAAAATCTATAAACAAAAAACTTTTAAATCTGATCAAATACCCAATAATAATCTATATTTCAAGAATCTTAAAAATTATAATGATCTATATGGTACAAGAAGATATTTACAATTCTTAATCCTTGTTGCTGGTGAAAAAGAACCAATCGTAATGATCTTTAAAGATAAATCTGATAAATTCTTGATCCCTGGTGGTTATTTAAATCATGATGAATCTGAAACTGATGGTGCTAAAAGAATCTTGAAAGAGTTATTTGATGATGGTGAAGACGCTGAGGAAGAGGAAATCACCATGGGGGAAACAGTGGGGAGATGGTGGAGAACCGATCTAAAACCAAACGTTTATCCATATTTACCTCGTCATGTTACAAGACCAAAAGAATTGATTAAAGTTAATTTAGTTAATTTACCAAAGAATAAAAAATTTAAATTCCCTGAATATTTCAAAAATTTCCATCCATACATCTTGGTTGATCTTTATGATTCAAGTGAACCTGAATTGAAAGCTATTCCTTCATTCTTATCAAGATTTTCATTCGGGTGTATTAATGATAAAGGTGAAATTACAAATGAAATTACTCAAGAGGAGTTTAAATATTAGATCCTCATTGCCTTGCAATATAAGCTATATAGATCACTACTCAAACAAAAAATTGCAATCTCTACCAATTTGTACACATTCATAACCAATTTTGTTGACGGAAAAATTCATAAATTCTATTAGCTTTTGTTGAATCAATCTTTAACAATTCTTTACACGTTTTTTTTTCAAAATCCCACCAGTTCTTAAACTTTCTCTAAATAGCACTTCCTTTATGGCAATATAAGGTTTTGGTAAAATTTTCAATGTTAAACATAATTCTTGTTCTTCATTACTTAACAAATTAAAATCATTTGAATGTTGAATCTCATTTATAGATAAATTTTTATTTTTCTTAATAAATGATCCATCACCATTCAATGGAGTTCTACTTCTTGATGTAGATTGATGTTGTAATGAATTCACCGTATGTCTTGAAGTTCCATTATTATTACTAGTAGAATTAGAATACCCATACCTTTGTAAATTTGCCAATCTTTGAGTCTTGTCCTTTTCATATTTTAACCCACCTTCAATCGTTGTTAATCCATTCTTTCTCCATTCTTGTAATTGTTGAATTCTTGAACGACAATACAATTCACTCAACATATCTTTGGAAAATTCTTCAAAATCTTGAGGATTCATAACACGAGCATATGCTTTCAATTTATTAAACAACTCTCTTTCTTCTTTACTTCTCTTCTTATCAATACTTGCATTTTTCCTATATTCTAATAAATTATTCTCAAATAATAATCGCTTCTTTTCAGCTCTTGAAGTTAATCTTGAATTATAAATATCCAAAATTGCCAACTTCAATTCAATATCCGTAGTTTGATCATCAGGATCGAAAATCATATCCTTAACAGTAATCTCAGCTTCATTTTCAAACTCATGTTCAAATTCCAATCTCCCAGGCATAAAACCTTGCACTTCATGACACAATGGAACACTCGCAACAGGTTTCCTTGGTGGTGGCAACGGAGCATTCCTCCGTTCATCTAATCTTCTCTTCTTCTTCTTGGACATCTCACTTGTAGAAATGTATGAAAAATCTTTATCCATCTCTGGGATTGGATACTCTTTACTCTTTAGATAAACATCTTCATAATGTTGAGAAACTTCATCCTTATTACGGCCCCCAATATGCTCACTAACATCTTGCCAATTCCCCAACCCGAGAGATTGTGAACCTTGGATCAATGCTAGTTCTTCATCAGCTCCCCAATCTTCATCAAATATTGGGAATGAATTAGTTTCAATTATTTTATAATCATGATATGGTTTATGTGTCCCAGTGTATGATCCACTCGCAAAACAGGGGACACAAAGATCGTATTCGGGACATATGGCACATGATATCCTGACACGGTTCGTACAGTCTGATGCACAAACATCACAATGGAATTTTGACATGTTGTGATTTGTGGAGGTGTATGGTTATCAAGTTGTGGTAAAAGGGTTTGTGAAGGATGGAAAAGATTGGGTTTATTTTGATGATTCTAATCAGTTGTCTGGTCCCGATGTTATTGATGATGTGTTTTATTGATTGATGATGATGATTTATTGATTTTCTTAATGTTGCATCAATGTTGATGGTTGGCCTTTTTATCGTGTACCCAATTGTTGATTTTTACACTCGTGAAGACAAAAATAAAAACCAATTCGCGGAAAACATCAGTTTACACGTGTAGAATTGGCAGTGGGAAACATGATGAGGAAGTCCACTTTAAACCGTATTTAGATCTGTTAAACTGAGATAAAAGTGCTGTCTTTTGAGTGATACTGTGTGTTGGGTGTATTTTATCTTATATTAGAGATATATGGATGGTGAAGTATTGCTTAACTGTGTTCTACTTCTTCAACTACATCATCACCTGTTAACAACTTTTAGGACCAGTGATGATTTGAAGGGTACTTAGCAATGAAAGCATCAAGAGAGTAATCAAGCTAAGTACACTTCTCATAAATCTAAATAATGTATTGTGTCAAATTCTATAAAAACAAAAACAAAATTGAAAAGCCCTGAATTCCACATCACATGACCTTTACCATTAGGGCTTCTCACACCCCAACACCATGTCTGCCCCTACCGCTAGTTTCCCACCAATTTTCGCACTCAAATTTTTGAAAATTTCCCCCCAAACAAAAAAACCAAACCAGAATCTTATCTCAGCAATTACGTAAGTTTCACTACCACTGGCTTTGGATTGTGTGAACGAAAAAACCAAAAAAAACTTGTTGAAATACTTTTCAAACAGACATTTCAATAGAACTTGATTAACAGGAACATATAGAATTATTGATTCAAAATGGTATGTGATGATCAATAAAAGATGGAAATGATGAGATTATATTTTATGAGATATGTGTTGTACTGGGTTTAAGATTGTAATGTTCAAAAAAGAGAGAGAAGAGAATTAAAGAATAATCAAATTTCGATGAGACAAGGAAATGATAGAAATGAATCAAGAAATGAAGTAAAGAATCAATATGAAAGTCATTATGAATCAGAGTGAAAAGGAAAGAAGCAAGAAAAGTCCAAGACTCTAGAAACTTATGATCCATAGTGTAGCACTTTCAAAAATATCAATCAAATCAAATCTACAAGCTCACCAAAGTTTCCATTACTAACTAATTTTAAACAGGGTAGAGTTAGAACAAAAACCGTTAAAAGAGCTTCAAAAGTTCTTATTGAACGTTATTATCCAAAATTAACTTTAGATTTTGAAACCAACAAACGTTTAGCTTCAGAAATTGCTGTTATTCCATCAAAACGTTTAAGAAATAAAATTGCTGGTTACACTACTCATTTAATGAAACGTATTCAAAAAGGTCCAGTTAGAGGTATTTCTTTCAAATTACAAGAAGAAGAACGTGAACGTAAAGATCAATATGTTCCAGAAGTTTCTGCTTTAGATTTATCAAACACTAAAAACCAATTGGAAGTTGATCAACAAACTGCTGATTTAGTCAAAACTTTAGGTTTCAAATTACCATTATCTGTTGTTTCAATCTCTTCTCAAAGAGCTCCAGAACGTCGTTTCAGAAAAAGAAACTAGATTAATATAAATAAAAGAAAATATTAGTTGGTTTTTTAGTTTTGGGGAATAAGAAGAAGTTTTGTATAATTTGAAATGATATATAATCTTTAGGAAATAAAGTTGTAGAAGTAATGATGGTTAGCAAATTGTGGATTAAATTATTTAATGAAATTTTTAATCTCTTCACCTAAAGTTTGTAATTTATTCATTTTTTCATTCAAGACTAAATCTTCATTTTCTAAAGAGTTCCCATATGTATTAATTAAACCAAAGATTAATTGAAATTTTAAATTTAACTTGTTTCTTGATTGAATAATTTTTTTAACAATTTCATATTGATAATTAATTAATTGGAAACCTTGAATTGACCAATTTTCAAAATTTTTAGAACTTGATTCAATATATTTTTGTTTAATTAATTCATCATCAATATTTGAGAAAATTTCAATTAATTTTAATCCATCAATTTCATTATTATTTTCAATTATTGATTCTTCAATTGGTTTAAAAATTGATGGTTTTTTCAAAATAACTGGTTGAGGTTTAGATTTTTTCAATGGGTTAACTGTATTAGTTGGAGTGATTTCAGTTTGATCAAAAGAACGTGCTTTTTTAGATTTGATTGGTTGATGAGATGAAGGTGTCTTGATATCATTAATCCTTTTGGAATCATTTTTCTTACTTGAAGTTGATTTAGTTGGAGTATCTTCATCATCATCAGTATTATTGATTTGTTGTTGAGGTTGAATATAGAATTTTGAAATGTTTAAATCTTCAATTGATTTTAAATTTGGTTGTTTTAAAATCTTTTCATTTGGTGTGATAGGGATCTTGTCAACATTTGAGTTATTTCCATCTTTTTTATTAGTTGGCCCAATAGATGAAGATGAAGACCCAGTTGAATTGGATTTATTGATTGTTTGAGGCTCTAATTTAATAGTGACATGCTTTTTCGGTTTTGAAACACCTTCAACTTTGACTTTTGGTTCATTAAGTGCTGATATTGATGATGATGATTTAGACGCTGTCATAATTGAGACTTGAAAGTGTGTTAGAATTGATCCAAGCGTCATGGTGGGCTATGAAATGGGTATATCTTCAGACATTTTCAGTGGATTTAATCAATTTATTCAAGAATCAAGATCTAGTATGAGTTTCGACGGTTAACTGATGTTGTTGTTGTTGTTGTTTTGAATTTAAATCAATTTTCTGAAATCAAATGTTTATCTGTCATTTTGAGACGTGTAGATTAAAACTGATAGGGCCACTTATAAGGGCACAATATTATGAGTACATACAAATACAACCACTTAAAAGCAATAAATCCTAGAAAATTGTATTAATAATTTGCTCAACAATTGTTATAACTGTTTTGGGTTGAATAGTGCAGGTTAGTTTAAAGGCTTTTTGAAAAAAATTTAAAAAATAGCTGTTTTACGATTTTGTTGACTTTGATAGTTATAAATTAACTTCAAATTTTTAGAAATTCAAATTCTGACAAATTCGATTTTTGGTTTTGACGCCTTGAAAGAGCTACAATATAATAAGCAATAGCAAATTTCACTATTTTAGTAAGTTATATGACTTTATCATTGAAATTGGTGTTCTTAAAAGTATTCTAGCTCGTGTCACGTGACTAGTATAATTTTTAACGTCTTAAAGACGGCTAGCTAATTAAAATTAAACATTTAACTATGTAGGATCAAGGCTTGTAAACACACCATAGCCCTGGCTTTAATACAAAAGCTCCACTACTTGCAGTGCCTTATAAATGTCTATTATTTGAGTTGGCTAGCCATAATTTTTGTGCCAAAGTCTAGCCCCGGCCTGCGCAAGACAAGATAACTCCGAGATTAGATTGCAGCAAATAAGATCGATGATGATGATGATTCATGAAATACAAGAGTTTAATTATCATGTGAATTTAATCAGCTGATCAAGGAGAACAAAGGAGGGATAAGTATGAGTTCTTAATATGGTGTGTAGTACAGTAGTCGAATTTGAGGTCATAAGATTATTAGGTATCCAGACATAGAGAGGCCCTTGAATGGTGCAACTCTGGAGGTATTCCTTAGCTTCCGATAGCACAAGTCTTGATTAAACGAGAAGGGGGTACCTAATCATGAATCATTATGAATACTACTTACTACCTACTACTCAGTAATCAAATCACAAAACAACCACAATACCTCTTGTTCACACTGTGGCTATCATTATTATTGCTCCGTAGTCTAAACACTGTTCAGCACAACATTGGAGATCACATTAAACCACCTCAACACAATCTAAATTTCAATTGTCATCAATTAGAGTTTCACCTATACTAAAAAAATTCATGCCCACTTTATTTCTGAAAAATGGGCGCAATAATTTAATTTCTGTCTTTTCTGACAGAAATTTATTTGGAATTTCTGCAGCAAGCGAAAAACGGTACCTCAGACGCTACCAGTATAAAATGATCTGGAAAGTCCAATATTCAGTTTTTTAGCAAGTAACAATCATCAATATCTTGTTGTAAATAATACACCCACCAATCCATAATGAATACTATATATATGGTCCATCCAAACAACCACTTGACAAAATTGGATAAATTCACTATTCCAAATTTGGAATCATACAAAACAGCCCTTGATTCACAAATAAATAAATTGACAAATTATAATTCCAAAACATCTGTTGAAGATCGATTATTAAATTATAAACAAGTTGAAAAAAACTATATTGGTGCTTATTTGAATATCTTGAAACTGTTGGAAGGTGTAGAGAACTGTTGTACTACTGATGGATGTTATGATTATGAACAAGAGGACAATATCTTGAACAGTATAGAGATTGAAATGATTGAGTTTAAGAAGAATGAGTTGAAGTTGAAGGAGTTGAAAAGTAATGCAACAGATGTTGTGGAACCTAGAAGGGAGAGTATTATCAAGGTGGAGGAAGATATGGTTGAAAATGTTGAAACTCATAATGTTGAAGAAGAAACTAAATCATAAACACAACTACGACAAGCTGGTTTTGTCTGTCTTTCTTAATTCTCTTTATAAAATATCTTTTTAAATAAATTTGATACTATGTAGATGTGATTGTCTATCTACTACCACTTAACTGTTCAGTACCAACATAAGTCCAACCACCAAATTGTCTTTGAACACTATCACTTAAATAATCATTTAAAACACTATCAACAGGTTTTTCATCTGTAAATTCTTTATCAAAATTTGAAGTATCAATATTATCTTTAACTGGAGGTTTAAAAGGTGGTAGATAATTTTTATCATATAATTTTTTCCAATCAATTTGTTTGAAAAAAGCATGATTTTTAATTTCTTGAGATCCATTACAACCTAATCTTTTAGTTGGATCTCTATTTAATAAATGAATTAATAAATCTTTACAATCTTTATCAAAATTATCTGGGAATTTCAATGGACTTGTTAAAATTTTACGATACATTGTTGATGTATCTTGATCATAATATGGGGGTAAACCTGTCAACATTTCATATAATAAAGTTCCTAAGGTCCACCAATCAACTGTCTTGGTATAACCTTGTCCTAATAATAATTCTGGTGCTAAATATTCTGGTGTACCACAAAATGTACTTGTTTTATCTTCATTCTTCATATTTAATTTACATAACCCAAAATCACATAATGCAATATGTCCTTTATAATCCAACAAGATATTTTCAGGTTTTAAATCCCTATAAATAATATCAAATGAATGTAAACATTCTAATGCACTTAATAATTCACATGTATAGAATCTTGCTCTTGATAATTCAAATTTTCCCTCTTTTTGTAAATGATAAAATAATTCACCTCCATTAATGAAATTTAAAACAAAATATAATTTTTCAGGACTTTGGAAACTAAATTTTAATGGAACAATAAATGGATTATCAATCTTGGCCAACACTGTACGTTCAGCTAATGTATGTGTGACTTCAGATTTTGAAACAATATGAGATTTTCTAATTGCTTTCAATGCATAAATTTTACCAGAATCTTTTTTACGAACTTGCATAACTTTACCAAATGAACCTTTCCCTATAACTTTTAATAAATCAAAATCATCAATAGTTAGGTGTTTGTTTTCATTTGGTTTGAAATCTATTGAGATTATTAAATCTCCATTAGTTTTCACATCATCTTGTTGATATTCATTATCAAATGTTAAACGTTCATGATTTTTAAAACGGATTGGATTTTTAATATTATTATCAATTTTTAAATTTATCTTTTTAGAACCGATTAAAATATCTTCATCATTAATATTACTTAGAATCTTGGGGATTTTAAGGAAAACTTGAATTTTCAATTCATTTTGAATCTTGGTAACATCAAAATTTGAAACTTTATTGAAAAAAGGATGAGAAATTGTACCATTTTCAGGTTCAATAGGTATAATAGTTTTATCAAATTCTAAAGTTAGATAAATCAATGGATTTTTCAAAATTGACGGTGGGATATTTATAATGGCTGGTAATAAATCACTTGAATTTGAAGGATGAATAGTTTCATCACCGTCATCATTAACATTCAGTTGGTTTAATCTATTGATTAAATGTTCATCACCATTAATCAATCTTGTCAAGATGGATTTATCATTCTTAATATCGAAGGGGATTTTAAAATTTGAACCATTATAAATCTTAAGAGTCAAAAGACCAGGTTTGAAGAAATTGTTGTTATCAGGTATTTCAGCCTGTTGTTGTTGTTGTGATTGATTAGATGAATTGATAGTATGTGAGCTTGAGTTTGATGAATGTGTTAGATGGTCTTGCTTTTCCACTTTTAAATGTTGGTTTGCAGTTTCTGGGGTCATTGTACTTCTCCTATCTATATCAGCATCAGAGATATTTGTTGTATCAGTTGAGGGCCTTGGAGTGCTGTCACTATCATGGCCTGTCTCTTTGGTTGAGCTGGCTGGGGACTTTGATTTTGAAGAGAAGTCCTTCAGCTTCTTTGTGAGTTTCCATGAGGACATCATGGTTGGTGATGATGGTGTTGAAGATGATGGCGTTGATGGTTATAGATCAGAAATATCTCTTTTTCAACGGTTGGGATTAGTCAGGATGAGCTGGTTGTGATCTGTTGAGGCTGTGGCAATGAGTGTGAAGGCGTTTGTTGTTGTTGATGTTGATGTTGATGAAGTTGGGCGTCTGTTGATGAATTGATTTGAAATGATTAAAGGGAGTGAGAGGAATTAGGAGGCTGTGAGCACTTTGGTTACCGGATCGGGAAGTCAACACTATAAAACTGGTTAAGTCATAGAAAGCAAGGCTAAAGCACATTTATATTAACTATAACTACAATATCTTATTAGAATAATCATAATTTATTCTATTTAATTCACATACACTCTATAACTAATATCAATACCATTCTTACATAATCACACACACAAACATTACCTAATCGCTCTGTTTACTTTTTCAACCGCGTCTGTTTTGAAAACGAGGAATGCGCTCCTTCGCCAACAACAACAACAACAAGCTCAGTTCAACGGGTCCAAACACAAGAATTTAGCACACTTACTTTGTACCATTCATTACATCAATACATCAATCAACAACTAACCAACTAATCATTCACTCACTATTCTGTTGATCAACCATTATTTCATTTCATTCATTCATTCGCTTCATCTTTATTTACATCATATTTTCCATTTACACTGATAGACTTCATAACTTCATCTCATTCATGACTCCAGAGTATGCCCTCGTCATATAATAACAACTCAACAAGCTTTGCTAAGCATGCTGCTAGAACAGCTTTGGCAAACAACAACAACATTACAAATCTACCCCCAGCAAATGCAAAACATCTTCCAAAACCACCAACTCATCAACCTCAACAACAAGATACTGAAATAGACAAAATAGTGGAATCTGTAACAAATGCTACAAAACGTCTATCTCAAATATCAACAAATACAAATAGTTCAAAAAGAAAATCTAAAAATCATGTTGGTCCTTGGAAATTAGGTAGAACTTTAGGTAGAGGTTCAACTGGTCGTGTTAGATTGGCTAAACATTCAGAAACTGGTCAATTGGCGGCCGTTAAAATTGTTCCAAAGTCTAAATTTCAAAAAAATGAAAATGGTCAAGAATCAAATACTGGTGCTTCACCTTATGGTATTGAAAGGGAAATCATTATAATGAAGTTAATTTCTCATGAAAATGTTATGGGGTTATATGATGTTTGGGAAAATAAAGGTGAATTATATCTAGTCTTGGAATATGTTGAAGGTGGTGAATTATTTGATTATTTGATTAAAAAAGGTAGATTACAAGAAAAAGAAGCTATTCATTATTTCCAACAAATTATTAATGGTGTTAGTTATTGTCATCAATTTAACATTTGTCATAGAGACTTAAAACCTGAAAATTTACTACTGGATAAAAACTTAAATATCAAGATTGCAGATTTTGGTATGGCTGCATTGGAAATTAATTCAAAATTATTAGAAACAAGTTGTGGTTCTCCTCATTATGCTTCACCAGAAATCGTTACAGGTAAAAATTATCATGGTTCTCCAAGTGATGTTTGGTCTTGTGGTATTATTTTATTTGCTCTATTAACTGGTCATTTACCATTTGATGATGAAAATATTAGAAAATTGTTGATTAAAGTACAAACTGGGAAATTTATTATGCCAAATTATCTAAGTAAAGATGCTAAAGATTTGATTTGGAAAATGTTGAAAGTTAATCCAATGGAGAGAATTAAGATTCAAGATATTTTAAAACATCCATTATTGACTAAATATAACGAATCAACATCTTCAAATAAATCTGAATCATTAAATGATTATTATTCCAAAATTGATCATATGAAATTATCAAGAGATGATATAGATAATGATATCTTGAAAAGTTTATCAATCTTGTTCCATGGTGCTACCCAGGCTACTTTAATACCAAAACTCTTGGATACAAATTCAAATCCTGAGAAAATTTTCTATTATTTATTAAACAGTTATAAACAAAAGCATCAATTGAAACAAGATAAAGCTGAAATTGCTTATCAAAATTCTAAAAAGAAAATTGGTAATGGTGATGGTTTATTGAAAAAATCAAAAAGTTTGATCAAGACAACTATAACTAATCAAGATGGTTCCACCACAATTAATTATGCTGAACAAATTGTGGAAAAACCTATAAAGACAATCACTCCTTCAATTTCCACAACTTCTAAGAAAAGAAAATCAAAGAATCCAAATGGTCAAATTGAAATCCCAGTTTCCACTTCTCATCGTCGTGGTGTTTCCTTCAATAATCAAAAGGAATCAAACATGTCAAGATCTTCTTCTAAAAAATCATTCACTAGTATTAATGAAAAATTGAAGAAAAACATTAGTTTATTACCACCATTACCAGATTTAGGTATAGATTGGTTAGAACTTGATAACAAGACAACTTCAAAAGAATTGGCAACTCTATGTGAAGAAATTTTCAATTTTGATGGTCATACTACTTCAACTTCATTGATTCCACCAACTCCAAAATCAAAAGTTAGAGCAAAACAAATTTCTCCACCTAAAAGAATTTCTCCAAGAAAACAACCATTCATAACATCATCTCCTTTGAGACAACAAACCACTTCACCTGTTAAACCATCTCCATTGAAACAGACTTCTCCAACAAGGATAAAACAAGAAGAGGAAAAAATTCATATCCCTCGTCAATTGGGTAATTTTGAAATTAATAATAAAAGATTTTCATCAGAACCTGTTTCATCAAAACCAAAAACTTCTACATTGGATCCAAAATATAAAAAAAGAGGTATAAGTAATGATAATGCTCAAGTATTGAGTAAAATTGGTGTTAATTTAGAAAGAAGAAAAAGTTCAAAGATTTTTTATTCAAAAAGTTCAACTTCTGTTAATTTAGCTGCTATTTTGAAAAAAGAAGAATCAAGAAATTTACCACCTCCATTACCTACTGAACTTCGTAAATCTTCTTCAAATTATGATGATTCAGAAATTGATTATGATTATGATGAAGATGATTCTTTCAATACAACTACACATCATCCTATACAACATGGCTATGAACATGATGTTTCATTTGATTTTGAAGTGCCAACCAAGACTGAAATTGCAACAGCTATACATTTTTCAAATGGCTCAAATGTTACTTTCCAAAATAAGAATCCAAGTAATAAGTTTTTGAAAGATGAAAGTATATTTGAAGACGTTGCAACTTTACAGAATGAAAATTTCTTGAGATTATCAAGTTCAAGATCTTCAATGATTAAACATCATAAAAGAGCAACATCAAATGGTAATCATATTGTTTCACCATCTATGGATATCAGAGGAAGTTTATACAACAATCCAAGTGATTTAGCAAAAGATGATATTCCTCATCCAATGGTTAAAATCCCAACTTTTACCAAGAAACAATCAATTTTGGAGGAAAATGATGAAACTAAAAGTACAATCTTGGATAATTCTTTATTTGCTGATAATACAATTGATGATATTGATTTAGGTACACATAAAAGAATCACCACAATATTTGATGATAATGATGATGGTGATTATGAAGGCATTGAGCAAGAAAGAACAACACCCGTCAAGGTTTCACCATTCAATGAACCAACAAGACGTCCTTCACAATTGAAAAGATCTCCATTAAGATCAATCAATGATGCTAAATTGAGATCAAGTATTGTCACACCAAAAGTTGAAGAAAATATAATAGATCTAAACCCACAAAGAGTTGCACCAAGTGCGCCAAATGAATCTGCTCCAAAGAAGATTAATTGGTTTAGTAAAATTTTTGCCAATTTGATCAATTCATCAAATACCAATTCCAATAAACCAAAAATTAACAAACATGTTAAAACGTTCCATTCAAATATTCCAATGATGGAGATTCATAAGGCTATTAAATTGATTTTACAAATAAGGGTGAAAGAAGGTACATTATCGTTGATTAAAGAAACTTCAAATTCAATAATTGCTAAAGTTCCATCACAATCATTATCAAAACCTTTGAAGTTTGAGATTAAGTTCCATTATAACGATTCAAATAATATAGAATTGATTAAATTGAATGGTCCTGTTAGAGTTTTCAAAAAATTGATTAATGCTCTTCAATTTGTTATTGAAAGTGAAGAACAAAGATATTTGGAAGATCATAGAAAGAGTAGAGTTGAACAACATCAAGTTGAAATACCTGTTTGAGGGAGAAGTGGTGATTATTTAAAGTTATGAGTTTTTTATTTTGTATATTATAGACATTTTGTATATTAGGGCCTTAGAAGCATGTACAGCAGCTCCAAAAGAAGTGAGGATAGTTATAAATTAATTTGAATAATAAACAGCTTGTAGATGCATTGTAATTTGATCAAGTTTTTAAGAGACATTGTGAAACAATAATCAGCTGTCTCTTGATAAATATCTCATCGTTAGGACCTTTATGCGAATAGTTTGGAATTCAAGTGTTTGGCTAAAGTAGCCCAAACTAAGAAGAGTGGATAGTGGATCGCATACTGACTGTTAGTGATGGTTCAGCATTGATAGTAGCTAAGTGCTAGACATTAGTGTAGGCTCGTACAATATAAGCGATCGTACTATTGGTTGTTAACAAGTAACGATTTGATCTAATAGCTTTCGAAGTACTGACATACATATGGAGTTCATAGAAGTCATAGACCGTCCATTGGATAAGCGTCGACACATAAAATAATGTTCTATCAAGATCGAATCCAACATATCAATGGAACCACAAGGAACAATAAGCTAGGTTCACATGTGATATGTATCGCTAATATGTAACAATATTATTCAACAACCAAGTCACTTTCAAAACTAATAGCTAGCCAGAGAGCTCTCTTGGACAAACAGCTAGTCGATTGTGCTACAGCTTACCTTGTGGTAGTTGAAGGCTCAGTACTTCAAGAGTACCTGAACTGTTTGAATTATGTACAATAACATGAGCTTTGGATCTTCAATTTTGACAGGAATAATAAGCGGCCTTTAGTTTCAAGGGTCAAAGTGCTCTATCGCTAAAAGGCAAGTCACCTACCGTACCGTTTTCAAAAGTTACAAGTTACAAGTTGCCTACGTCTGAAATTTCCATATATATGTATGTAATTAAAAGCATCATTCTTACAATCTTGAACTTTTCGACCAAAGGAACCTCTGCTTTCTCTAGAGTCAACTTTCAATAGTCGAAACGTTGTACTTGAAGTGTACTGTGAAGGTTCTGTAACTTCTTCGATACAACCTGTCAAAACTCAGATGTGTTCTTTTTGGGAAATAATAGGCTCGTATTAACTTTGAAGCTCCAGGAATTTCAACAGAGTTGCTTAAAGTTTAGTACAAATCTGGATGTTTTAGCCGTTCTTCTTGTACTTTCCCGTCATTTGTCGGTATTTTTGCGCAAACACTGGGCCGAGTTACCCATATAGTAACTTGTAACTGCATGGAATTTCCTGAAAGAGTCTGTTTTGCGCAAAAGATTTGTGCAATTAACGCAAAACGCACTTTTCAGACAAAAAGGAAGTTGATGGAAAACGGTTAATTTGCATGATTGAAGGGCGTGTTCTGGGATCGCAAGTTCTGGGAACTTTTTTCAAAAACCTAGAACTTGCGAAATTGGAAGTTCTAGGTTTTTGCTCAGATTGGAAAAAAAAATGACAAGACTGGACACTGTCAAACAACGAAAAACTACTTTTGGCTGAAAGTCAACTATATAGTAAATGGATATCTAAATAATACATATACCAATTTTTAGGTGCTACTGTCTAACAAAGTTTGTAGTTATCGCCAGAACTTTTGAAAAGTTCTGGCTTTTCCGAACAAAATCCACCACGAATGCGATCTGGGACCTTGCGCTTGGAACTTTTGTCACAAAAAAGTGTCGGTTTCGAGATTTTCTAGGTTTCTTACCGCTTTAGGTAAAAACTTTTGGGAACTTTTTTCAGAACTTTTGGTCCCAGAACACGCCCGAATACATATTCTGCTAGGAAGAGTAACGAGTTCTACGTGCAATAATGGAGCTCAGTATTAGCTTCTTCTTTGCTACTATAGGGCTTAACGCTGGTTGACACGACCGAAAGGCCTTCCTTCTGGCTACACCAGTCGCCTTATACTGATGCCAGATGTGTAAGTAACTTATAATCGACTGTATAGTTGGTGTGAGTGTATATGTAACCCCATCCACTGTGAAGAACAACCATCTTGGCTTGTTGTTGCACTCTGAAATACTATTGTGGGTTCATATATTTCTTTTTATAAAGACTTTCTCGAATCTTAGATTCAAAAATCGCGTATATCTCCAAGGAACAGTATTAATAGGCGCCACTAACTAGTCAAACCATGACATCTCAGTTATTGAGGTTAGTCGACACGACAGTTTAGTTCTTTACGCCGAAAGAAAGAACTAAGATAGCTTATATGAATCATAGAGATTCACGTTGGTGATGCCATCACTATTTAAGTACGCCATTAAATGTTATCTAACACCATACAAGCTGGACATTGAAAACACACAAGTTGTTTGCTGCCCAGAGTAAAGTATGGTGTCCAGTGTTCAACAAATCTCATTTGTTGAATTTATGACTTGATTTGTAGCCCGTAGACTGCAGCATAAAGCCTTTTAAAAGGAATTAAAACATTTAGTCCTGTGCTTTGTTCCTAAAGGTTGTAGTTTCGAACAACTTTATGAAAGCTTTCAGTGTCAAATCAACCTCCAAAAGTGCTTTTTTTTTCACTCGCTCTAGTTTTGCGCAAAAACCGTTAGAGAATTGCAGGAATCGGATACGCATGAATCTGCAGGTTTTTTTCTTCTTCCTTGATGCAAAAGTGTAAAGCCAGAGAGCTCAGTACAAACTTCAAAGTTGTGTACTGATGAGCTGATACTTGGTTGCTCTTCACCAAGAAGCCTTTTGGCAAATAAAATAACCAGTCTGAGTGTTGTATGCGTATGTTTGTGACTTTCTATCGTTGTAATAAAGCGTAGTGAGGCTCATCATGTCTCTTTCTCTTGGAGCTTGTCGAAAAATTTGAGTACGTTCTGCACTTGCTGTGAGAATGTTGCATCAGAAAACATTTGTTCAAAAACTAGCAAGACCTGGTTCAGTTCTAAATTCCTTAACTTCGACCTCATATAAAAGTGAAGAGATTTGGCATATTTTATAGTTTGAGCTGTGTACATACTTTTTACTACTCATCACCTGTTAACTTTGATCAAACAAGACCAACAAGCAACACTACAACTTTAAAGACAGCCTTGAAAAGAAGTTTGCCCTGACAAGAAGTCCAAGAAACTGTGTTAAACTTTAGAGTTCACCCAAATTTTAATTACAACTTTGGTCAAAGGCCTACCAAAAGATCAATATCAGCATCCAAAAAGGCATATATAGAGATTTCAAAGCCCTCAAACCAACTACAGATCTATCCTTTCAACAGAAGTACAGCCAAACCATAAGAGAATGTTGAACTCTGCTGAAACTATCAAGATTTGTGTCTTGGGTGATGACGGTGTTGGGAAATCATCCATAACGTTGCAATATACCCAATCTCATTTCCCGATAGATTTTGATCCAACTATCGAAGATACTTACAATAGAGATTTGAGAATCAACCATAAGGATTACAGACTACACATTTTAGATACTGCTGCTCAAGATGATTATTCACATTTGAAAGATCTCCAACTTCAACAAGCTGATGGGTTTATTTTAGTTTTTGGACTCAATTCTCTTGAAAGTATGGGATCAGCTGCAAATAGTTATAGACATATCATAAGAGTTCATGGTGAATTACCACCTAGTATTCTTATTGGTAATAAAGCTGATCTAGATAATGAAAGACTAATCAGTTCAGAAGAAGCAGAACAACTCGTTGAAGAGTTAGAATTGAATAAATATTTTGAAGTTAGTGCTAAAATCAATCACAACATCAAAGAAGCATTCCAATACTTGGCTGAGACAATCATAAATGAAAGAGAAGAGAAAAAAAGAATGTTACTACTGAAGGAAAAGGAAACACCAAAAATTGAAGTTACTGATGGCTCAAATGATACCCTTGCTACAACATCAGCTTCACCTCATTCAAGTGAAGAAAGCGTTCCAACTATGAAGCAAAAACAAACCTTCACCCTTGGTTCCTCCGTGGAGGAAATCCCAAGTGTTGGTGATGCTAAGGAATCTATAACACATGTTAGTTCAGTTAGACAAAGATCTTCTCAAAATGTCCAGAGAGTTAATGAAAAGCCTTCACAAAAAGATGGTGGTGGATGTTGTATCATCATGTGAAAAGGTTCAACTTTGAATCATTTATTAGAACTATTTATTTTAAAGCATATTGAAGCTGTTTGATCATTCAGTTTTTGAATTTATTTTTTTGCATATTTGAATTGTTGTTTGTTGCATAGAAGAGGATAAGAACCCTAAATTTCTAGGGTATTGTATTCATATTATTTTTATTTTGGGCGTTGATTTGATTTTCGTAATATTGAATAATATAGTGATGACTTAAGTTTATAATATTTTTAATTGTACATATTATTGTGGAGGATAACAAAGACACGTAGAAATACAATGTATAATCCATAAGAACGGAATTCATTAATTATCTAACTTAAAAATCAACCCTATTTAATATAACCCTAACCTTACTCTCAAACCAACCTTCTAGTCCATCCCGTGGTAGTAATTTTCCTGTTTTTTGAACTTCAAACAGACATTTGTCAATTTTTATGAATTCGATATGTTCATTCTGCTCACTTATTGCAACAGCAACATGCTGTACCCTAAACCAATCATCCAATACTCCATCATGAACAACCTGCAGACCCATATGTGGAGCACCACCTGCCCCAGAACCAAACAATTCAAAATACTTCAACTTTTTCAACATAGATGCCAACAACGGCCCACATGGCTGTAGAGAATACCCATGTAATCTAAGTGACTCCAACTCAGTTAATCCACCGAGCTCTAACAAGCATTCTGTAAAGATTAGCTTGTGTAAATCACAGAACACCGAATCTTCCTTTGTGTCCAAGGAAAGCTTTTTAAGCGTCTTACTGTGCTTCAAAATTGCCTTGATATACATAAAGCACAAGTGCTTCCATGATTGAATTGAGCATAGTTTGGTTACATTCCAACGAATAGTAATATCAAGCTCTTGCAAGTTCTCCAAATTGTAAATGAATGCTGGAACAGTGTCTCTTAAACTTTCTCTATAGTCAATTGAAAGCCTCGTCAAGTTTTTCAAATTTTTACCCAAATGCTTCAAAAACCCAGCATCTAACCTTGCATACAAATCATTCATTGATAAAGGGGAGTGTACATCTTCTGGTAGTTGAACCTCAGTAATATTCTTAAGCTCCAATTGCTTCAAATTTTCCAAATTCATTACACTATCCAATCTTCTGGCGTCCATAGTAGAGACAACAATAGAGTCAAGAGACAAAACATTCAAATCTTCAAGTCTAGTTTCAGCAGCACTGAATAAAATGAAAAGATTCAAAATACAATTCATATCGTATTCTGAGAGCTTTATTGGTTCATTTTCAATAATATAACTTGTCAACACCAGCAATGAACTTGATGGATTTTTGATGAAATTATGATTTGAGTTTACCCTTGCAAGCCTTAGTACCTTGAGATTTAGCTTGTCATTGTTTCCTTCTAAAAGATTCTTGAAGATTTGAAAAAGGTTGAAAGAATTTAAAAATGGCTCTAATGATAACTTTTCAAGATTGTTGAACCCCCTAAATGCTTCAAATTCAGTCGAGCCAGCTCTGACTTTTTTGAAATCAACACTAACATGCAATGAATTCAAATTGGACTTATTTGGAAGTCTATTCACAATCTCAAATGATAATTCTTCATCAGAACTCCAGTAAAATCTACTCAATCTTTCAAGTCTCTTGACAGACATAAATGTGAAGAAATTCAAGTCAAAAGGGGAATTGAATCCGTCAGGAAGTTCAACAAACTGAATCTTATTGATAAGTGATCCATAATGTGAGTTATAGTACCCGATTTTACACATTTCTATTGGCATCTCTTGACTAATGATTTTCAAAAAATTCTTTAGACTGTACTTCATCTTTATAAATGTGCTTGAATTAACACTTTGATCATGCTCTTGGAGTTCAGCTTGATATATTTCTTGGTTGAATTGAGAATAGCAAGGATCTATGACAATAGTATGATACAATCTCACAACAGCTGGCTGAAAAAATGACTTACTGACTTTCATGAGATTAAGAGCATCATATTGGTTTAATTCATTAGCAATCTTGAGCTTTATTTCAAATGGGAGTCTATCAAAAAATGAAAGTGGTTCCAGGCTTTCAATAGAATTGTTCCTTACCGAGCTGTATTGGTTATAGGTGCCTATTGATGGATGGTAGTTATAATCTTTATCCCCAAACGTATCTGAATTGATACTAGATGACACAAAGGGCAAAATTGAGGAAATGGAGTCCTTATCTATCAAGCTTCTTTGGTTATCAGGTGTTTGACTATTCGAATAAAATGGCACACCCGCATGTCCAATCGGAATGTTCACTTTGTATAATGGAGCCATCTTGTATCATAGTATCAGAGGTCGAGTGACTTTGTTTTAAAAGTGTGTGCCATAAATCTTGTAACTTTGTAAAGTTGACGTTATCAGATAAAACCCAAATTTGGTAGTTCCGGTAAAAGACCCTCGGAAAGATCACATGACATAGATTACATAATATTCGCGAATTATCAAAACGGTAAAACGTAAACAAAAACATTTGGAAAAAGAATTTGTTTACATGTTTGGATTTTATGTACATGGAACAGGCTCTCGAAGCTCAAAACAAAAACAAAAACAAAAAGCTTTAGTGTCACATAGAACACAAACAATTGCTATCAGACCACAACGACAACTGAAGATAGAAGCAATTGGTATCCTAAATGATTGACTCTTCACAGGATGTCGAGTCAACAGCCCGTAACTGGGTTTGGGTTCCTAACGAAAATTCAGTTTTCAAAAAAGGTCATATAATAGAGAATCTAGATGATAATAAGGTGAAAGTCAAATTTGAAAACAACACTGTATGTATTCTTCAGCTGATTATTAGACAGATGATTCTAACATTTGGATAGGATGAAATTTATGATGCTGCTGTTGTTGAAAAAGTGAACCCAGCCAAATTCGACAAAGCTGATGACATGGCAGAGCTTACGTTCTTGAATGAGCCATCTGTGCTTAACAATCTGGAAAGAAGATATGAAGATGATCTGATATATACCTACTCTGGTCTTTTCTTAGTGGCCATCAATCCATACTCGAAATTGCCTATATATGATGATGATTATGTGAAACGCTATCACAATGCCCCAAAAGAAGAGACAAAACCACATATTTTCGCAGAAACAGAAGAAACATATCAAAATCTTTTGAGAGATAAACGAGATCAATCCATTCTTGTCACTGGTGAATCAGGTGCTGGTAAAACTGAAAATACCAAAAAGATTATTCAATATCTAGCTGCAATAACATCAGATCCTAAGAAGGAAACTGAAAGTTTTGAGACTCAGATCATTCAAGCAAATCCAATCCTAGAAGCTTTTGGTAATGCACAAACTGTCAGAAATAACAATTCTTCAAGATTTGGAAAATTCATTAAAATTGAATTCAACAAACTAGGGAAAATTGGAGGTGCTCATATTGACTGGTACTTATTGGAAAAATCAAGAGTGGTGAAACAATCAAAACAAGAAAGAAACTATCACATCTTCTATCAACTATTAGCAGGTCTTTCTGAAAAGGAGCTTGGTCTTCTTGGTTTGAAAAAATCTCCATCCAATTACAATTATCTGAATAAGGGTAATCACAATATACCTGGCGTTGATGATAAAAAAGAATTCAAAAGTCTGAAGAGCTCCCTTGATATAATGGGGATTCCCAAATCTCAATATTATGAAATTTTCAAACTTATAGCAATCATATTACAAATTGGTAACATAGAATTCACTTCCCAAAAGGCCGAACAAGCTAACTTCAAGACTTCAACTGAGAAACTCTGTGAGCTGTTGGGTGTTTCAACTTCTGCTTTCAATGATTCAATATTAAGACCAAAAGTAAAGGCCGGTAAAGAGGTTGTCAAACAATCTAGAAATGCATCACAAGCTAAGTTTTCACTTGATGCTCTTTCAAAATCCTTATATGAAAAAATCTTTAAATTTTTAGTCGATTCCATTAATGAAAATCTGGACCATGATTCATCTACTGAAAACTTTATTGGTGTTTTGGATATTGCTGGTTTTGAAATCTTTAAGGAAAATTCATTTGAACAACTTTGTATTAATTATACAAACGAGAAATTGCAACAGTTCTTCAACCATCATATGTTTGTTTTGGAACAAAATGAATATTTGAAAGAAGATATTGATTGGCAATTTATAGATTTTGGTCAAGATCTCCAACAAACAATTGACTTGATTGAGAAGAAGAACAAGCCTGTTGGTATTTTTTCAGTGTTGGATGAAGAGTGTATCGTACCAAGATCCACTGATAGTTCATTTTTTGAGAAACTAAATCAATGTTGCAATGGGAAATCAGAAAAATTCAAAGCATCCAAGTTCTCAAACAAATTTTCACTTAAACATTATGCTGGTGATGTTGAATATTCCATCGATGGCTGGATAGAAAAAAACCGTGATCCATTGAATGACAATGTTATTGAAATTTTGGCTGGTTCCTCAAATCAATTCATTGCAAACCTTTATTCCAACGACACTGCGCAAAAAAGTTCATCATTTAGAACTGTTGCTCAAAGACACAAAGAACAATTGAATGGATTGTTAACCCAACTTTCAAATACCCAACCACATTTTGTTAGGTGTATACTACCTAACGGTAAGAAGAAACATCATAATTTTGATAAAAGACTAGTGTTGGAACAATTAAAATGTAATGGTGTTTTAGAGGGTATAAGAATTGTTCGCTCAGGTTTTCCTAACAGGGTCCAATTCAAGGATTTCTTTGAAAGATACAAAATTTTGTCAGACAAATCAAGCTTTACAGATACAATGAAGACTAATTGTACAACTGTTTTATCATCAATAAATTTGGATTCAGAATTGTATAAAGTTGGATCAAGCAAAGTGTTTTTCAAAGCCGGTGTTTTGGCTAGCTTAGAAGTTGAAAGAGATAACAAAATCAAGTCAATCATTACTAGTTTCAAAGCTATCGCTAGAGGTAAACTAAGGAGAAGAACCATAAATAATAAATTAGAGAAAATTCAAGCGTCACAAGTGTTAATGAAAGCTTTCAGGGTGTACAACAAACTTGAAAAGAATCCATGGTTCAATCTCTATACTGACTTGAAGCCATTCATTGCAACCTCGGGTCAAGCTGTCAAAACCAAACAAATTCAAGAACATATCAAAAGCCTTGAGAAGAAATTGGAGGATTTAGAAGTTGAAAAAGGTGAAATTTCGTCCAAGAATATGACTACTGAGGAAGAGCTTACTAAACTGGAATCTATTTTGGAATCAGAGAGATCTTTATTGAAAGAGAAAGAGTCAATTCTGGAAGAATCGAAACAGCGTGAAATGGCTTTGGAAAACAAGTTGAAAGATACAATGGACAACATGAAAGATTTAGAAGCTCAACGTGATGCATTCAAAAAATCTAAGCAAGAGCTAGATGAAAAATTGAAATCATTTGAAGATAATATCAAAAATGGAAAACAATTGATTCAGGTTCTTGAAAAAGAAAAGGTGTTGTTGAACAAAAAGATTGATGATTTAGAAGAGTCTTTGGAATCTGCTGAAAGTTCTCAAAAGTCATACAAAGAGAGCACTGGGAAAATTGAAGAAGAACTCAAGATGCTTAAGTCACTTTTAAAAGTCAAGGAAGATCAAATTACAGAATTTGAGTCTAAAATAGAACAATCAGACCAAGAGCTCCAGACCAAAGTGTCGAGTTTGAATACCAGCTACAACAATGCTAACAAAAGAATCAAAGAACTGGTCGATGAGAACAAAATGCTTCACTCCAAGCTCAAGTCAATGCAAGACTCATCAACTCAATATGAAACTGTTGTCAACAAGAAAGAATCTGATTTGGTACACATCAAGGAACAGTTAGATAAGCAAGAGAAAGTAATAAAATCACTTGAAGTTGAGAGAGATATGCTGAAAAGAGAACAAGGTGATGTTTCAAAGGAACTTGCTGAGGTTAAGCGGGAAATGTCAGCTTTGAAAGTCAAACATATGCAATTAGAACATGAAGCAAAAGAAGCTCGTGAGTTGCTGCAAAGGAAAATTAGTGACGAAGTCAAGTTCAATAGAGGAAAACAAAAATATGATTTTGATATTTCCGAACTCAAAGCTCAAGTCTCAATCTTAAACAGTGAACTTTCTGATGAAAAAAACAGATCGAACAAGCTTCTTTTAGAGGTAAAATCATTAAAGAATGAGAATGAGGATTTGCAAAAGGATAGGAAAGCTACAGATGTTCGCGTTGCTCAAGGTGCTTTACAGTCATTTAGAAGCCGGTCTTTGAACTCATCATTAGATACCAACATGGATAGAATCCAAGAGGATAAAGAAAAACTTATAAGGGAGTATGCTCAATTGAAATTAAGTCTTAATGAACAAAGTGCTATGCTGAAGAAGGAAACAATTGAAAAAACCAAAATGAAGGCAGATCTCAAAATGCTGCATTCCAGATTGGCATCTGAAGCGTTTGACAAACAGCAGCTGAAGATACAGTTGAAAAAACTTAAAAATGGTCTAGGTTTATCACCTCTTTCTTTTGATGAAAATTATGAACGTTTAAACACTGAAAATGAAAATCTTTCCAAAGAAATCAACAGCTTGAGAACAGATTTGGATTTGGAACGAAAGGCTTCTCAGCGTGCCAATCAAAACCACAGAAAAGCTTTGACTGATAGAAATTCAATGGATTCACCTTTCTCGTTGAAACATGAATTCAACACCTACAAGGCCAAATATGAAGCTAGTGAGGCAAGAATTAGATTGCTGGAGAGAAAATTATCAGAATCTGACACATTTAAGAATGGTCCAGTGTTGAATAATAAATCAATTGATATTGGAAACAAACATGATCAAGACCTACTACAAGTGTACCAGGAGGCATCTAGAAACTTGAATATCACAAAGGAAGAACTAGCTAGTTCCAAATATCATATTTCAAAGTTACAGAAGGAACTCAATCAAAGTAAGGAACTTATAAGTACTTATAAAACAAAAGATGTCCAATCCTTATCAAATCAACTTGCTCGTGAAGAGCTCACAAAAGTCCAACTACATCTTGAAGCTATTCAGGGCAAAAATGTTGATCTCTCAAAGACTGTCAAGCTATACAAAGCTAGAGCTGAGGAATATTTCAATAAACTCGAAAGTGCCGAAGCTGCTGTAAGGACTGCTAAACATTCAGAGAAATTTACCAGGCAACAACTACAGGAGGCTAACGATTCATTGAATAAACTAAGACAGGAGAACAGAAAAAGTGAAAGCGCAGTTGCTAAGTTGAATGTTACCATAAGCCAGTTGAAAGAAGAAATTCAAGAGAGAGAAATCGAACTTTCCAAGGCACAATCATCTAATATTATGCTACAAGAGGAAATCAACCATTACCATGAACGTTTGATGAAGAGCTCCAGAACTGATAAGTTTGATGCTGAGATTAAAAAGTTGAATGATGAGTTGGTTCGCTCAATGAGAAATGAAACAGATCTACGCAAAGATCTTGGTACATTAGAGCTCGAGCTTGATAATTTACAATCTCAAAAATCCCAAGAGATCAAAGAGCTAACCAAGGAAAAAACGTACTATTTGCATCTTGTCAAAGATCTAGAGGAGAAGAATGAAAGTGCCACGGCTGCTCAAAAGGATTTAGAAATAAAATTACGTTCATTAATGAAACAGATAAGTACTTTGAATGATTCTGTTGATAAGCTGATCAGGGAAAGGGATAGTTTAGAGAGTGATAAGAAGGCCTTAGAACTTCAAGTTAGAGATCTATCTGGTGAATATGGTATCTTTATGAATGAACGTGAGGTTGCCGGTGAAGAGAAAGCATCACTAGAAGCCACAATTGAAAAACATCAAACTGAAATGGACGATTTGAAGAAGGAGAGAAAGAAATCAAAATCACTTCAAGAACAGTTACAGGCTTATATTGAGGAAGAAAAACATAAGAATGTCATTATTTCCGAGGAGAATCATTCATTGGGCAAGTTCAATGAGCAGCTAAAATCAAAAATTACAGAATTGGAACAAAAATTAAATAAAAATGATGACGATATTTGGTTAGAAAGAATTGATAAACTTGAACAGAAATTGCAACTCGAGATTAATGAGAAACATGAATCAGTCAAACATCACAAATCACTTGAGAGAACCGTTGATGAATTGAAAGACCAAGTTGATAAACAGGCCAAACTAACGAGTAAATATGAAGATGAAAAAGCCAATTATGAGTTCAAAATATCTGAGCTTTTGAACACCATAAGCAAGTGGCAAAGTGTTGATTCTTCGAACAAGCTGGGTCTCAAGAGAGCTGAGAGAGAAGTTAGACATTTGAAAGAAAGTAATTTGGAGTTAGAAAAGGAAATAGCAGAGTGGAAGGACAGGTTTGATAAAATTACAACAAAGAGAAGGGCTTTAGTTAATGACGATGTATTCATATGAGGTTTTTTTAGAAAATACATAATACTTGATTCTAATTTTAATCTTGTATGCTATAGTTGAATGTTTTCTTGTATTAAGCTCTAATGGCCGAATTATCATTTTACTATATACAAAGAGATAGATTCAGCAGTGCTCAATGTTATTAAAACCATCCCTTTCTTGGTGCAGGTTCAGGAGCAGGTGTGCCATTGGAGTTAGCACCAAGTCCCAAAGCTTCTAATTTGCCTTGAATATCTCCAAACTTTTCTCTATCACCTTGAACAACAACAGTTGGAAGACCAGTGCCTTTACCTGGGTTATTAGCCTTACCGGTTAAAACTCTTTCTGCAACTCTCTTTATATCAGCAGTTGTCAAATTCTCAATCTTTGCAACCATTTCTTGAACAGGGACTTTATAACCACGAACTTGAACTTGACGTCCCAAATCTTCTAAATCAACCATCTTTGATTCTAAGTTCATCAATAAAGAGGAACGCAATTGATTTTTAGCTCTAGCAACTTCACGATCATTCAACTGGCCTTGGCCAGTAGTAAATGTTTGAGCTAATTGTTTTCCAATAACTTCTGTCAAATATGGTGCAGCTTCCGGGATACAAGATGCTGAGATACCAAATAGACCAGAGTCAGTGTATGAGTGATTGAATGCGATACAACTTTCAATGTAGTAAAATTGGTTTAAAACTTGGGTGTATAATCTAGAATACATCCCTTTACCTGGACCACCAGCAGAGAATGAACCACCACCACCTAATAATGTTTGTAATGTAGCTAAAGCATAGATATCTGGATCATCAAATGAAAGACCTTCATAACCAATATGTAGATGGACCAATTCTGGCATGTTTCCCATTGGAGGAAGAGATGGCAATGAAGCTTCACCACCAGTATAATGTGCAACTTTTGGAGTCACTTTTGGACGAAGTTGTTTCATATCACCCAAGTATTTTTCAGCGTATTCAACAGCTTGCTCATGTGGGACACCGACAAATGCGGCAACTATGCTTTCAGGGTTGAACAATTTTTGACGATATTTTTGAATTGAATTTCTTGTGATGTATGGTATTCTTTCTCTTGGACATAATAAGGGGCTACCCAAGGTTTCACCGCTGTAGGCAGCTGAGTGGAATAATTCTGGCAAGATAAGTTCCGGTTTCATCCAAATCTCATCAACTTCATATTCTGCTGTGAATTTTTGTTCTGATAATTCACTTTCTGTAATTTTTGGAATCTTCACAGTTTCAGCAATTAACTGGAACATTTTCTCAACATCTTTGTTAAAAACTGACGCTTGATACATTAACGATTCCCTGGAAGATGCACATAGATAATTACCACCTAATAATTCTAAAGTTTCTAACATTTTGGTACCAGTGGTGTTTTGGGTAGATTTGAATGCCAATCTATCCACCAAGTGACTTATCCCTTTCATCTCTGCATTCTCATACCTGGAACCAGCATCAACATAAACACCCAAAGCTGAAAAATGCCCTGGTGATGGGTTTGTTGCAACTCTTACTCCATTACTTAGTGTGCTTGATAAGAAAGTCTTCGACGTAGTTAGTAATGATATTTGGATAAAGGTGAATTGCTTTTTGACTTACATTATTTGCAGTTGAATATGATCTAGCCAAAGACAAGCCATGTCTTTTGGCAGCAGTTCTACCGAGCATTACTATGAGTATCTGAGATGATTTAAAGAATACAATAGCTGACGGTATTTTTCAAGCTTATACACTTGAGTTGAATCTGGAATTTTGAAAAACGAGGGTTAAAATCAGTCAGCTGACCAGTCAGGTGATGAAGCCTCGGAAATGGATTTTCAACGGGCCTACTGTTGACTCAAAAGCGTTGAAAAATTACAAAAGCATCGAATCAGTTGATCAAATTTGATAAGGTATATTGACGGAATCTTTCTATAATCGTTCTATCTTTCAGAATGAAACGTCACTTCTCAATCAAAGTCCCAGCCTCCTCGGCCAATATTGGTCCAGGGTTTGATGTTTTAGGTATAGGTTTAGGTTTATACTTGGAATTAGATGTCACAGTGGACCCACAATATGCTAGCGAAACAAATGATGACCCAAACAACTGTCTTGTTTCCTATGACCCATCCAGTGAAGGTGCTGAAGATGTCCCATTAGCTTCAGATGAGAATTTGATCACCCGTACAGCTTTATATGTTCTACGTTGTAATGACATCAGATCTTTCCCAATTGGTACAAAGATTAATGTTAAAAATCCAATACCTTTAGGTAGAGGTTTAGGCTCTTCAGGTGCTGCTGTTGTTGCTGGTGTTATATTAGGTAATGAAATTGGTAAATTGGGGTTCTCTAAGCAAAGAATGTTGGACTACTGTCTAATGATTGAACGTCATCCAGATAACATCACTGCTGCTATGATGGGTGGTTTTGTTGGTTCATATTTACGTGATTTAAGTGCTGCTGAAATGGAACGTAAAGAAATTCCATTAAGTGAAGTTCTACCTGAACCAGCTGGCGGTTATAACACTGGGCTGGTTCCACCTATCCCACCTCATGATATTGGACGTCACATCAAATATGATTGGTGTAAGGAAATTCAATGTATTGCCATTATCCCTGACTTTGAAGTTTCAACAGCTAAATCAAGAGGTGTTCTACCATCTGCATTCACAGCCAAAGACATGATTTTTAACTTGCAAAGATTAGCTGTTTTGACTACTGCTTTAACTAGATCACCACCAGATCCAGAATTAATCTACCCAGCCATGCAAGACAGAGTCCATCAACCATACCGTAAGACTTTGATTCCAGGTCTTACTGAAATATTATCTTCAGTCACTCCAAAAACTCATCCAGGTCTTTTAGGTATCTGTCTTTCAGGTGCAGGTCCAACAATTTTAGCCTTAGCTACTGAAAACTTTGAAAACATTGCACAAGAAATTGTCAACAGATTCGCCAAAGAAAAGATTACATGTCGCTGGAAAGTCTTGGATCTAGCATATGAAGGTGCTGTTGTTGATGAAAAATAGAGAAACAACTCATATAGATGTAAAATTAATGGTTTGATTTGAATGAGATGAATTAGCGTAGAAAAATAAACCCCGAAAACGTCCAAATTAGGAAATTTCCCATATTGGGTATCAAAAGTAGTGTGCCAACCAGGCGACCACGAAGAAAGAAACTGCTCCTGAATCTTTTGAAATGAGAGTAGAAAATGTTAATTACAACTCTGATCATACTGTCTTCAACAACGGCGTTCTCATTCAACACAACCATCCAATTGAATCATCATGCTCAGTGAATTGGGAATCCAATTACCGTCATCCAGAAGTGTCCTCAATTACCTAGTGGGGACCGTCGTAACAATATATGCTGGATGTGAGTATTATTGATCTCTTTATCTTTGAAGATTAAGCTAACTTATCAATTTAGACATTCTATTCACAGGCCAAGGTGAAACCTTCAACTTCGGTAATTTCCTAGAGACAACTTCCCCATACCTATGGGCTTGTCTGGGTATTGCCGCTTGTATTGGTTTAAGTGTCGTTGGTGCTGCTTGGGGTATTTTCATTACAGGTTCTTCAATTCTGGGTGCAGGTGTTCGTGCACCACGTATCACAACAAAGAATTTAATCAGTATTATTTTCTGTGAAGTTGTGGCCATTTATGGTTTGATCATGGCTATTGTGTTTTCATCAAAAATCACTAGTGCTAAAGCTGATACATTATACTCAAAAAGTAATTTGTATACTGGTTTCTCTTTGTTCTGGGCAGGTATAACTGTTGGTGTTAGTAACTTAATTTGTGGTGTTGCTGTTGGTATCACTGGATCTACTGCTGCCGTTTCTGATGCTGCTGACTCTTCATTGTTTGTCAAGATTCTTGTTATCGAAATTTTCGGTTCAGTCTTGGGTCTATTTGGTTTGATTGTTGGTTTATTGATGGCTGGTAAAGCTGCCGATTTCCAATGAGTGATTTGAAGGATGTAATAGAACTTTTCACAAGGAGTGATCATAGCATATTGTGTGAGATGATATCAAAAGACACAGGATTAGGATGTATTCCCTTTCAGGAAATGGCGAAGACATGAAGAGATCTGTTGTTATAAGCAAAGAAAAAAATGTATAATTAGAAACTACAGATGTAATAACTTCTATGAATTTTAACTTTGTAACTAACCATTATATTGAAGATAAGCAGGAGTAAGCAAAATCTATTGCTTTTCAGGTTCTATGTAGTCTGGGTTTTTCCTCAAGATAACAATACCCTCTAGGAAAGATGACAATGCAATGTATTCACTGTTTTCTTCCAATTCAGCCTTTTCACCATCACCTAATAAAACTGGTGTAGTTTGTGTAACCCACCCTGTGATAGTTTTTGGATTACCAGCTTGACCAACCACATCAACAGCTTTACCAACCCTGACAGTAACTTGGATTTCATTCAAGTCCTCATCAACAGTTATCAAAGTTCTAGGACGAGCTGCACTATTGAGGAAGAATAATAAGTAATGGTGTTCCAAAATGAAACTTGGTTCTAAGAAACCAACAGCAACAGTCAATAATGAGGCCAATGTAACTTTTGACAATATTCTTCCTTCGGTGGTGAATGGGTTCAAAGTTAAAGTACCTTTACCCAAATGTGTTAACCCTTGTGCAATTCTAGTTGTGAAAAGAGCATTTGGATTTTTATGATAACTTGCCAACTGTCTAAATAATTGAGCTAATCTAGCGTTGTTTGTACCTGAACCAATCAAACCCATAGCATAAATGGCATTGATGGCAACATCAATATCTGTATCATGTGACATTCTAGATAATGACTCTATAATGTTTACTTGAGGATGAGAAGCAGATAACAAACCAATACCCAATGGAACTGCACGGCGGACAGAGTCGCTACCGTAATCCAAGATATGACCGTAATGTCTCAAACTCATAGCTTTACCAATATCTTCTCCAAGAGCAATAGTTGCAATACCCAAAACAGCATAAGCTAATGAATCATCATCTTTCTTTTTGTTCTTAGTTTCTTCATCATCTTCATCATCATCTTCATCCTCTTCAGCTTCTTTACCTTCTTCTTTCTTTGGCTCAGCTTCATTTGATGATGCCATATCAGCAGAAGCGTCCAATGCAGCTGGAGCCTCGGTAAGTTCTTCGTCACCATCAGCATCAGTTTTTGGTTTTTCTTCAGACTTGTCTTCTTCAGTTTCCTCTTTTTCTTCTGGTTCTGGCCCTTTTGGTGTCAAGATTTCAAACAATCTTTGAATCTCTAAAACATTACCAGTACCTGCATACGCACTGATTCTTGTCAACACTTCTAAACTCTTGACAATAGGATGTTCAATAGCTTGAATTGTTTCTAAGACATCGTCGACTTGTTCAGCTTTACCAATGAATAATAAACCTAAACCTAATGCTAAGAACTTGATCCATTTACTCTTCAATTGTTCAAAATCTCTTTCCAACAATGTTTGTAAAATAGTTGAAGTGATATCACCATTACATGTACCAACAAAAGCATGACCTAAAGCAAGGGCGGATAAAGCAGAAACTTCAATTGGGACTTCAACATCTGAAACTAGTGGCAATAATAAGTTTAGTAAATCTTCATTTTGTGAACCAGAAAATGATAATGCAAGACCCAAGATAGCTGAGGTACTTAAAGTTTTGTTTGAGTTTGTGACGTAGTCCTGTAATAATAATAAAACTGGCTCAACTTCATCATGAACACCTGAACCAACTAATCCCATACCTAATAAAGCACCTGCCTTGATTTCATCTTCAGTGGAGTATAAATATTTGTCCAAGTGTTGTAAACCATCAATATCCCATTGGTGAATTGAACCTATACTTGCAGTTGTTGATAGCATACCATCACCTTTAGTTTTGAAGATCCATTTATCATCGTCAGTTAATAATTTATCAGTACCATAACCCAAATTTAAAAACGAGTTGACGAAACTAGCAGCTAAATTTTGTTTAGCAGAGTCAATTGAACTTGATTCTGCGCGTGAGTTTTCTAAGTGGGATTTATAAACATCTTCTGGAACCTTTGGATCTAACAAGTTCAACTCTTTGGCCAAATAATGGAATTTCTCGGAAAGTTTGCCATTGTAGATCAAGTCTTGTACATCATCATTCTTGAAAGATGAGTTTTGTTTTGAAAGAATCAAAGCCAGTTGTTTTTTAACGGAAAGATCTGAAGTGGCATTGAAAACGGCTTCAATTAATTCATCATTATCAATTCTGATTGCCAAGGCTAAAGCTTGAGTTAGCTCACCATGTTCTAAATAGATTGAGTATGCAGTTTGTAAAAATTCTAAATCATCTGGTGGAGGTAATAATGGAACACAGCTCACTAAATATAAACCAACTCTACCATAAATTTCCTTATCAACAAATTGTGGCAATTCACTAATATTATCAGTTTCCAATAAAAGATCAATTGCATCAGCTTCTTGGTTATGCTTCAAGAAATATGGGACAATCTTCAAAGTGATTTGCTTTAGATCTTTTCCATCAAATTTTGCTGTAACTTCTTCTTCAGCTTCTTCTTCCAAGATTTCAGCACTAGCTTCACCAATTTCCAAGGCTAAGTGACGGATATATTCATGACCCCATTTCTCATAATCAGTTTCTTTTGAAAGTATTCTGAATTTCAAAGCATCATGATCACCAGTATCTGAATGTGTCATACTCAAAACAGATAATATATCAGCAAATTGAGATTTCAATTTTGAGTCTGACCATTTGTCATAAGCTTGTGTCAATGTTTCGTAATGAGGATGTAAAAACTTCAATGGTTTTGGAACAGCAGTCATTGACGAAGTTGAAGAACTAATGAATTCTTTCAATTGATCTAAAGATTGGGCATAAAGTGATGAATTTGATTCTGTTAACCTCTCAACTAACAAATCTAAATCATTCTTCAATTTTTCATCTTCTTCAGATAATTCCTCTTCGTCTTTCTTATCTTTTTTTGTTGCTTTATCAGCTGGTTGTTGTTGTTGTTTTGGTTGTTCTTCCTTGGTGGCGAGTTCACCACTTGGGTCCTTCTTTTCTGACATTATGTATTTGATATACTGTAGATCTCAACCTTTTCTTTTGAAAATCAATAAATCAATTGAAAAGATATTGCACTATAATTGCAAACAGTATCAAATAATTATTCAAGAATTGGATAACGTTGGTCAATTGGTGTGAAATCTGCTTGTTGAAGGCAAAAAGCTCTGTTGTTGACGATTCTTCGATCTCAACTTTTTCAAAAATTCGCGAATCGCGAATATGATAAATTCCGGGGGCAAAAAACGTGATTCAGACTACATATAAGTTTATTGTCCTTTTTGAACTAATACATGTATAACACAAGGCCTCTAATTGTAATTTATATAGTCTCCCCTAAATGCCTTTTTTAACCATAGTAGAAGCTTATCATAAATGATCACATTTGCGTTATGGTAACGAATTGCATGGTCAGAATCGGGGAAAACATGAACATCATAGTTTTCAACACCTTCAAGGTTCAACTTATCCAAAAACTTCAATGAGTTTTGAATATGAACATTGTCATCTCCAGTACCGTGACATAGCAAAAATCTGGTAGCTTCTCCAATTTGTGTGACATTGTGAACTGAAGATTCAATATAACCATCCTCATTGTTTTGAGGTGTATGCATATATCTTTCTGTGTAAATAGAATCATATAGCCTCCAGTCAGTAACAGGAGCAACTGACATACCATACTTGAATGTTTCACCAGCATCATACTCAAGTGTCTTTAACGTCATATAACCACCATAACTCCACCCAAAAATTGTAATTCTTGATTCATCAACATATGATTTGGAACCCCAGTGTTTAGCAGCTGCAACTTGATCAATAACTTCATAATTACCCAAGTTATCTCTAACAACAGATCTGAATTTACGACCTTTGAATCCAGTACCACGTCCATCGACCGTAACCACAATTGCGTTCAATTGTGAAGCAACAACGTCTGGGAATGAGAATCCAAATGTTTTAGTAACCAGTTGACTATTTGGACCACCATACACAAAGAATAATACCGGATAGGTTTCGGATGAATTGAAGTTTGGTGGTAGTCTTTCAACATAGTTCACTTTTGCAGTTCCAATATCAACTTCACCATAATTATTCGTTGGTAATTCATATGTGGATAGCAAATTGGATAACTTCTTGTTATCTTCAAGAACTTCAACTTCTCCTGTATGCAAGTCAATCAAATGTTGATAAGGAATTTCTGGACCTCTATAACTCAAAGCCAAAAATCTAGCACCTGATGAAAATGACGCAGAAAACCAACCTTCACCTTCAGTTAGTTTTTTATTTTCTCCAGTCAACAAATTTAATGAATACAAATGTCTTTCAATTGATGAATCTTGAGTGGAAAGGAAGTAGACAGAGTTCTTCTCATAATCAAACGCACTTGGTGCACTAACAACTTCCCATTCACCAGAGGTTAAGATCTTTGGGGTTGAGTTATTTGGTGGGGTGAAGTATGCTAAATGATTAAACCCATCAACGGAAATGGTGTCAAAATAACCATCATGCTGACGCCCATTTTCCTCAGATTTTGGAACAAAAAATGTATCATGTGTAATTTCAAACCAACTCTCTGTAACTTCATCTCTAACAATTTCAAATGATAAATCTTGAGCATCAACCAGCACCACTTTCAAAAAATCTGATTCCCTATTTGTAGCTTTTAACAACAATTGATCATTACCAACCCATATGATCTCTGTGAAAATGTCATAATGGTAATCGACCAATTTAGTTTTAGCTTTCTGAACATCAATAATACCAATTGACACTTCAGGATTGTTGAACCCAGGTTTTGGATACTTTAGTTTACGCAACTCAGGATAGATCTCTTCACCATCACCTTGAACAAAATAAGGAATAGGAAACTCTGGAACTAAAGTGTCATTTGATCTTAAGAATGCAACATATTCACCATTAGGAGACCACCATAAAGCAGTATCACCTTCTAAAACCTCTTCTTCATAAACCCAATCAGGTTTTCCGTTAAAGATCTCAGCACTTCCATCAAAGGTGGATTGTGTAGTCTTCCCTGAACTCAATTCATAGATGTAGATATTATTATCAAGAACAAAAGCAATACGATCAGAAGGTGGTGCCCACTTAGCAATTGAAACCAAACCCGGATTTAATTGAGTGATCTTTTGAGTATCAACGTCTAAAATCCAATATAGACCAAATGTTGAATGTCTCCAATTTTGTGAACTGTTTGTTTGTATCAAGGCATATTTCAAATTAGGACTGGCAACAAAGGAATCAATGGAGAAGTTATAGCCATCTTGAAAGATATGAGAGCCATTGTATAGTAATTTTTCATAGTTGGAGTCTTGAATAGATTTTATAACATAGATATCATCATCACTTGTAACAAATGTACCTTTATCATTGATTAAAGAATCTGGTTCAGATATCCATTGAATAGATTTATATTTTGGGGAGAAAGTTGTATTTCTAGTTTCATTGAACCCTATGACTTTTGATGTTGGAGTGAAATCTTCTTGGAAACCTCTCAGGAAAACATTTGGTGATGAATTTAATAAGTCCAGTTGTTTAATCTGTAAAGTGACTGAACGTAATCTTGCAATTCCCAACACAAGTATACTTGCACCCCAAAATAATGCAGCAAGGGCTCCAATTGATATCACAAATCCTTTATAGCTACTATGCTTCTTCCTTTCACTGTAGCGTTGATCATGGGTTCTCATGGGCACCTTTTCGTCAGTGAAGTCAGTATCGTTTGACATTCTTGGTTGAACCCTTTGTGTCTTGACTCTTTACGGTGAGTATAGCAATATTAATGACTTTTCCTCGATGAAAATGTATAAATCTAACTTTCTGCTTTCAAGACTTAATTAATCTGGTAGTTATAAGTGTGTAGTAGTATAAAATGGTGAATTTATAGTGTAAAGTGTTATCCTTGTGGCTTTTAAGCCTATCTGAGCTTGCAATTAAGCTGAAAACGGATAAATGACATGAATTTGAAAACATAGAAAACACCCGTTTTAGGCAATTATACGTTTTGGTGAAAGCTGGTTCTGGCCGAACAAAAACTTAAGTTGTTGCTGTAGTTACTCAGAATTATCACGTAATTATTGTGTCATCCGTCACCCTCTCTTCACCTGCTTCTTTTGGGCGTGCGTGAATTAAAATTTTTTCTCAATTCATTTAAAAAGGAGTGCACCGCCCGAATATTTTGAAGTGCGCAATCCAATGACCTTGCAACTTGACTTCCCTGAATCAACAACAACAACAAGTGGAAAACAGGTATTATTTAGTTCAGAATAGTATTCTACTCAATTGTGACTGTTAATAAATCATATTCCATCCAAAATCATGAGTTTAGATCCAAATAACCATCAAAACGCTGTTTCTGCTGCTGCTAACGCTCTTCAAGCTGTCGGTATTGCTCAAACCAATAATCCACAACATCAACAACAACAACAACAAGCAGCTCAGCAATATGCGCAACACCAGCTAAGTCAAAACCAATTTTATCAACAACAAATTCAACAAGCTCAGCAAAGAGCTAACCAATCTGTCTCTCAACATCAACAACTATTGAACGCTGCCACCCAATTGCAACAAGCTCAACAGGCACAACAACAGTATCAGTCTGCGCAACAACAGTTGGCACAACACTTGCCTCAAGCTACTGCTGCCACAAACCAAGGTAATAACAATGCTGCAAATGCTTTGGGTGTCCCAGTTGTTGGACAAGGGTTTCAACCTACTCAACCTCAATCTGAATTCACTTCAAGAAATGAGTTAATCTCTTATATTCATGCTTATGCTAGAGAAAATGGGTTTGGTATTGTTATTTCTCATTCTAACGAAAAGGCCATTTATTTCACTTGTGAATTGGGTGGTTCTTATAGAAATAAAAGAAACATTAATGATAAAGAAAGAAAGAGAAAATTAACTACAAGAAAAATCAATTGTCCATTCACAATGGTGGCAAATTGTAAAAAGAATGATAATGATGAAGTTGTTAAATGGGTTTTAAGAATCACTAATCCAGATCATAATCATGATAAAATGAATTTGAATGAAAGCTTCCCAATGTTGAGAAGAAGAAACCCTGAAATTAATCGCCAAATTAGAGATTTGTACATGAAGGGTAATAAACCTTTGGTTATTGAAAAACTGTTGAAGGCTAATTTTAAAGATATCCTGATCAATAGAGAAGATATTTATAATGAAACAAGAAAGATGAAAAGAGAGGAGAGATTAAAGAATGCTCAAGGGATCCCAACTTCTATGCAACAACAATCTCCAACTCATCATCAATCTCAACAACAAACTCCTCAGGAAACACACCAATCTTTGAAAGCTGATGAGGCATTTGACCAAAACATTCCAAACTTATTACAAGGTCAAGGATTACCATTATCTTTAACTAATCAATATGTTCAACAAAATATACCTCAACAACAACAGCACCAACAAGACCCAAATGCTAACAATCAATTCAATCCTCATCATTACAACTTACATCAACAAGCTGCAGCTGCTATTAGTGCTGCTCAAAATGTTGGTAACTCTTTACAACAAGGTCCTAAGGAGGAGACCAATTTGAGTAATATTGATATCAATTTGGTTAAACAACAGGGCTTATAGGTTGTTTTGATTGGTTTTTGGTGTTTCCCTTTACTGTTTTCGTGATTATGAATGGATTTTGTATGTTAGAGAGTTGTCCTTTTTGTGACTAGATTTTTATTTCATTTGTTTTTCATTACTGTTTTTTTATATCTTGTCCTGGTTTTGAGCTTATGATTTCTTTTGTGCCTCGTTTAACCTTATTATATATTTCAGATTTGTGTGTTAATATGACTTTATACATATACGTTTTATTATGTGAATACTTCAAATTGTAAAAGATCTACCAAAGCTTATTCTAAAAGTACATATTATTAAACCGCATCGAATTAAACCAAAAACATAAAAACACAACTTATCTAAAGAGCTAATCACCAAACTCAAATCCTGAATTTGACACCTAATCTTTTTTTTCCTCAGTCTATCATTATTTAAATACCTTCAAATTCTCTTAAAAGCATCAAGACCAAATTCTAATTCTTGTTCTAATCCAGCAAAATCTTCAGAATATATGTTATTTTCTTGTGGTCTTGGTGGCAGATCATTTCTAAATTGATTTTGAGGGATACCTATTTGTCCAACTGGACTTTCAAAAGATGGACTAAATAACCCAGGTTGGTTAAATATTTGTTGTTGTTCTTGTTGGGTGTATTGTTGTTGTTGCTGTTGCTGTTGTTGTTGCAAATAAGCCTCCTGTTGTTGATCTTGAGGTAATTCAAATTGGAAAGAATCTTGAATTTGATCCTGTTGTGAAATTTGTTGAGGGATTTGTTGTTGTGGTTGCTCAATTTCCATAGCTTGAGGGTTAGATAATTCCAAATTTTGATCTTCAATTGGTCTTCTGACAAATTCTCTAAAACTTTCAACTTCATCCAAAATCATTTGTCTCATTGTATCCAATTCATCAACTTCTTCAAACTTAAAATCAAATTTTGAGGCACAGATTGGTTCGTCTGCAGGATCATGCCAAACTTTTAAATATGGATGTGTTAAAGCTTCTTCAACTGTGATTCTTTTAGCTGGATCTAAACATAACATTCTATCTAATAAATCTAAAGCTTCCGGATTGGCTTCTGGGTATAATTTACTGAATGGGATTTTTGGCATAAATGGTAATGATCTAACATAATCTTGTGCTCTTTGAGAGCCAATTCTTGTCAATGTTTCTTCTGGTGGTGTACCAACAATATATAAGATTTGATTCAATTGATCAACATAATCTTTACCTTTGAAGATCGGTTTTCCACCCAATAATTCAGCTAATATACAACCAACTGACCAAATATCAATAGCTTTAGTATAACTTTGGAAACTTAACATAATTTCTGGAGCTCTATACCATCTAGTTGCAACATATTCTGTTAAAAACCCAGCATTTTTTTCAGGAATTGATGAATAACCTCTTGCCAAACCGAAATCACAAATTTTCAACTCACAATCAGCATTAACCAATAAATTACCAGGCTTTAAATCTCTATGCAAAACATCTGCACTATGTATATATTTCAACCCACACAAAATTTGGTATATGAAACTTTGATAATGAGCATCAGTTAACGGCTGACCTGATCTAATGATTTGATGCATATCACATTCCATCAATTCCTCATAAAGGTACACTTCATTGAACTTATTTTTGTTGACAATATCTAAATCATATAAACAGGTAATGTTCTTATGGCCTCTAAAATGCCTCAACAGTTTCAATTCTCTCAAAGCACGTTTACACAGGATCTTTTTACTAAATATATTGGTAACTTTTTTGATGGCAACAGTCACATCTGGTGTTTCGGAATAACGAGCTGAACAAACAATACCATAAGCACCGTGTCCTAATTCTTTGATAACTTCGAATCTCTTATCAATGGTGAAGTCTTGATGGAACACATTGAAGCTATGACGTTCTGGTTCAGTCATGTTTGTATATACTTTGTAATTGATTTTTGTAAATTTAATTGTAACTTCAACACGTCAATTTATGAAGCGAAAAAAGGGGGTCCTTTAACGTTAATGAAGGAGGAAAATGACAGCACAAAAAGAAACCACCGTAGCTTTAAAATCAAAAGTTTGTGAGAAAAATTATTAACAATAACGATTGGTTTTCAATGTAATTTTCAGCAAGCTAATATTAGTTGTTTTCAAAGGTACTAATCCCAAACTTTTCCACAGAAAAAAAACCAGGAATCTAGCGGACTCAAATTTCTTCAATCCTCATTTCGCGAATTTTCAGATTTACCGTGTACCAAAGTTTGATCTACACAATAAACTTTTTTATAAATGCCTTGTGTGGTTGTATTATCAAACTCCAATGGATTCTATAACGATTCCAACTGTGAATAGAATCTTTTAACAATCGGACTTGATCTGATTTTATCCTCTCTAAAATTAACAATTTGAAGCTTATCTTTAGAAACAGCTCTTGACAATGCAACATAAACTTGACCTATTTCAAAGACTCTAGTCAAGTCGACTTTGACTCTTTCAATTGTTTGACCTTGTGACTTATGGATAGACAATGCCCATGAAAGCAGTAATGGAAATTGTGAACGCTTACAACCTGTTTCCGATTGTGAATCTGGAAAGAAATCGTCTTTTTCAATCAATTCAACTCTTGGGCCTAAAATAGTTGAAAACTTGACCAATGGTGCTAAGTGAGTTGTTGATTCTCTCAGCGCAAGTGTTGCAAGTTCCATAAAGAATGTTGGGTTTTGTGCTGTTTGTGCATACTCTAACACCTTAGCAGGGATCTGTGTTTCAGATATGCACATTGAAATTAATCTCAATTGTTTAATGGTTTCTTCACTATCAAGTTCATAATCTCTATATTGAACTTTGAACTTTAAGAAAAGACCTGCTGTGAAGAATGTAATAACTTTACCAGCTGTACCATTTACAAGTGTTTCATCCTTGTTTTTGAGCATCATAACTTGAGCATCTTCTTTCAAAACTAATTGTTTAACAGCCATAACATTTTCCAAAGATTTTTTCTCTGAATCAGTTCCCGCAATGTCATCTGCATCAAATATTTGAAGTTGGCCTGGTAGTTGACGTAAACGTTTTGAATTAGCCTGGTCAACCTCATTTCTTGTACAAAACAACTCAGTTGGTTCAATGCCATCTTCGTAATAAACTTCTCTGGATAACTCTCTAAATGATCGAGCCATCGAATCTGTAATTTCACCCAATCTTAAACAATTCAACATTTCCACAAATGAGTTATCTTTTTGTCTAAAAACTTGCTTCAATAGAATTGTTTTATGAATAGACTCTGACCAACAATTTGCTTGGAAAGAGAACAATGGCGCTGGTCCATTTCTATTTGGAACTGGTGGTAATTGGAAGAAATCACCAGTTAATACAACTTGAATTCCACCAAATGGCTTTGCAATTTTTCTAACAGACCGTGCAACATATTCAAGCTTATCCAAGAAAGAGCCATCAATCATGGAAATTTCATCAATAATCAAAACCCTTGTTCTCTTCCATCTCTCTGATGCTTGTTTGTTTTTAGAAACCCGTGCTGCAAGTCTTTGAGGAGGTTCTGCTGCGATACCCATTCCTGAAAATTTATTAATTGTGATACCACCAATATTGACAGCTGCTAAACCTGTAGAAGCAGTAACAGCAACAGCTGAAGGACCATCTCTCAAGTATTTGAGTTTAAGACGTGACACTAGTTCTTTTAGCAAGACGGATTTACCAGTACCAGCTGAACCAGTATAAAAAACATTCTTATTATCTTTAACAACCAGGTCAAGAACTTTCAATTGTTCATCACTTAATTTAATTTTTGTTGAGGCAGAAGAATAATTAGACGAAGAAGCCGATGATGGCTTTGTTTCCTTCAACCTTGGGTTCTTAATAGTCTTTGTTGAAATTACGTTATTGTCCCATGGACTCAATTTCCTTTTAGTTGGTTGACTTCCTCCAAAGTTCAAAGTTGATTGACTTGAAGGACTCTTTAATGACCCAAGCTTAAATTTTGGCTGTGTTCCGGAAGATGAAGAAGCTGAAGATGATTGTCTTGAAAGTTGTGCGGGTTGTGTAAAAGACTGTTTATGATGACTCTCTGTGGAGGTTGGCGGTGTCAATATATTCTTTGTTGATACTTCTATATTATTTCTGCTGTTCTGTGGTAAGAAGCTTCCAACTGGTTTCGAATGTTTCAGGTTGATTGGTTTCTCATTCAGATACCCATCATCATCGTCAAAACTATCATCAAACGAGCCTGACTTCATCTGACATAATGAACTTTTGGACTTAGGTCCTGGATTGAAAAAGTTTGGAGTTGATGAGCTTCTATTCAAGCTGGAAGATGATTTAGCACCCAATGGTTCCTCTGGCTTCTTTTCACCCAAATTGGAAGATGACTTACTCAAGGGTTTGGTAAAGAACGGTAGTTGGGACTGGGATGCTTGAAGCTTTATTGGGGCGCTGAAGGGATTCCTTCTCTGCTTCTTTTGATTGCTGGAGCTCCTATTCATAGCCGCGGTTATGCCTTGTATCTGGTACTCTTTTTTTAGCTTGAGAGCTAGCCGCTGTGGTAATAGTTTGGTTGTTGGTTCTTTTCAGAAGAGATTTGTTTTGATTTTGGCTTTACACGCGGTGAGATTTTGTTTGTTGACATTTTGAGCTTCACACGCTAGAAATTGAAAAAATGTCGCGACTGGCATCTCATCACCATGGCAAAAAGTAAACTACACAGAATTATAATGCTATAATCACGTTTTTATCTATACTAGCCTGAGCTTTCAGACTTTACACCAGATCTTTGTTTTCACAATGTAGTACCTTGAAGCCAGCCAGCAAATAGCACCAACAACAGACACCATGGAACAATAGATCACAAAATGGTTATATTGGTTGGTTTTACCCTTTGAGATAATGGCTCCTGCAATTGGAACACTAACCAAGTTACCAAAGGAAACACAGAAGTACATAGTACTGAATCTTGCCCCAAATTGATTGGTTTTGCAAATTTGACTCAAGCAGACTGGTGTTAATGAAAAAATTGAACTTGTAAAAAAACTAAATCCCATACAAAATGCATAAAACACAGCATGATTCTTCCCAAAAGGCAACCATAACACTAGACATAAAATGGTTGCAACAACACTTGTTGTGATCATAACATTGAACCTTCCATATTTATCAGCAAAGATGTTAGGTATGAAACGACCAAAAATACCAACAACATTCATTAGAGTAACCAACAAGTACGCGTTATCTTCATTGATTCCTTGATGTAAAGCATATTCTGGTAGATAAGTCAAAGCTGTAGTTAATGACATTTCTGAAAATAGAATAGCTAGCACACAAAACAAAAATCTTTTATCTCTCAAAGCTCTGAAGTCAAGTGAACTTGTGAAATAAGTAGTTAGCTGCTTTGAGAATGGTAATTTCTTGTATTCTTCATCTTTTGGTAATCTTTCTCTAGTCAATAAATAAGAACTAACAAGACAGGATGTGCAAATGAATGCAAGAATTCTAATGGCCCATTTATAACCAACATTGACATATAGTCTACGCAACATAATTGGCATAAATATACCACCAACACTTCCACCAATAGTTGCAATACCAGTTGCTAATGCTCTCTTCTTGAAGAAAAAATGTGAAACACACCCAATCAAAGGTGTCATGTTCAGTGCAGTACCCAATCCAACACACACACCAAATGCTAAGATAAATTGATAAACAGTAGTGCATTCAGCAGTTGCAAATAATCCGACAGAATACAATATAGTCCCAATCAGCATTGGGAAAGTTCTACCTAATCTATCAAATAATGTACCACTGAAAACGCATCCATAACCTGCAATAGCTAAATATATCGAGAAAATCCAACCAGTGACTGAACCAGAGATCCCACTCAACTGATTTGATGAAATATAGGTTTGAATAGAACCAATAGAATTCAATAAACCAAACACTGGAATCAATCCCAAAAATGAACCTAGGACGACTAGCCAAGCTACACCACCGTCTGGGAATTCACTGGCATCTTCCTCTTCTGCTGATTCTTCTATTGAAACTGCTGTATCGCCTGAGTTGAGGTTTTTCAATTTACTATTTATGTGATCATGTTCTTTTCTTTTAAAACCCGAGGCAAGTTGATTTGATGAACTTGCAGTTATCTGAGATGGTAGATTTTGTAATATTATACGATCAGTCATGATGTTTAGCAACTATCCCCGAGGAACTTGGAGTAGAAAGACAGGAGAATAGATCATATTAGGGAATTTGACACTTTTAAACTGACTAGATGCATTTTCCTTTTGCCAAACTGTGGTTTAAATTGATGCCGTAAAGCGTGTCTTGGTTAATTAAAGGTTTTTTTGACATTTTTTTTTCACGAAGATGCGCTCGGGGAATTCCTTAAATAACCTTCTATTACCGGGCCGTAACCGCAACGTCGTTTTCTAGTATGTCACAAATTATAGAAAGTTAACCTTTATTATAGTATTCATTTAATCTAATCCAAACTCCAAGCATAAGGACTTTTGCTTCTCAAAACCTTACCATACTTGTAAAAAATTATAGGAAATGGAATCATCAAGACAAATAAAAATGCAAGAAAACAACTGGCCCAGTTAACACCCATCTTTTTATACATTTGCAATCCAAATAATGGGAATCCACCAGCCATACAACTTCTAACAAGACTATTACAAGCCATTGCACTAGCTGAGTATAATTTATAACCATCAGCCGTGTAACCTATGATACCTGTAAATGCTAAACTACAACCATATCCATAAATGGCTGTAGCAATAATAGGACCAATCCAATGAACCTGGGGATAAGATGTCCATGCAAATATAAACATGCTAATTGGTAATATAATACTAGCAATCATTAGTGAGTATAGTCTATCTTCAGGATATGCAACACCATTTTTCTCCACTATCTTGTTGTAATAATTTTGAAATGATGGAGCAGTAGCAGCTCCAAAACATAATCCAACTAAAAGGCCAATAAATGATAAGCCTTGAGAGACTTCATCAAATCCAAACACAGTTTGGAAAACATATGGAAATGCAACAAAGAATAAATAGATGATTGCTAACACTAAACCTGAATAAAAACATAGAACTGCAATCATAGGGTCACGGAGTAGTAAAAGAAATGGTCTATTTGGAGCTTTCAACAGTGTCATTATAACTGATCTTTGATCCTTCTCAAGAGCTGCATATAATTTATCATTCCCAATTTGGTTTCTTAACCTTCTAGCTTTCTTAACTAGAAGCACCGGTACATAAGTTTCAGGAACAAACAAGATAACAAAAGCAAGAGCAACACCATGAAGCATCAACATAATATAGAATACCCATCTCCAGAAGAGATACTTATTTATACCAGCGCTGAATAAAGGCCCAATCGAAGGTCCAACAAATGGGGCAACGCCAAAGAATGCGATTGGTAAAGAAATTTGACTCTTGTCAAAAATATCAGTAAATGTACCATTAACCACTGACAGGAAAGCTGAACCAAAGAACCCAGACATGAATCTTCCAAACAATATACCTCCTAAGTTAGGTGCAAAGGCTGTCAAGAATTGAAAACAGCAACTAAGCATTAATCCACCAACAAATACTGGCTTTCTACCGTAAAACTCTGATAATGGACTAAGTAACATTGGACCAATCCCTAATCCAAACATGATTAACGAGATACCTAATACGCCAACTTCTTTACCAACATGATATTCCTTAATGATATGAGGCTCACAATATGACCAAGCAGATGAAAGCATGGTGACCATGGCGGTTGCAAAGCATAAAACTAACACAATAGACCATTTTCTAAAGAACGACATCTTAGCATTGATATTCTCCTTATCATCCATTCCATCGAAAATCACTTCATTTGGATCTTTCTCTATTGAAAGGTTGTTATTATCATTGAGCACTGTATCCTCACTTGAAGCTTGTAAATCTTGACAAGATCTTGACTGTTCGCTAGCTATTCGACTAGCTTGTCTCGAAAGAGCATCAATATCTACTTGATCAGGCTGAAACGAGTATGGGTGCTGATTGTTTGTTGATGTTATGCTCTTGTCTTCTTCATGCGTTTCACTCTTTTCGAGTTTTAGATGATCTGAATTCTCTGAGGAGCTCATAATGTGAATCAATTCTCTATGGCCATAATCAATGGAAACAAATCTTCAAGCAATATGGATATTTGGCGCTATTTGTACAAATATTCTTCCCCGTACAATGCATATTAATAATAGCTAAAAGCAAAACCGAGAGCATAAGCTAAATAGGCATGATCATGGCATCCTATTGTATCATGCACCAATTAGTAAGTCGGCTAATTAAAAGCCACTATAGTAGTAATAACCTTTAGAAAACCTTTTGGTAGTATGAGTGTATCACTTTGATTTCATGGATGTATACTTCCAAGCTGCCAATTTGTGAATTCAATGGTCTCTAATCCTTCATGTCACTGCATTCTTTTGGTACTCCAATCCAATTCTCGAAACATAAATCCGACATTACATAAGAGCATATGCACTTTTCCGATAATACTTATACACAAATATCAATGCTATACAATTATTACAAGTTGTTTAATCCATACTCCAGGCATAAGGACTCTTATTTCTCAATCTCTCACCGTATTTGTAGAAAAGGAATGGAAAGGGAATCATTGCCAGTGTTGCAAATGCCAAAACACTACCACCCCAATTAGCACCAATGTGTTCATACATCTGTAACCCAAACAATGGGAACACGCCAGACATATAACTTCTAACCAAACTATTACATGCCATTGCACTTGCAGAATATAGTCGGTAACCATCAGCAGTATAACCGAAAATACCTTGGAAAATCAAACTAGTACCACATCCATAAACTGCTGTTCCAACCATAGCTCCCATCCAGTGTAGTTTGGCAAATGATGTCCATGCAAAGATAAATAACCCGATGGGAGAAAGAAAACATCCAATCATCAATGGATACAGTCTATATTCAGATTTTGGTCTCCCGTGTTTCGAAACCATTTCATTATAAAGTGATTGAAATTTAGGTGAAGTTAAACCTCCAATAATCATACCAACTAATAAACCCAAAAATGATAAACCTTGACCAACAGGTTTGAAATTGAACACTGTCTTGAAAATATATGGGAATGCAACAAAAAACAAGTAAATAATGGCCAAGACTAAACCTGAATAGAAACATAAAATAGCCATCATTCTATCATGGAGTAACAACAAGAAAGGCCTTTTGGATGAGTAAAATGCAGTTGCAAGTAGTGATTGTTCCTTTTGTTTGATCTCCAAAGGTGCATAGAATTTATCATTACCAGTCTCCTGTCTTTTTCTTTTGGCCTTTTTAATCAACAAAACAGGTACATAAGTTTCAGGAACAAGTAAAATTATCAGTAATAGCATCACTCCGCTATAAATCAACAAGACATAGAAAGTCCATCTCCAATAAAGGTTCTCATTAATGAAAACGCTAACAAGAGGACCCAAAGCAGGTCCACAAAATGGACTCAAACTATAAACACATATAGGAACACCAATTTCATGCTTTTTAAACATATCGGTAAAAGTACCACCTGCAACACTTAGGAAACAAGATCCAAAAAACCCAGACATAAATCTCCCAAATAGTAATCCACCAATATTCGGAGAAAATGCAGTCAATATTTCAAAAGCACAACATAATGATAATCCAAAGATATAAGTTGCTTTTCTTCCATAAAATTCAGATATTGGACTTAAGAAAATTGGTCCAGTTCCTAACCCCCAAATATATAAAGAGATCCCCAGTATACTAACTTCTCTACTTATTCCGAAATGATTTATAATATTTTCAGAAGCCATGGACCAAGCAGATGAAATCATTGTGACACAAATTGAAGTCATTGATAAAATTAACGCAATCATCCATTTTCTTGTTATTGACATTGACTCATTGATATTTTCTTGATCATCTCCTTCGCCTTCAAACTTAACTTCAAGGTCATCTTGACCTAATGATAGGTTCATCTCCTTTGTAGCATGTCTTGATAATGTAAGGACATCAGCCTCATCAGGCTGATATGAATAAACTGATCTTGACATTTGAGATAACCAATTACTAATACATTAACACCAACAAATCAATTCACAAAGCACTGTGGTATATCTGCTTTTTATATAATAATATTTGACTGGAATACCATGGAGGTATATATATATATATGAGTTTTTTTTGGGGGACCTTTGTAAAATTTTAAGCGGACGCGGAGCTCCATACACACTATCGAATAAAACCTTGATAAACCCTTTTAAGAAACTGTACAAATCCCTCTGCCAAAACAGCAAGTGTCAAGGAAAAATAAAGTAGGCGCCGCGCACCATGCGCCACACCCACTTTAAAAAGACACTAGCCACACTCAGGTTTCTGGTGTTCAGGTGTGTGGCTAGTGGTTTTCCCAAAGGTGGTGGTGATGAATGAGGAGGGATCATGAACAATAAACAGGTACAACTAAGTTTAATTGCAAAACACATTCTCTCTTTTCAACGTGAGTATCATAGTTATGAGAACATGTTGATACCGAAGAACATTTTAGGTATCACCAGAAGAAGACTACAGAATACATCTACAAGGAGGAAGCTCTACTATGCTGAACATATCCCTGGACCTAGTATACCCCCATTCCCTATACCTCCAGCTTCAACTCTGAGAAGAGGTACACCAATCAGGCAACAACCGGTCGAAATGGAGAAGGATGATGCTCAGGACCAAGTGAATGGTATGCTGGACAAATTAATCAATGGGATGAAGAGTTTTGAAGACGTTGGTGTTGAAAACGATAGAGTTGAACAGACAAGAACAAAACAATTAAATTTCAATCTATTGCCTTTGAAACTATTAGAGAAATTAAACAAAACAAGTGATTATCATGTGAAACTAAGTTGCCTATTAGACTATAGATATTTACTGAAAGTTAAGCCTGAGTTTGTGGAGAATACTTTGTTTAAATTAGGAATAGAAACTGCAGAAGATATTTGTGATTCATTGAGTGAAGATCTTGTGTTGAAATGGGTTAAGTTCCAATTGACTCATAAAGATTTCACAAAAGCTGGTCAAGTTACTAATCAAATTATAATGAGAAGAAATGGTGATTTGGATGTTGAAAAATTATGCGCTACAGTTTTCAACACTCTTAGAAGTGATCATGATTTGAAATATGGTGTTTTGGATTTGATGAGAGCATTGTATGAATTATTGGATCATCAGAATACCTTGTTCAAATTTGTTTACACAACATTGACAAACAATGAAGAAATAATGGTTTCGAATGGGGTCGAGTACAAATTTGAAGATATATGGAAAATGATTCAACTATGTCGAGTAATAGAGGAAGTTGCAGATGTCAGAGTGCTACCTGAACCTTACTGGAAGACTGATTTTGATTATATCAATTTGATATTGGGCTTGAAATGTTTTAAAGCTGGTGATTTGGAAAGAGGGTTTTCACATTTGAAAAGAAGAAAAGTTATCGGTAATGATGGTGTTGTTTATAGAGTGATTAAAGCTGGTCTTGAGAATAAAACTAAAAATACAACGAGTACTAAAACAATGGCCAAACCAACCACTTTTGAGAACAGAGTTTTAAAAGTTATTATTTCAAATAATGAAAGACATTTAAGTCCTATTGATCTTTTGACATTTCAAAAATTTAGTAAAAACATTTACACATTTAACAATTCAATCAAGGAGTTGACCAATAAGGAGACTGTATTTGCATTGAAGAATGTCTGTTTGAAAAAGTTCTTGGATTCAGGTCTATTAAAACTTGCTCAAAATATGGTTGCAAATAATCTAGATCAGGTTTACAAATTTGAGGTTAGTTATTTGGCTACTGTTTTCCATCTAGCAAATGATTCACAATTACTAGGTGAAGTTGTTTCCAGATTACCAACAGTTACAAAATCATCCTTCTTATCAGTATTGTTTACTCAACAATTGAAGATTGAACAATCCAATTATCATACAAAAGAGTCAAAGATACCTGAAAGGCAATTTGAAAAAATACAATGGATTTTGGAAGCTGTTAATTATCAATTATGTGATAAAACTTTCCGTAAAATCACACCATTGTTAACAAAATTACCATTGAAACTTCAACAATCTATAATAACCAAAATATCTGGACCAAATTTTCCCCTATACATCAAATATTTATCATCAGGAATCCCATTATCATCAACATTGATACCCATCTTGGTGAACACTGGTAAATGTCGTACCAGATCAGAATTACAATCATTGGCTCGTTATATCTCAAGGTCATGTTCTGTGGAGGAGATTGGTTATATATTGTCAAACATTAAAGAGCAAATCCGTTATGATTCACTACATTTGAAAATCACGGATGCATTGGTAAGGTTTGGCGAACCTGATTTTGAAAAGGCTAAACAATTGATTGAAGAACATCCACATGATAGATCTAAATTTCTTTTAAATCAAGTATTGTTACAAAAAAATGAAACCATTATCAATTATTCAGATTCATATGTTAAGAAACCTATTGAATTGGTCAAATTGAAAGCATTATATAGATTGACTGATGATACAAAATTGGGATATGGTTCAAGTTTGAGAGCTCAGGTTGGTCGTTTGATTATGGCTAATAAATTTGACAAGAACATGGCGGTGTTGTTATTGAAAAAGATAGTTTCAAAAATTAAGAGTAATGGAGAGTTGAAAAATACTGAAAGATTGAAATATGGAGTTGCTATTTGTCAACGGTATGGTGTCTCTGAAGAAGTTATCTCTGAGATTTTGCATGCATAACTATGAGAGATTATGTTATTTATTATGTTATTTATTTGTTACGTTATTTATTTATTTATTGGGTTATTTATTCATCTATTTATTGGATTTATCCACAACTTATTTATTCACCTATCTATTTATTTTATTTATTACACGTTATACGTTATTACATCCCGATTGGGTAGTCAGCCTGCTCGCACTGTAAAGGCTCGATTCTTTCCAGAACCAAAAATCAGTCGATGTGATAGCCAATGAGAGCACTCGCAAAGGCAGAAATATGGGGTACACAGACGATCAGAGTATGAGACGATACTGTTAAGCGAGTAGTACTCAATTAATAATAGTGTATTGTGAAATAGAATATCTATTAAAGGAGCCTATAATAGTATTAGCTATGGGTTGGTTAATCTTATGTAATATCTGTAGTGAAACTTATGTAATTCAAGTATTGGGGCTGCGTAACCGGCGCTCCCCCATAGTTAAGCACCTTCCCAATTCGGCCACTAAGAATTGGGCCAATTGAAAAAAGTTTTTTCAACCAATAATCAGCTGAAGAAATTCAGACTGGGTTAGACCATAAAAAAAAATCATCATCATCATCATCGTCTAATAACCAACCCTTTGGAAACAACTAAACAACAACAATCTTTTTGGATTTATCAACCACTAACTCCAACAAGTTTTCATATTCATCCTCTTTTCCACCAATTTTGCTAATTTTTATTCTCAATTAGATCTTGATCATAATCAATCTCCCTTTAGGATACAAAATTTGCTCAACTTAACATCAATTACTTATTCAAGACAATAGAAGAGTAATTAGATCATCATTCCATCATATTCAGATTATTAAATAAAAACCCCATACATATACCATGTTTTCCTCATCAATCAAACAAATCTTGAGAACTCCAGTTGTTAAACGTTCAATAATCTCAACTGTTCGTCCAACAAGCACAACTTTAAGATTAACCACTTTAAACAGAATCTCAGCCGTCAGAAACTACTCTGGTGCCCATGATGAAGAAACTTTTGAAGAATTCACAGCTAGGTAAGTTTACAACCATTTTTAAAAATGTTTTATTCAAAGCCCCTTATACTAACTCCACAACATAGATTCGAAAAAGAATTTGAAGAAGCTTATGATTTATTTGAAGTTCAACGTGTTTTAAACAATGCATTCTCATATGATTTAGTTCCATCTCCAGCTGTTATTGAAAAAGCTTTAAGAGCCGCAAGAAGAGTTAACGATTTCCCAACTGCTGTTAGAGTTTTCGAAGGTTTGAAATACAAAGTTGAAAATGCTGAACAATACAAAGCTTACTTGGATGAATTGAAAACCGTTAGAGAAGAATTAGGTATCTCTTTGAAAGAAGATTTATTCCCAGAATCTGTTAATGAAAAACATTTCAATTAAGGAGCCCTTTTTAAAAAAACATTTAATAAACAAGAAAGAAAAAAAAAAGCTGGTTTTTATTATTGAATTTTTACTCATTTGGAAAACTTAATTAATTTGTCATTATTATTCCCTTCATCACATTTATTATTATTATTACTACTACTAAATTATTTTATTGATATTTTTTTTTAAGAAACAGGAAAAAGAATGTTGTTTTATTGATTAATTGTTCTGTTTTTTTATTATATTATTATGAGTAGAGATTGATTTTAAAACCACAAGAATTATGAGGGTTGTATCTATCTTGATATAATTCTCAACTTAATTATGGAAAGATAACAAAAGATTTTATAAAAAAAAAACAAAAAAAGAAAACAAATATATTTATTTGATTAGTTTAGAGATAACTTTTATTTTATGCATTTTTGAAAAACACTATCGCTTGTAACTTTCACTACAATATTCTTTCTAATGCAAACTTTTGTAATATTGATTCCCTAATATACACACTATAATAACTGATCCTTAATCACTATAATCCCCATCATCTTCTTCATCATCATCCTCTATGAAGTTGCTATCTTTTGCTCTTTCAGTAGTTTCATCATAACCAGCACCTTCATCATCAGAATCGGACCCAGCATGTCCTTTATTAACTTCTTCAGTTGCATCATACCAATCAGTATAAACATCAACAGGTTTACTTAGGGAATTTATAGTTGTTTGGAAATTTTGGCCACATATTTTACAATATAATGAACCTAAATTGTTTTTCTTATCTAATGTGCATATTATAGATTTTTCATGATTACAAAATAAACAATTGAATGATGTATCTAATTTTTGAACAACTTTCTTGACTGGTTTTCTTGATGATTTCTTTCTACCCTATTTGAAATGAATGTTAGTTTCTATGAACCTTGGAGAAGTCATAATGATTTAATTGAAGGCATACCATTTTGAATAAATTCTGGCTCGTGTACTCCGAGAATAAAGTTGATTGATGATTATGGTTTACTTTCCTTTTATATATTAACTTCACTCGAGATCATTTCACGAATTTTACCCTGACAGAAAGTATAGTCATGTGACGGATCACGTGTAGCAGTGTTTTTTTTTTTTTTTTTTTTATCATTCTCATCGTTTTTAAAAAAATTTATTTGATCAGAAAAATTTATTAGAAGGCATAGGATCAAGAAGAACAATCAAATTCTCTAGATTTCAAGATGGCTAGAAAAGTTACAAACAAAACCAAGGTTGTCAAGAAACCACAAGCTGCTAGAAAACCAAAGGGTAAAGTTGTCAAAGCTTTAAACGTTGAAGATGTTTCTCCAGATGCTAAAGAAGAAGAACCAAAAGTTGCAGTATCTAAAAGTGTCAAATCATTAGTTGATGATAAAAAGATTTCAAAAGCTTTAAGTGAATTGAAAAAATTTGTCGCTAATTCAACTAAAGAAGAAGAATCAAAAGCTCAGTTATTTGAAGATGAATTAAGTAATGATTTACAAATTATCTTCACAAAGAAAAATTTATTTACTTCAAAGAAAAATTTCAAACCAAAATTAATTCATATTCAAGATAAACCTCAAAATGAAGAACAACCAAAAATTGTGTTATTTGTAAGAGATGATGTTATTGATAAAGAATTATTGGAAAAGATTGAAGAATCTGAATTAAATTCATTAATTGAACAAATTATAACTGGATCTGATTTAAAAAGTACTTATAAACAATATGAAAAAAGAAGAGAATTATATTCATTAAATGATATATTTTTAGCAGATGATTCATTAATAACAACATTACCAAAATTATTAGGTAAAGTTTTCTATGATTCCAAAAAATTACCAATTCCAATCAAGATTAATAAAGAAAATTTCTCAATTCAATCAGTTATAAATCAAGTTAATAAAATTTCAAATTCAATAGTGTATTCACTTCCAAGAAGTAATAATTTATCTGTGAACCTAGGTTCCATTGAAACTATTAATGAATCTGTTTTGAAACAAGTTATTGAACATTTCCAAAATGAAGAATTAAGATCAATCTTCATTAAAACTAATCAATCACCTGCATTACCATTATATGAATTAGATACTGTTTATACTGAAGATGATGTTAAACCAACTGATAAAGAAGAAATCAAGGCTAAAGAATCAAATGTTTCAATTGAAGGATTACCTGAAAATATCAAATTAAGTGAATTTGAAAAAGGTTTGATTGAATTAGCTAACCCAACAGAAATTCCTGAATTGTTTTCATCAAAGATTAAGAAATCTATAAAGAAGAGTAAACAAGAGAATAAAGATAAAGTTAGTAAACCTTTGTTGAAGAAGAAAACCAAGAAATCAATCAAAGCTTGAGCATAAGTCATATACAAATTAAAAGTGTTTCATATTAATGTACAATAGATTTTCCCGATTTGATCCCTTATCGTATTGTTTCAAATAAAGTTTCGAATATAGCTTGTCAGGTTAAGAAATGCTCCAATTCTACTGGTTGCAACGTCAAATATCACAGATTCACAACCAATGTATTTCACACTCCTCATTTCAACCCCAGGTATTCATGTAAACTGTTGTAAAACTTTCTGAAATTCTAGAGCACTGTACCTCCAATATAGTTCTGTGCATTTAACCACACTTCCATCTAGACCCTTTCAAGTTCGTACTTGTACAGAAACAACCAAAATTCATTTATTATCATCTTTAGTCATGTGCCTTACCCTCGATATATACCCCTCTCAGTAATTTCCACCCTCGAGTATGACTCGCTATTACTCGGAGAAAGGTGGCTAGAAATTTCTTTTCGGTGTTTAAAAGAAATTTCCCAATTTTTTGATGCAATGTGAAGCAGTTTTTCTATAGGCATCATTCGACAATAACCTGATCTAAAATTTAAAAGATGCACTCTCGTATACCACAGTGCACTATCAAAGTGGAAAAGTTGTTCCAGCCTGATACCACTTCCAAGGCCATTGGTGTGTTTGTGTGGTATCTTGTTTGGAAACTTGTGGCACACTTTGATAGGTGGTGACATACAAAAACGGTTCTGATGTGCATCAGATGCTTTTGAAAGTATAATTACTTGGACCAGCTCTAGGGTATCTTTACAACAACAACAACATCAACTGAATAGAGCCTAAAGTGTACTACACTTTCTCTATTCCAACATGAGCCAATAAGAGGTGCCGTAGAATGGCTTGATCTTGTCAAATAATATTTTGTTCTTCGCGATACTAGAAGGAAGTCATGTGTAGCATGTAGCATGTGTACTCTGGATGTATAGTCTGACATCCCACTAGATTCGAGATGCATCAAGCCTGCTATTACTTGTTGATGACCAAGAATATGGTGCGCTTTTGTTATGGAAGTACGCGTATTTGTTCCAGTTTTGAAGCCGTTGAAAGAAGAAGTTCTTTTTTTTCGAAGTGTGATCTGGAGAAATCAGAAATTTTTACGCATTGTATAGTAAACACTGGTGAAAGCATATGATTTCGATGCTCGAGATGAGTGTGAATTTCTGTTTAATCGTGGAGTCGCTGCCACTTATCTCTGCTCTGCTGTGTATAAAACCAGCGCGTTGACCACCAGTACCGTCAGTTGTGGTTAACACCTTTGATCACTTCTACTGCTCGCTATTGTCAATCGTCGACTTCCCGCCTTGTTCACTTTCAAGAGGCCCAAGCACACACTTAACCTTATTAACATCCAATCTCCAAACGAAGCCTTTCAAAAGGGTTTATATCTGAGAGTTTCACCACCAAATCCATTGCTTAACTTTCAAAAAAAGTTTCACCTGTTCAGCCGTTGAGATCTTAAACTACAGTATCAAACACAGAAAACTCATCTACAATCAGTATTAAAAATTTTCAATGTTCACTGATACTAAACTCAAAGAGTATAATGATCGTGAAGAAAGATTCAAGTTAGCTATAGAAGAGGCTCAAACAAACAAGACTGCATCCATCAACTCTATTGCAAATAAATATAAAGTTAGTAGAACAACATTATCAAGAAGAATACATGGGTTTAAGAATACAAGAACGTCTCATGAAAAACAACAAAAGTTCACAAATGATGAAGAACTAATGATCATTGAAAGAATCAACCATTTATTGAAAACCCATCCTCAAGTTCCTGCAAAGAAAGAAATCTTGTTGATTTGTGAAGACTTATTGAAAAATAAATATGCTAATCAACCACCAAATGAAAGTGAAAATTTCTTCAAAGTTGGAAAGAACTGGATTGATAGATTCTTGGAAAGACATAATGATAAATTAATGATCAATGATAAAACTTCATTATGTGAATATTATAAATATGAATTTTTGCAAAGAAAGAAACTAAGATCATCAAATCCTGATTTTCCTAAAACTGAAGATTCATCACCATCATTAGAAGATGCTCCGTTAAACCATCAACAACAACAACAACCTCATCACCATCATCATCACCATCAACAACAACAATTTGATCCACACCAGCAACAACAATTACCACGTCCAATGATTCCGCCTTCAAGTGATTACATATTTCCAACAAACAACAACAACAATCCAAACATGGAACAAGTTGTAATGAACATTCCTAATGGGTTTGTAATCCCAAATCTAATGCCACAAAATTCATTCAGTCAAGATGGGCCATGGGCCTCGGGTATAAATAGTGTTCCAATGAAACATAGTACCACTGCTGGTTTCTCCCAATCAAATCAATCAATGAATTTCCAATTCCCACAATCACAACAACCTCATAATATGCCACCCCAACAACAGCAACAGCCATCTTCTTCTTCATCTATAACACCTCAACAACAACAACAACCATTAGCAAGAACAATCAGTACACTCAGCGGGTTTGGACCAAATAGCATATTGAATAACCATGGAGTACATCTAAATGGCAACGCTGTTGTCAATATATATCCAGAACAAAATTCAGGAATGTCAGGACAAGGGACACCAACTGGAGCTTCAAATTTCCCTTCACAATATGGTCATGGATTGAACACCTATGCCTTACATCAACCGCAGCAACAACAAACAGAAACAAAACCTAAAGTTGAAGTGCCCAATACACTAGATATCATGGAATTTTTCCAAGATCAAAGATTCTTGTATGATTCAGTACGAGTTAAAATCTTGAATGAATTGCAAAAACAACCAACCGTGGATACTTCACTGATAACAAAATTGGTTAATTTATCATTTGAACAGTTTGAAAAAGATTTACAAAGTACTAACAATGGTGGTTATATTCCAAATTATCAATAATGATAAAACCAGGGATGAGGAAGGAATGCTCTTTCTTATATTTTTTAATGAGTAAACGAAATTAAATGAACTTTCTCAACTGTAGTCACCATCATCAATTATATCATCATCCAATTCATCAAATACTGATTTTGGCGGTAAACTTGTTCTAAAACTTTGAATTGCTCGACCTATTAAATGATCGTTTTCTCCATTAATCGGATTCAAGATGATTTTGGGTTTACTATCATCATTACTATCATTCAATATAATCTCTTTAGCGAAATCCATGATTGATCTTTTCGAACTTGAAGTTTCGTTATTTGAATATTTTGTCTTTTTCAAATTTTCTGTAACCAAATTTTCAAAATCTGTGTTATTATCCTTCATAATCTCTTGTAATTCTTCATGTGTATAGATCTGTAGCCTATTTGGTTCTTCTTCAACTTGATCATAATTGAAATCTATTGGTGGTGATGCAGGTGGTGAAATTAAAAACATTCGACTATTATCTGGTAGTTCAAGATAATTGTCATTTATATCAAAGCTTGAATAATCATGAAGTGAATAACCCGTAGTGAAATCGTCATGGGTGGTTTTGAAATGATCATAGACTTTTATACTTGATTGCTTAGTGTTGAAAATGATCAAGATCCGTTTGAATGTCTTTAGTATAATAAACTGTACCAAATCTGTGTTGGGTATATTTGCAATGATTTCATGTTGTAATGGGACTATAAATTGGTTATCCTCCAACTTTTCCAATGGGATACCAGCCAGTATCAGAGTGTTTGTGATGTCCTCGAGCTCCACCATTACCAGTATTCCTCGTTAACCCTAAATCATGTGTCAAGTTGTAGCCATTTCAATTGGCATTTTGGATTTCAATGAAAAACACCAGTCACGTGAATGTTAAGTCACGTGGATATTCCTCTCTGGTACACGCCACACCCGCAACATCACCGGGAGAGCACTCTCCTGATTGCACACACCAAATGATGCACTGCACCATGAGTTGACGAAACACCAGGTGCTCCATATAAATTGGGACGAAATTCCATTTTTCACAAGACACAACTACAACTTTCAACAACCACAACTTTATACACAATAACAATGCCAAAATTAGTCTTATTACGTCACGGTCAATCCGAATGGAATGAATTGAACTTATTCACCGGTTGGGTTGATGTTAAATTATCTCCAAAAGGTATCGAAGAAGCTAGAAGAGCTGGTGTCTTATTAAAAGAATCCGGTATTAAACCAGATATCTTATTCACTTCAAGATTAACAAGAGCTATCCAAACTGCCAACTTGGCTTTAGAAGAAGCTGGTTTCTCATACATTGATGTCGAAAGATCATGGAGATTAAATGAACGTCATTATGGTGCCCTACAAGGTAAAGATAAAGCTGCCACTTTAGAACAATATGGTCCAGAACAATTCAAAACTTGGAGAAGATCTTTTGATGTCCCACCTCCAAACATTGAAGATGATTCAAAATTCTCTCAAGCTAATGATGAACGTTATGCTTTAATTGATCCAGCTGTTTTACCAAAAACTGAATCATTAGCTTTAGTTATTGATAGATTCTTACCATTCTGGCAAGACACCATTGCTAAACAATTATTAGAAGGTAAAACCGTCATCATTGCTGCTCACGGTAATTCTTTAAGAGGTTTAGTTAAACATTTAGATAACATTTCTGATGATGATATCGCAAACTTGAACATCCCAACTGGTATCCCATTGGTTTATGAATTGGACAACAACTTGAAACCAACTAAACCATCTTACTACTTGGACCCAGAAGCTGCTGCTGCCGGTGCTGCTGCCGTTGCTGCTCAAGGTGCTAAGAAATAATTTCAGTATCTTTAGATAATAATTAGTTTAACGAATTTTAAATTTATGTGTTTGGAATAAAATGAAATGGATTGTAGTTTGACCAATTGGTTTGTTCTTTTTTTTGGTTGTCGTTGACAAGCCAGGTGATCCCGGTGATGTTTCTTGTTCTCGGGTTGATGTAGTTGACTGATGGATTTTTTCACTTCGGCCAAAGTGACAACACAAAAATTTTTAAACAGATACTTGAAAATAAGATTTTAACACTAATACAATTCAAGTATAGCACATTTAAGTAGAGTCATCTAAAACAATATGATAATTATTGAGGATTAAAGCCATTTGTTACCATTTGGCACAATTTCATTATATTGGTGTTGGCCCTACCTCTTTGATGACTAAGCATTGGATCAAACCTATATAGGACTTTAAAAGTGTTAGAGAGTTTATATTTTCCAATATAAACCCTGGAAATAAATTCAAAACTATTAGTAGTTTATACTTTACCTTTAATTTTGGCGGAAAACGTGTTTTTAAATTTCCTCATTTTGAAGAACTTGCAATTTGAAAATATAATTTTAAAGTACCACATAGCATTTTTCTTTAATCTTATAAATTTTAAAATATTAAAAATAATTCAATTGTTTGTTTTACCATTAATCATATCATATTATTTGGTTTCGACTAGCTATTATAATTTATAGATATTATAGTGCATATAATACAGCATCACACCGCAAATTATTCATGATTAGTTAATATTGATGATTATTCTTTAATGATTTTATGCTTCACTATATTTCTAACTCTAATGAGTGCAATATGGTCGATAGATCATTGAATATTTGGGGGGTACTACTGCTTTTAGTACTACTTATACCAGTTTTACAAATGTATTTAAAACCAAAAACAAATAAATTTATTTAAGAAAAAATATTCCTACCCAATGTCCATAAAAACTCTATCAATAATAACCCAAATAAATAAAATAACCAGCTATCACCGATTTAAACTAATGTTGAATTAACACCAGACAATGTTGTTTCTGGAGCAGTAGCATTACCAACACCAGCAGAACTTGAATTTGTTAAATTGCTTGTATTGTAATACCCACCAGTTGGAGCTGCAACTTGAGAAGAACCAGTAACGGTAATGTATTCAACTTGAGTTTGTGTAACAATTTGGGCCATTGGAATAGCTGAAACTGAAGCAATAGCGAAAACTGAAGCGAAAATAGTTGTGAATTGCATTATAACTGAATTGAAAATAATTGATGAATAAAGATTGATTGAATTGAAAATAAAACTTGAAGAATAGTTAAAGGAATGATGAAGTTATTTCAAGACTGTACTATGAAATGAAAGAAAGTCTGTGTGCTTTTATTGATGGTTCTTTTAAGCAAACTAGATGGTTCTCAAAAAGTGGAAACTGGTCTTCTTATATAGTATTTTCAATTAACGTTTAGTAGACTCGATCATGATCTTTACCAAATCGAGTTAAAACGGGTTTTACTAATTTTTAATAAAAGGTACATAGTTTGCATCTTACGTATATTATGACTTCAAGAAAGCTTAATTATTCCCACGGAATCGAAATTTTCACCAATTTGAATCACTTCTAGATCAAGTTGTCCTAGTTATCGAGGTTAAGGTTTCTCAATATCCACGACTTGTGCAGAAACCGTTTTTTTTTCAACCTTCGCCACCAAACTTTAATACTTTTTAATTAGTTAACCCATTAAGGAAAGTTTTGTGCCATATTGAAAACCTGTAGAATGGGCTATGAATCTATGAGTCTTTTGGTGACATATGAGAAGGAGTCAGGAATCAGGAAATCATAAAGCTGGACTCTAGGAGGAAAAGAAAAGCTACGTTTATTGACACGATATACTTGTACAGAGCGTCACCAAAAGTATTGGTTCTAGAAGCGAAAAATGTTGATATAGAAACATCAACGTAATAGATGTCATAGATGATTTGTGTACGCAAAAACGGACCCTGGGTTGAAAAAGAGATGATTGATTCTTTGGAATATTCCAAAAGGTTAGATAATGAGTGATAGAGCTTGTCATAGCAATAGTAGAGAGCCTGTACTGGCCGTCATAGAGCTTCGTGGTGAGTTCAAGCACCGGTCAAATATTTATCAAGTCAAAAAGCAAATCAATAAAAAAATGTACATCTAGACTACAGTAAATGAGTCATAATACAATTCAACAACTTTTATTGTAGACCTTCGCCACAATAAACCGATTTCTATCATATTCTTTCATGAGTACACAAAAATAAATAAGCTCATTTCATTTCTATCAAAGTTGTTCTAGAGCTATCAACAAAACCACATCTTCTTTCATCTCCTTCTAATCCTTTGAATCTAAGACCTGCTTAACTGGTTCTGGGTCATTGATATATAATCCATGCTCTTGAATATATCTAATGACACTATTAGGTAATAAATATTGAACAGACATACCTCTTCTAATAAATAATCTAACTTTTGTAGAACTAATATCATTATAAATCAATTGTTTAATAACCAAAACGTTTCTTCTGTGTTCATACATGATATCATGACTTAACAAGAATGATCTAACATCACTACCTGTTCTTTCCACAATCAAACAACCATAACGGCCTAAAATGTGATGTAAATCATCATCTGCCCATACATTTGGTTCACCCATACTTTCAATTAGATCACCACCAGCTAATAACATAATTTTCACACCTCTTTTAGAACCATCAGAAGTTAAAATCCCACCTCTCTTGATATTTATTTCTTCATTGAAATGATCCAAGACTTTTGCAGTTCTTGTATATGTTGGTTGTAAAGATTCCCAAGCATCAACCATTAACCAACTACTTGTTCTTTCACAAGCCAATTCACACATTCTAACTCTGTGATATGAAGAAGCTAACCCTCTTTTTTTATAATTGTCGCTAACAGGACTATAATAACCACCGACAACTTCAAATCTTGTTTGTTCTCTAATTGCATCCAATGCCATTTCAAACATTCTGAGGTGTAGATAAGTTATTGGTGAGAAAGAACCACATGCCACAATGACTAAAGGATGCTTATTTGGATTTTTCAGTTTTGGGATCAATCTATGAGTTGGGAATTCATAACTTTCAATTCTTTTTGCTTGTCGAACAATACCATGTGGGACTTCTTCTAAATCAGCAGTTTGGTAAGCTTGTATCCCATCTTTTATTGTTGGTTTCATTGGATCTTCTTGTGGTTCCTCTAATAAAGCATCAATATTTTCACTCTTCTCATCATCTTCTTCATCAGTTGACGAATTTTCTGCGCTTGATAATGGTTGTAAATCTTCTGGAATTCTTGGAATTGAATTTTCAAAAGTTTGGGAAGGTGTACTAGTTCCACTAGTTTCACCCGATATTGGAGCAGAGGTGGGTTGTTGAGAAGATGAAGAAGGATGGTGGTGATGATGATGATGGTGGTGATGATGTTTATGTTTACGAGGTTTTATAGGAGCATCAATTTTGTTGGGATAATCAGCTAAGACATAAGGTTGGATAGGTGCAGCTTTTGGGATTTGAGACGAAGGTGCTAATGGAGGGTCATTTGAAGGTTTTGTAGATGGAGGTCTAAAATCTGGAGCTCTTTTTGGATCCATTGTTGAAGTAAAGTTGTAAGTTTAGTAATCTCACCCTGTTGGCGCAATTTTGAGTATTATTATTGATAAGGGAAACTGTGGTACTGTCTTTTTCACCACTTTTTGAATACAATTGAGTAAAAACAAAACTTGATTGCTCAGCACTTCTTCTTTGATTGCAAAGATCAAGGAAATGATGAAAACGATGGGTCTTCTGGATGTTGTTTTGTACTCAGTTGATGGTTTTTTTTCAGATTTCGATATTTTGATCAAAATGGCCTTCGCGAGTCATGGAAAAACTCAAAAGCGGTTCGGACAGCGGTGGAGCGCAATTGATGTGATTTTTTCAAGTTTTTGAGAAAGCTGTCAACGGCTTATGATTGTGTGAAGGAGCAGAATTTCAGGCGGTTTGAGAGATGGATGTTGATGAACGAGTGAGGTGAGTGGATTAATAGCTTTATTTGATGGATTGGATTACTGACTGGAGGCTCAAGGATCACAAAGGCAAAATATCCAACGTTGAAGGAGTTGAAATTGGGGGTGTTGAAAGGTGAATATAATGACAATTGTGAATATTTCACTAGAGGGTTTTTATGGAAAGTGAGTATTTAGAAAGTGATTGAATGATGATCGCTTACTAACATTAGTAATAGACTGTTTGTATGAATTCATACAAAGTGGATTTTTTAGAGAATGAACTACAACCAATACCTAAACCTGGGGAAGCCATGGAGTTATCCCACACAAAGCAAGATCTCACCAAAGAAGCTGTAAGCAGTGATCCATTATCTACAGGTTATAACAGTGAAGATGCTGACAACATTTTGGATGTGATTAAAATGGATGTTGATAGATTGGTAATTGATCCGATCTTCCAAAAGGATGAGATTAAAGATGATATCATTCAGATATTATACAATTATGATAAGTTCACACCTTATAAACAAGGTTTCCATGAAATTTGTGGATTGATTTACTTGGAGCTTTATCGTGATAATATAAATAATGAAAAAATTAAAATTGAGACCTTCAATATCTTTACAAGTTTAATGTTGAGTGTTGTGCCTAATTTTTACATTGAAGATAACTTGATTGGATGGTGTATTTCCATCTTCAACAAGTATTTAAAGCTAACGGATAGTGCATTATATGATTTTTTCATCAAGACTCACAAGATTGAAAGTCAAATATGGTTAATCAGGTGGGTTAGATTATTGTTCATGAGAGAGTTAGGGATCTCAAACACAGTCAAGATCTTAGACATGTTTCTCTGTTTTGACTATGATATATCCAAACTTGTTCCATTTGTGATTATAATATCATTAATCAAGATCAAACTCAGATTAGTTGAGTGTGAAGACAATGGTGAAGTGTTGACCTTGTTATTGCATTATCCACATAAGGAATTTACTAATGAGGAAATTAAAGAGTTGGTTGATTTAAGTATTAAGTTACACAAAGCACCAGAAAATAAGCTGGGAGAGTATGGTATAGCATTAAATAAGAGGTTTCATAAGGGGATTAATTGGGAGAAGATGAAGGATATCGATAGAGTTAGGATGGAGTTAAGACTACAAAGAAAAGTACGGGGCATGCTGAAGATGAAGTGATCAGAGAGGTGATCATTATAGACTAAAGAATTAGAGTAATAAGCATATGATTCATGATTTATGACTTTCTTTAACGTAATTTTAATTGTTGGCTGTTCTGTACGCACTAGCCAAATTAATCACACAATAATTTTCGCTTCGCACAGACACAATTCAGGACTCAGGAGAATGGCTTTCGGAAGGGCTGGTTGAGACATGGCCACCACAGCAGTAAAAGGAATTCCTCATAATCAAAATAACATCAAAGAGCTAATTGAACCCTTAATATTTTGAAACTATCCACGTATAAGTTCGACTTTAAAAGTATTTTATTAGGCTCTCTGCTTAGCTAATCCCAAGGAAATTGCACGGTACGCACCACAGACCCCCATAACGTTATACAGCTGATTTCGCTGCTTTTCAAAACTGTCAGAACAACAACATCAACAACATCAACAGAATCATCAGTTTTAGCGCTTCATCTTCCAAGAGAGACTAATAGTATCTGCTTGCTTTACAGGATTGCTATCTTCATATTATTATAACTGGCTATAGGTGCTTTTACTCAACAATAGCTTTAACATTCCAGCTTTATTTCATTTAGGTTTCATCCCCATAATTTCATTATCAGCATTTCACAAGAGAGAAAATCAAGAGTGCTTTGCTTATAGGTATTTAGCCAGAGTTCAATCAAAGGTTCTCGATTCACATTAACAGATCAAAGGGCCCACAATGCCTGACAGTTCCCAGAATGAGATCGAAAGTGGTGTCTCAAATGTTGAAATTGATTGGTTCTTGAGAGGGAAACTACCAAGTGCAGCATCATGTAAAAATCCATCAAAATCAACCAAGTTATCTTCGAAGTCTAAAGCTGAACCAGACCAAGATTCAAAGCATACCCACTCACCAGCAGAAGATGAGCACAACCTACATTCCCATATAAAAGCAAACAACGGCTTGGAATTGAAAGACTTGTTGAAAGACGAGGCAGCTAATGAGAAACTTCATGTATTGAGCAGGTCAAAATCATACTCAGAAGTGGATTCAACTAGCCATGAAAAGAAAAAAACCGGTTTCTTGAAATCATTATTTTCTAGGAGTAAAAATACAAAACAACAACAGTCTGAGAGAAATAGCCATTCAAATTCACCAGAACCATTAAATACAGGTAATTGTACTGGATCTAAAAATCTTGCTGATGGTGATGCAAAAAATGCCATTTCAAGAACAAGATCATTATCACAATCAAATACTGATTTGGATCCAAAATTGGAAGAATTTCTGAGATACTACAAATCTAAAGGCCTGGATAGATTGCACCAAGATTTGGAAAAACCTTCAAGAAGGGCTTCAGTATCATCAGCTGCATCCACCTCTCAACGTCATCATCATCATAGCAAGAGACTAGTAGATGCTCTGGGGAGACCAATTCCACCACATCCAGATGTTCCACCATTACCACCAGCCATCATTTATGAAACTCACTTTGAAAATAAATCTCACCATCAGCAAGCTCGTCCCCCATCAACTCAAGGATTAACATCTTCAACAAACTCTTCAACAGCCAAAATAAGTGGATTTTTACGTCGTCATAATACTGGCCTTAATGATTCAGACAATGTCAGTAGAAATAGTTCATTTTCATCACAAGACAAGAGAAAAATTGAGCAAGTGATGGAGAAATCAGCTCAAGAGAGCCACCCAGTTGTTATTCCTGGTCTTGAAGATTTACCAAAACTGAAAAGAGTAGCATTTGATGTCCCTGTATTTTTCAATGATCCACCACAACAAATCCCATCAAGAACTCCAAGAAAAGGTGAAGTGGAGATTTTGAAAGATGGAAGTATAGTTATCCATAAGCTAACATCTGCTGAGAGAAGACAAATAATGAATAATTCAGGAGGTGGTATAGTTGTCGGAGGTTCTGGTCATTTGAAAATCATTTCTAATCAAGACAAGAAGGAAGAGTCTGATAAGGCTAGAGAGAAAACAACTGAAGATCTAGAAGAGGAAGATAATGAACATGAAGCTCAAAAACATTCAATCGGTGCAGCGGCAGCAGCAGCAGCTGCAGAGGCTAGAGCAAAAGCTGCTCCTAATGAATTGAGAAGAATTGTCACAAACAATGAAGATGAAGTCATGGTTAGTTCCGATGCATCAAAAATCAACATTGATAAACCTATGGTTCGCCATAATAAAAGTGCAACTTCATTGATGACTATGGCAACAGTACATGATGGTCAAGAAGCTGAAGAAGACGAAAATGATGATATTTTCCCACCACAGCATGTCAAAGTTCCCCTGGATATTTTATATACAAGATGTTGTCATCTAAGAGAAATTTTACCAATTCCTGCAACGTTAAAGCAACTTAAACCAGGTTCAACAGATCCTATATCCTTGTTGCAATTAAGAAATCCCAAACCATCATTAGTTGAAGTGCTCACATTTGCAGATTTCGTTTCTGTTGCTCCAGTTTTATGTGTTGCATTAGACGGTGTTTCGTTATCTTCAGAAATGTTGAGAATCATTTTAAGTGCATTATTACCAAAGAAAGAATTGGAGAAATTGACATTGAGAAATACACCAATTGATGATCTTGGTTGGAGATTATTGTGTTGGTTCTTGACTAAAAATCATACTTTATCAAGACTTGACCTGACTCAGGTTCCTTCGTTAACTACAAATGTTCAAAAACCATCCAAGACCGCATCAAATATTGTTAGAATGGAATGTAACATGAATGATAGATCTGATATGAATTGGAATCTGCTCAATGCTGCATTGATTTCAAGAAAAGGTATTGATGAATTAGTTATTAATGGGGCCAAGATGAATGATGAACAATGTATGAACCTATTTGAAATGGGATTAAGTATTAGCACGACCAGATTGGGTCTTGCTTATAATGATTTAACAGAAAAACAATGTGAGATCATTGCAAATCATATGGATGTGAATAAAATTGTCGGTGTTGACCTAGGTTATAATGATTTGAATGGGAAATTGGGACCTTTCAACAAAAGGGTTGCTACTGATGATGTTTCTGAATCTAACTTGAAATTCATTTCTTTGAATTCAACTAATCTGGATAACTCAAATGGTGAACTGGACTTATTAATTAGCACATTTGCTAAATTCAAAGATCTTCGTTATATTGATTTGTCAAATAATAAGAAGCTTTTCCCAAATTTGATTATAAGCTTGAGTGAAAATCTACCATTATACCCAAACTTGGCAAGAATTCATCTTGATTACAATGACTTAAAATCATCAGAAATTGTTGCATTTGCTGAATTGATTCCATTTTGTAAATCATTATCATATGTTTCATTAGTTGGTAATCATCTGGATACAGTTTCTGCAAGTGCATTAACTAATGCTCTCAAGATTTCAAAATCATTAATTACATTAGATTTAAATTATGATGAGGTTGCACCAAAATTCAGAGAAAGTATTGGATTATACACAGTTAGAAATATGCAACATCAAGTTTATGGGAAACAATCAGATCCAAAAGAACTACAAGGTATCCAGGAAGAATTATCACATTTATTGTTATTAGATGAAACTAATCCTGATCCTAAATTGATTGAGAAATTCTTTGAGAAAGCTATCAAAATTAGAGATAGAATTCATGAAACTATTGATGAACTATTCAGACTGAGACTACAGGGGAATTTGAGTACTGATGGTAAAGAGACTTTAATTAGGTTTTGTTTTATTGATGCATCCATTGAGAAAGGTTTGTCATTACTAGATAAGAAGACTGCAAAACATGGATTTGATATCAAGAAATATTTAACGCCCCATCCTGAGACCCCATTGTTGAGCAGAAGACCAAGTAACATACTTCACTCTTCGTCATATTTATCAGAGAACAACCATAGTGAATTATTGCCATTTGGAATGAATACAACTAGTCATGAGGGTGATATTCATATTGATGCTGAAGAGATTAAAGACGAACAAAGGGCAAGAGCTAAGGATACCAGTAAAATAAAAGAGGAAGCTTCAATTTTGAAATTGAACCAATATATTAAAAATCAAATGGATCATAAAGATTTAAAACCAAACATTGATTCAATTCAAGATATAAGTGGTGAGAGATTTAGAGAAATTTTACTGCAAACGAATGATTTGAATAACGTTGTTGATGTTTTAGATTCAATCAAGAAGGAAGGTATCCCGCTAGAAAAGATTTATGAAAGAAAGGACTCATCTGCTGGTAATTCAACTTCAGCACCTTTGTTGTTGGAGACTTTGAAAAACACTCATTCCAATGTATCTGATAGAAAGACAATTGTTTCAGATAACGATGATGACAGTGATTCAGAGAGTGATAAAGATAGTTATATTTCAGATGAAGAAAATGATAATGAAATTAATCAAGCTTATGATACGATCTTGGACCATTTGGAAAGGGTGAGAACTAATAATTAATTATTTTTACAATTGTTTTTCTTCTATTTATTATTCATTAATTAAAATACAAACTCTATTAGGCATTATTCTGGTTCTGTGTTGTATTGATGATTCCGTTTAGACTGATTGAATGAAGTTAACGATAACTTCACCGATCTTGGAACCGTGGTGTTCATTGTTATTCAAAACATTGATGGCATCTTCATAAGCGTCTTGTGTAATTTTTCCATCTTTGAGTTTCATTTCCAAAGCATCTTCTGTAAAGCTTTTGGTGAATTCAGGATGTCCTTGAAATGTCAAAATTTTATCTTTTTTATAAAAACCTTGAGACTCTGTTCTTTTACTACTTCCAATGTTTTTACAACCTTTTGGAGTTTCGTAAACAATATCTTGATGACTTTCTAAGATGTTGAATTGCCCTTGGAAATCTTTTAGTAACTCTTGAATTTCTTCATCTTGATTTATAGTAACAGGTTCAACAGTTAATTCCCAACCTTTATCATTTCTACCAACTTTTGAGCCTAACGATCTAGCAATGATTTGATGACCAAAGCAAATCCCAACTAGACGAATATCTTCTCTACTTAAAACCTTATCTTGTAAAAAGGTTTTTAAATTTAAGATCCATGGTTCATCAGCAAATGCATCACTTCTTGAACCAGTAATCCAGATAGCTTTGATATCTTTTAATTCATCATCAGTAGGAAATTGTGATTTGATAACATCATAGCATCTGATTTCCTCTTGTAATCCTGAATTTTTCAAAAGTTTTGCACTTAATTCTGCAAATGTACCATGTTTATCAGCACAGAATTCGGAATAATCAGTGATAAAGATAGCGACGTGGGTTGAAATGGTCATCTTTGTTAAAAATTAAAAATCAGAAGTCGAAAAGCCAAAGCAGCTTTCCTATTGAAGGTCAAAACTTAAAAGAATGGGTTTACTGGCCTCTTTATACACAAGAAGCTTCTCAAAAATTTAAGGATGCTTGATGCACTTTTCAACGGCTGAAAGTTTCCGATAGAAGATGCATTCGCGAAATGCCTTCTATAATGCAGAGAAATGCCTTTTAAACACTAAAACTTAGGGCTCCTATGCCCATCAAAAGGGTACTCAAAGGCTTTAAAGGACCGTTAGAGGGGCCCATAGACTTCAATAAGTTGTTAAAGTGATCGAAGTATTTTACCACGTTTTAGACTGAAGATTCAGCTTCAATTTGAAGCTTTGATGAAAGAGAATATTATCATTGCCAAAGTCAGGTACGTCAAACAGCTGAAGAACCAATGTTGTCAAACTTTTTGAACCTCATTCTTGAATTGTAGCTGCAGTTGCACACTGACATTTCTGTGTGCTTTCTAGCACCGGAGAAACTCGTATGTAAAACATATTTATGTTTCCAAATTTGATGCTTTATTCAATGCATTGGTCAAAGACGCCCATCAAGCTCCATAATGGAAGGCATTAGAATCACTAAAAACTTTGAAGCTGGCTGGGTGTAGAGTTGGTCAGTATGGAAAAAATTGGGCTCCCATACAATATAGGTCCATATATGGGTATGGATGCTATTATATGGGTTATACTGGTAGGCGTATATATCCGTAGTGTGGTGTTGGGATGTACCAAAGCACCAAAGCATACGTAATCTCATCAAAAGTTCCCTACGAATTCTACTATATATTTGCCTACGGAAATAATCGGCTAATACTATATGGAACCATATATGGAAAAAAAAATTTCCCATACAATATATGGAAGCGTCCATATATGGGCTTGTATGGGTTTTTTCACCCATACTGAATCGCGATTCCATAGTGACCAACTCTAGCTGGGTGTAATTCAGCTTTGTACTTGAGTCTTGTGCCAAGTGATGATTTCCAAAGACATTCTTTCATAACAGTTGAGTCACTAGAGTAAATCAGATCTCACTTGTGTTCAATGGAGAGTACTTCGCACCTACCTATGATTATTTACACAACTTCTAAACTCTTTTTCATTCTGATCAAAGAGCCGATTTAATCTGAAAGCTCAATAGCAAATACATCAAGGCATCAGGCCATCTATAAGCCATCTATCTCTCTACAACGTTAAATATTGGAGAGGGTTTCCAAACCATCACTCTTAGCAGGTAGATGTTCGCGAATTCGAGTTTGTAGCTGAGCCGGGTAAAAAGCACAAATCCGGTACACACCACACCTCGAAAAAACATCAACACTGGCTTCTGAAATGCTTAAATCTATTTAGATCGAGTATAAACAACCAATCAAGAAACGACCGTTGGTTATTCAATTAAGTAATGTCTGGTGCAAATAACGGTACGTATATTCTGAAACTTTATTGAAAGTCATTGAACTAACAGCTTATCATCAGGTGGATCATTATTCGGTCAAACAAACGAAACTGGTAAAGGGTCATTGTTTGGATCAACTCCAAGTAAACCAGGAGCTGGATTCAACTTTGGAAACTCTAATAGCAATGCTGGATCAACTTTCAACTTTGGAAATACTGAAAAGAAAGAAGGAGGTGCTGCTAAACCTGCATTTTCCTTTTCAACAACTGATTCAAAACCTGCAGCTACAGGTGGTTTCAACTTTAGTGGTGCTTCAACTTCAGCTACACCAGCATTCAATCTTGGTGGTGCTTCATCTACTGACACGAATGCTAAACCAAGTTTCAGTTTCAATGCCCCTGCTGATAAAAAAGATGATAAACCAGCATTCAGCTTTAATACAGCAAAGACTGAAGACAAACCAGCTTTCTCATTTAATGGTCCTAAAACAGATGCTAATCCTTCATTAGGTGGTGGATTCTCATTCGGTGCTTCAAAGACTGAAGAAAAGAAAGAATCAGCACCTCCAGCATTTTCATTAGGCGGCGCTCCAAAGACAGATGCCAAACCAGCGTTTAGCTTCAGTGGTGGAAAGACAGATGATAAGCCAGCTGCTGGTGGATTTTCCTTTGGTGGAGCTACTAAACCTGAGACTGATAAACCGGCATTCTCATTCGGTGGTACTACAACAGAAGAAAAGAAGGATGATAAACCAGCTGCCGGAGGATTCTCTTTTGGTGCTGCCAAAACAGAAGAGAAGAAGGATGATAAACCAGCCGCATTCTCATTCGGTGCTAAAAAGGATGAAACTAAGCCAGAGGAAAAGAAAGAGGAACCAAAAGATGATAAGAAAACTGTCACATTTTCCAATAGTGTGATAGATCGTGATGAGAAGAAAGAAAATGCTAAAACTGTCGAGCCAAAACCTGTGTCATTAAACAACAAAACTTTAGAAGATGTGATAACAAAATGGACAAATCAATTATCAAATGCATCAACATCATTTGAAGAATACTCTACCAAGGTAAATGAATGGGATCGTGTATTGGTTGATGGTGGTGAAAAAATCAGTCAACTATATGCAGATACAGTTACTGCTGAACAAACACAAAACAAAATAGACCAAGCTTTATTATACATCGAAAGACAACAAGATGAACTTGAGAACTTTTTGGACAATTACGAAGCCAAGGCCAACAATTTATTATCAGATGTTCTCTCCTCACAAACCAAGGACTCCTCTGTTATTACTAATGATCAAAAGAGAGAGCAGGCTTATCGTACAGCAGAACTTTTAGATGATAATTTGAGTTCATTAGGAACAAATTTATCTTCATTGATTACTGAAATAAATGATGTTAGTGATTCATTCAATAAGACTAATGGTTTGGGCTCAGGCGGTGACGCCAATAAAAAGGAAGATGACAGCTCATTGGACCAAATAGTGAAGTTGTTAAATACGCATTTGGATTCTTTGAAATGGGTTGAGAAAAACTCTGATGATTTGAAAGCAAAGATTGACAAATTCAAAGACTTAGATTTATGATTATCTATACTTCTTTCCATTGTATAATATTTCAAAAATAATTGTTGACTACGTAATTATTTCCATGTAAAGTTCAAACAATTTTTTACTATTATACATATTTTTCTTTAAAATGCAGCGTGTTCACCATTGAACCCTGTTAAGGTACTCAATAACACAAATAAGTTTACTAGATCTTTCAACCCCGATGAATCAACCCCATTGGCTTTGTAAACCTCATGGTCATTCTTTGACTCTATCAAAACATCTCTTTTCAAAACTCCAACAATTAATCTTCTAAAGTGTAAAAGTAGCTTATGAACTTGCTCAATGACAGGTTTATTCTCAGAGCTGGTACTCAATAAGATTGCAGCAACTAACTGGAATGTTGGAACCAATAGCTCAAATAAGGAAACACCTTTACTGGAATCATCAAATGCTAATGGTGTATCTAAGTTCAAATTAACTCTAACAAATGTTGAGGTCTGTATTGTGGTTTCATCAAATACCAACTCAAGACCAAGGTCAGGATCAATTAACAAAAATGAGCATGCCTTGATTGTTTGGAAGATCTCACTTTGTAGTAACTGTTGTGCACCATGTCTAGTTTCTGCAACCCTGATCAAGAAACTCAATGTGGCTTTGAATGCAGTCAACTCATAAAGTAGAGAGTCTAATGTGATCTTGTTTTCATGAGATAACGACAAGGTTTCATCAGTTCTTTTGATTGATTTAACCAACAACAAGAGCAAGTTGTTTTTGACCAAGGAGTTCAGAACAAAATTTAATTGATTAATACTTGACAATTGAAATAATGATTCTAATAACAATAACCCAGTGATTCTTGTGGCACCTTCACCACCAATAGCATCATTGCAAATGACTGTAATCAGTCTTTCACTAGATAATTTGATTGATTTCAAGATATCTTTAGCAACTTCTGGATGATCTAGCACCCATGACAAATATTTGTTACTCAAGACATATAAATCAGAGCGTAAAGCCAAAGTAGATAATGGACTTAATATACCATTGATACATGATCTGAATAATGAATACAATCTTTCATAACCATCAAAGACGCTTGGATCATCTTTCTCTAGAGTGATTCTATCCTTATGATAAATGTCATATAGCGAAACACAAAGTGAGACCAACTCTTCAGCGTAAAGCACGTCATATTCAACATAATCATTGATTCTTGGTACAATAGCATGGAAAACTTCAAGGATAAAGTTAGATCTTTGAACTGGATCTAACTTCCCATCAGTAACAGTAACCTGGATAAGCTGGACCCATGAATGTAGCGTAGATAGTTGATATGATTTGAATTTCAAGTGGGCAAGATAATTGATAAATCTGCTTTTGATAAGATCTCTTTCTGCTAAAGCTTCTGATTCGTCACTTTCAATATTTTTTGGAATCATTACCAATGATTGTGAAGCTCTTGAATCTGTTCTTTTTAGCCCTTGTTTCAACTCATTGATATCATTAGTTTGTTTCTCTTCATCAGAGTTTGTGTGATATTGGCCCTGAACCCAAGATTGGACCAAACGTAAGTCTAATATGGAATCCAAGTCACTCAAATCAAATATTGAGCCATCTGAACTAATTGCAGTTGAAATTCTGTTCAAATTTAGATTCAAGTCAACTTCACTGAAGAATTTTAGTTCATCTGGAACAGAAGAAATTTCGGAAAGGTTGAACTCTAAAATATCCAAGAATGATAATATTTTTGGAGGACCAATAAAAGCTTCTTCACCATTGATAAGTTTGTTGATATAGCTTGAAGTTTTTGATATTGAACCTTGAGCTGAAGTTCTATGTAGTTCAAGACTCAAGTATTGTAAAATAAAGCTTCTTTGGCTCAAGAATGATAATAAAGCGCCAATAGCCGGTCCTGAGTTGAACTCTGTCTTGTTTTTCAAATTTCCATCAAACTTTGCACCTGACCACAGGGTGTGTAAATCAATGCGTGGGGTATTCAACAGCTTAGTTAAAAGATCATAATTACTGATGTGAACAAGCATTAATGTGGATGTTGTGGAGTTACGGCATAGCTTCAAGATTATTTCAAGAACAACAGCAGCGAGTCTAATTGGTTCATAATCAATATTAGTGTTTGAAATTGCCAATAAACTTGATTCAAGGGTGTAAAGTAATGACTTGAAAACTGAAGTGCCTGACGCAATGAAAGTTTCTGAATCTGAATCCCCCAGGGTAATGCCATTTTTCAAATCAAACCCTAAAATGAAATGTGAAATGGTATAACCTTTAGAAGAAACTGAAAGGTTTTCGTTGATGAAGTTGAGTGTTTGAATCTTAACCTCTAAGTCTTTTTGAGTATAAATTTCTGACTCTAATTGGTTGATAAAGGCAAATTTAATTCTGAGTGATTCATCAATACTATCAAGAACAGTCAAAAGTCTGTTCTTACCGATCAGCGAGCCACTTGTATGTGATGATCCAAATTGGGATGATTTTGAAAATCTTGATAGTAGTTTGATAGACTTTTCAGCAATTGGTAGATGTGTTGAGCCAACATATAATGAAATGTGAGCAATTAATGGTAGGTTGAATAAAATGGCATCATAAAATGAGCGAATACCATGTGTGCCAATGTTGTTAGGAACATAATAATTATTTTCCTTTTTGATTAATGGCAATAGTTCATCAATGTATGTCACTTCTAGATCCAAAACTTTCCCTATAATGGTTAAAGCCAAATCAACCACTTGAACCTGCTCTTCGTCAAATGATTTATCACTAATGTTATCTATACCAGTAGAAGCAATCTCAAATAACACTTTATGGATCTTCTCCTGGAATAAAAAGTTTAACGCAGCAGGGGCCGGATTTGCCTGGACATAAGTTGCAAAATCAGCTGTTTCTACCACGCTATTCAAGTCAGCAGCAGCAGGAAAAGAGTTCAGGATCAATTTTGGATCAAAAGATGATAGGGTATAATCAAGTATTTTCAATATTGGTTTTTGTAAACTCACTTTCTCTGAAAAATACAGGGCTGGGGAATGAAAGAAAACATCACTCAACAAAAATTCAAGATATGGAGCAATTCCCCTTTTTCTATAAGATAGACCAAGTTGGCTTGGAAATGGCAATTCAAATTTTCCAAATCTTTTGACCGGTTTTAGCAAAGCTTCAATCAAGTTGATGAAACCCACGATATCAGGGAAGGAAACCAACAAATTTCTAAAACAGTCCTTCAAAGTGACAGAAGGTTGCGAGAAAAGCCATAAATCTAAACGCTCCCAGATTGTGTTTCTTCTTTCTTTATCTTCTGAGACCAATGAGCATATAACTTCCAAAGCAGCACCAACTAATGGGGTATCCAACCTTATGAAGTTGAACAGACAATTGAGGACAGTATCATCAAATAATGCTTTAACGGACTCACTGTTTGAAGCAACTTGGTAAATCAATGTGAAGTATGAGGAGATGGATAAGACAATTTCTTCACTTAAACCATTATCATCACCACTTTGTTCAAATTTTGCAATTTTTTCTATATAAGCATTCATTAGATCTATTATAGATGACCATGAGAGCTTTTCAGCACTTGCAATGAAATGGTAAACGTGATTTGCATTTGAGGCACCGGAAGCTAAAGCAGAAACCATCGTAGAAAACGTAGACTTCATTAACAAATCATCGACTTTTGAAGCCCATTCAATAAAACCATAAGCATTTGATTCACGGTCTTCCCAAAATGTGGATATCAACTCTTCACGATTAGCGTATAAGTAAAAGATTGAAAGGTAGAATCTCTCTAAATCAGCCTTCTTTGAAATATCATCTAGCAGAGAATCTTCTCCAGATAACAGTGAATCTTCTTCGGCATCCTTTATTTTGATTAGCAAGAAAGCAGCATCCGAAATAAAACTTTGAACAAAATCATGCAAAACCTGTGTTATGATGGTTCTCAAATTCTCTGAAACTTTGTATTGCTTTGTGACGACGTACACAGTTGATGTTGAATCCATATTGACAGACCTCAATCTTTTCGTTTCCTCCTCATTTACATCGAGAATCTTCTTTGGAACCAATCTTGGTAAATGTTGTTCTAATAGTGATCTCAAATCATAAAATAACTCAAATGTGTTCTCTGAAGTTTCTGCAGTGATGATAAGTAGTTGTTCAATAGCACCCATCTGTACTGCTGAGGTCATTGGTGCTTCAATGGCAATATCAAAATCAAACTCTTCAACTCTTCTTGGGATTTGTTTACACCAATCAATGAAATATGTCAAAAACACAAAAATAGTCAATAATTTGGCAGGAACTTTGTAGATTTCATCCTTATTTTTTAACTCTTTCAAAAGCTCACTATGTAATTGCTTGACATCATCTTCCTTTAAAGTTTCAAGTTTGGAACAAAATAACAAAAGCCCAGGCATCACATGGATAATGAACAAGTCATCAATATCAAAAGTTGAAACAAAGTTGTAAAATTTAAGGAAATCAGCCTTGGTAACTAATCCTTGAGAGGTCAAGCCATAAAAGATTTCACCTAGTGTTTCGTGTTCTTTGTTAAGGAAATTTCTTCTGAAGGTAACTCTCTGTTGTAAGTCATTTGAATCATATTGGCCCAAAATTTTTGCTCTTTGAACTGATTGACTTATGCTTTCAAGTTCCTCCTCCACTTCTTTAAAAGACTTGAGTAATGTATCAATGAATTGATTTGTGAATACCAAATCAGTCAAGTCCTTTGAGCCAGTATTAAAGATATATGAAACAATTGATAAGATGTGTTGTTTTCTTAGATAAAACGAAGCCTTAGCATTATCCACCAATTCTGCTCCTAGATCTGAAGAAGTGTGAATAAATTCAGCAGCAATAAGTTCATCAATGTTAAGCTCATCAGCTATAGTAGCGGAAGCAATCTTGAATTCTTCATTAACTTCATATTCATCGCCACCTAATGAGATAGTTCCCTTTTCGAGCGTTTGTCTGCTGGTTGTATTCTTCTTGGGTATGAGTGTCAAATTGCTTAGATCCTCTTTCAATTCATTCAAAAGCGCTATATCTGGCGACCCTTGTTCAATAGATCGATACAAGGACGTGAAAGGTGAAATAGACCAGTGTCTAGTCATCTTCTTGATATAGAGATTTATAGAAAGTGACCGCTCTCAAGTCAATTCTTGATTGTTTTGGATCACGACCTTCAAGTATTCGATTTGTTTACAGATTTTTTTTCTTGATTCAGTCTGTTCGAAAAAAAAAAAAACATGGAAGATTATATAATATTGGTATCGAGACACACCACTATAAAGAATTTGAAATTACCAGAATTGTGGATAAGTTTTAGCATTCTACAATGGTAATATTGTTACCCCCAATGTATCAAATTAATTTTCGGAAAGCACAACTCTATCTAATGTGAAAGTTCACCTTTGAAAGCAACAGAACCTTGTCTAGCTTCTCTGGCACTAACTTGTAAGGTACCTTCTTTATTTATGTTGATAGTAATTTCAACTTTTGAACCTTCATGGACATCACGAACAGCTAATTCAGCAAGTTTAGTACCTGGTAAGTAGTGTTTTTCTCTGACAACTTCTGGTTCATCATCAGAGTAATCATCTTCATCATCTTCATCTTTAGCTGGAGGATCCAAAACGGTTTCTTTAACGTGGTGTTCACCTTCAACGACAGTGATTAAAACATCACCCTTTGGAGCATCTAATTGAATGCTACGACGGATTGGGTAAGTGGCTTCTGATTTTAAGATTGGAACGAATTCACCAGCACCGTTGACAATACCAATAGCTTTGCTTAAATGTTGTGTGTTAATAATGACTGGTGATAAGCTTTCTTTAATTTCATTTTCATCAAAGTTTTCTAATAATGAAGCTTGTAAAGCAGCACCACGGGCAACTAATTCTTCTGGATATGGAACTTTAGAGTCTAAAGATGGAGCGACAACGATGGTGGATTCTGGGAATAATAACTCAACGTTTGAAGCTAATTTTGGAGTGTTTGAAACACCACCAGCTAATAAAACTTCATCGATATCCAAGACATCCAAGTTAGCCTTCTTAACAACTGATTCAACAAAGCCAGTAAATTGACTTAAAACGTTACGAGCAACTAATTCAAAACGTAATCTGTTGATAGTTGAATGATAATCAATACCTTCAGCTAATGATTCAATAGAAATGGTTGATGATTGAACATTTGATAAAGTTTTTCTGGCCAAGATAGCAGCGTCTTTTAATTTAGCTAATGAACGAGCTGTTTTTCTTGGATCAACTTTGTATTTCTTTTCAAATTCTTTGGCAATGAATTCAGCTAAAGCAGCATCTAGTTTGTCACCACCTAATTCGTAATCATGAGAAGTGGCCAAGATGGTTAAGATACCACCACGGACTGAGATAACAGCAGCATCAGATCTAATACCACCAAAATCAGCAACAACATATGTTTTATCTTGTTCTAAACGATCTTCAGTTGAAGCATGTGCTAATAAAGCAGCACTTGGTTCGTTTATTATTTGTAAAACTTTTAAGTCAGCAGCATCACCAGCTCTAACTAAAGCGGCCTTTTGTTCTTCAGTGAAGTCAGTTGGGACAGCAACGACAGCACCTTCAACTTTCTTACCGATATAATCTTCAGCAGCAACTTTTAGTTTACCCAAGTGTCTAGCAGTGGCTTGTTCTGCAGTGATTTTTTCAACTTTTTCTTCACCAGATTCAGAAGTTTTGGTAATTTCAAAACCAATTTTACCATCTAAATCAGCAGCATGAGCAGCACGTTCAGTGACAGTTGGGTCAACTTTTGAGTAAGCTTGACCGAGGTAATCACGGAAGTTGATGATTGTGTTTCTTGGGTTTCTAATCAATTGAGCCAAAGCTTGACCACCATGGTATTCATCATCACCGACATAGGCTAATGAAGATGGGATAGCACGTTCACCATCTGGGTTAGCGATGACTTCAACACCTTTACCATCTTGGGCTGGTGCAGCAATAGAGGAGGTAGTGTTACCAAAGGAAATACCAATGACAGTAGACATTCTTTCTGAGTTGTGTGAATAGACAAGTCTCTCTGAAAGCTTTTGAATTAACTCTCTCTTCTATGGCTTTTCTGATTTCCTCAAAAAAAAATTTCAAAGTAAAAAAAAAAAAAAAAAAAAAAAAAAAAAAAAAAAAATCAAAATGATTATGTAATATTGGGTCTATTTTTTTGCCTGATCGAATAAAGGTGTAGTGTGATTTTGATAAAATTCATCAGAAATTGTTTTATTCACGTTTTATTCAACCATTTTACTTCAATTTGCGGAGTAAATAGCATTCGGGGTCCTTTGTGCTGGTAATACTTATCCCATAAGATGTCCTTGGTATCAGGAGCTGCCCTATATAAAAAGAAGTCAGGTTTGCTAACCATATATGAAGATAGGTCTCCAGCCATATTACTTTGGAAAGCTGCTGATAATGCCCTTCCGATACCTCCAGTTGAAATTGTGCTTACCACAATCACAAATATGCAAGCTACTCCTGCCTCGTCTCCAAAAATGATGTTGAAGATATTCACTAAACCATCTGAAGGTGCTGAGCCAGTTGTTTACATATTTTCCTTTACAAACAGAATTGTGATGGATAATGTTAAAGAGGCACTACAACAGATTGGAGCAAGACACAAATCAGCTCTACAAGCAGCACAATCTGCAAATTCCTCACCAGCTCCAGAGAAGCCTTTAATCAATACCACATTTTTAGATGATGCATTAGATTCTAAGAAGTTGCTAAGGAACCACCAACTTCAACAAAAACTATTATTGGAAAATAAGCCATTGATGTCTACTTTCAAAGAAGCTGTGATGAACCAAGGTTTAGATCCTGAAGAATTTTGGACTACAAGAGTTCATTTATTAAGAGCATTTGCATTGTCTCATTCTCAAAAGATAGGGCCATATAATGTTTTGAGTACTATCAAGCCTACTGCTACAAGTGATAATCAAGTTAATGTGAATGTGAGCCGGGACAAGATCCATGCTATTTTTGAACAATACCCTGTGGTGAGAAAAGCTTATGATGATAATGTGCCGAGATTGTCAGAAGGTGAGTTTTGGTCAAGATTTTTTGCTTCAAAACTATTTAGAAAATTAAGAGGTGAAAAGATAAATCCAAATGCAAGGGGTGATTTACTTTTGGATAAATATATCAATATGGATATAGATTATGAAAAACATGAAGATGAAACACTTAATCATAAAGTGAACAAAACTATAGATTTGGAAGGTAATCAAGAAGATGATTCAACCAAACTTGGGAACGCCCCAGATATGACTATGAAAGCTAATGCAATGCCAGAAACTGTTAGTGTTCTAAGGAGTATGAATAGATTAAGTCAAAAGATGGTTAATAGCTTGGAACATGAATATTCAAGATCTGCTACACCAGGAGAAAATGAGAAATCTAAGGAAGAGAGGGAAAATGAACGTATCAGAGACGAATTACTCTTCCATGACTTGGAAGTTCCACATAATACTGAATATTCAGAAATATCAGTGAGACAAGACCGTGAAACGCACGAAATTAATAGACCCAAACCTCCAACAAGACAAGAATATGCGCAATATGTTGATGAGCTCAAGACTCAATTTGAACAACCAGCTGATCTGGAAACAATTTTCAGCAATGATAGAAAGAGACCAATTGAAGAAGCCTCAGCAGATGTTATCAATACTGTGAGAATAAACTCTAAACAATCAAAGCAAAGTTGGCAAGTCTATAGGTCATTTGAAGAGCAAGCAGCGCATAGTGTTGTTGATGAAGCTGATGAGACGTTTGATAAGAATGCCTTGGAACAACTGAGAATAACACATGGTACTTCAGTTGAATTTTTAAGACATTTTTGGTTACACTTTTCCTCTGGTGATCCATCTCAGGCGACTAATATTAAGACATTGTATAACAGTCTGGTCAAATCACAAGATAGAGTCAAAGCTGCACTTGAGTCAATCAAAGATGAAAAAGTCAAGGAACAGTCATCACATTATATGAAACCATTAAACGAATCTTTGACTGCTGCCATAGCAAAATATCAAAATGCACTAAAAGAAGCTGGTGTGACAATTACGAGCGCATAAAGAAAACTACACAAATCTAGTTCAAAAATTTATATCTATGCTCATTGAATGTTATTTGCCACTTTGAACTTTTCCCATGCTGTGTTGATAACCACAAATACACTTTGTGCAATCATTTTTTGTTCAGCTGTAGCGTTTGGTGGGATTTTGTCGGGATGAACTTTTGCAACAGCTTTCATGTATGTAATTTTTACTTTTTTGGGCATGACTAAATCAGATAAATTGACTCTTTTCCAATTGGTAGATTCCCATAAAATCTCATGTAATGATGCCAATAATGCTCTAAGGTTATCTTCTTTACCACCTTTCCAATTATTAATTTTGCTTTCAATTTGGTCATACAGTTTATATTTCTCTTCTTCGAAATTCTGAGAGGCTTGATTTGATTCACGTATTCTCTTTAATGCTTCGCCTTCTGATTCTGCAGATGATGGTTTCGGATTTGGCTTTGGTTTTCTTTCAACTGGTTTTGGTTTTGGAGTTTCCTTAGGTTTTGGATTTAATGCATCTTGGCAACGTCTCTTACCATCTAATGTGACCTTATTAGCAGAACCATTCTCAATTAATTCAGTCCATACTTCTAAAGCCTCCTTAAATTTCTCCAAATGTTCTAAAGCTTCAGCTTTCTTTTGAGTAATCTTGACCCAAAAGTCTTTCATATTCTTACCAGGTTCAACTTCCTCAGAAACACCTCTTGAAGGCCCAATTAAACCCAATGCAATATCAGCGGACTCAACAACCTTTTTGTTTTCACCAACTTTGAAATATGCAGTGATACAATTTGAATATGCTAAAATAGAAAGAATATGACCTTTAGGTAATGCATTCAATGATTTTTCGTAATGTTCTAATGCTGTAGCGAAATCACCTTGTTTGAATGAAACACCACCTCTTTCACGAAATTCTTCAAAAGTATCTTTTTCAATTGAAGACATGGAAATTGTTGGCCTCTGTGTCTTGTTTGCGGAGGATGATTGTGGTCTTGAAGCAACAGGTCTTCTTCTAGATGAGGAAGTCATCATTTCTCCTGCACTTGAACTTTTCACTCTTTGAGAGGAAGAGAGTGATGGTGTGTTTGGTTTGGAGGCTTGGGGTAAAGGTGCAAAAATATCAATTTCTTCTTGTAGTTCTGGCTCAGATACGGTAGGTTTTGGTTGTCTGCGTTCTCTAACTTGTGGTTGACTTCTTTCTGATACATGCGACTTTCTTGGTGGTGGGACTGGAGCTCTTTGATAGTTTTTGGATGACATCTTTGGGCCTTCAAGCTTAGAACCTTCGTTAGTTAAGTTCAATCTTTGTATATCTTCTTCAGTTAATTCCTCAGGATCTTCTTCATATTTTGTTCTTCTGGACTTGTACTTTTCTTGATCACGCATCCATGCTGGAGTTCCATCATCTCCTGGTGGAGGACTGAAAAACCTATTGGCAACATCATTAGCAAGTTTGTCAGACACCTTGAACATTGTTTGAGCGAAACTTTCAAAATATTGGTTAGCCTGCTTCATAGCACTACCACCTCTTTGACCTGAAGAAGTACGACTTAATCTTTCTGGAGGTAGGCCAGCTTTTGATCTAGCCTTCTGGTGTGCTGAATTCATTATATAACTAACTGCAGCTTCCACATTAAGCCCATTATCCGTGTGGTTTAACGCATCGGTAGCTTGTTCAACAGAGAAACCCATATCCACCAACGACGCAATAGCTTCATCTCTAGCCTCGCCATTAACAGTTGGTGTTGACTTTCTACCTCTTTGTTGAGTGGATAGTGTTGGTGATGGGAAACTTTCATCCTGGAAAGATTGTGGTGAAGCCACTCCACTGTTCAAAACGTCAAATTGTTGAGAAGAATGTGTAGGTATAGGATTCTCCAATTTTGTTGGTTTGGGTTGAGGTGGTCTATCAAAGACAGCAAACAAATCATCAATATTTTGTTCACTCTGCGATTGAACTGGCTGGGAGTTTTCCATCAATCTTGGGGTTGATGACTTTGACACACTTGAGGATGAAAAATCATCACCAAAACTGTCCAAAAGGTCTATTTCATTTCTATTTGATGATTGATTATTCAAGTTTGTTGATGATGGGTCTGGTGAGGTGAAACCCTCGAAGCGATCTTCATATGGTGATGAATGTGATTGTGAAGTTGAGTTTTGAAGGCTGCTCCTACTTGTTTTATTGACAGCATCAAACCCTTCGAACAAATCAGTTGTTGTGTTGTTATTGACCGGAGTGGCACTTTGAGAGAATAAAGCAGGTGTTCCTTGAGCTGTAGCAGAGCGTGAAGAGCCTCTTGAGTTCTCTAGATAGTCAAAATCTGCCCATTGAGAGTTGTTCTTTTGCGTTGTTGAACCCATTGGGCTATTTCTCTGCCTTTCAGCCAGCGACATCCTGGAATCATCATTTCTCTTTGGAGCATACGATGAGAAAAGATCTGCAAATTGATCCTTCGGTTTCGACATGGTGCAATGGACACTTGATCTTTATCCCTGACCTTTGTTCTAATGTTTTGAATTGAAATACTGAAATATCACTGTGAATCAAAATCCTGTTCAATCGCCAAATCAGCGTGTGCTGGCCAAAAATGTTAATTTTCGCGAAAAGTGATTATGTCATCATGAAGCATAGAAAATTTTTTTTCAAAAGAAGAGCATCTCATCTAAAGCTACTACAACTAATTTAAGGCTCATTATCATCAAGAAACCAATACTCTCAAGATGCATTTAATGTACACTTTAGGTCCAGACGGGAAAAGAATCTACACTTTGAGTAAAACCACTGAAGCTGGTGAAATTACCAAATCTGCTCATCCAGCTAGATTCTCTCCAGATGATAAATATTCAAGACACAGAGTTACTTTAAAGAAACGTTTCAACTTGTTACCAACTCAACAAGGTATGTGATTATGAGAAAAGATTCATTTGTCTGATATGGTTACTAACTTTTCTATAGCTGAAATCAAATACTAGATTCAAAAGATCGCAAATTTCACAAATAATAAAGATAACACAAAAGTTTGAATATCGAAGCATACTTATCAAAAGTTTTAACTAGATTTTAGAGTCATTGGTTATTGCCTTGAATTGTTTCGGTTTTTTTTATATCACAATTTTAATCGTTTTGTTGCTTACGCTAAAAAAGTTTCAAGTTCATTCATGTTTCATTTGTATAATAAATTTTGGGTAATGGATATAATTTTATGAAGTGGTTATGTAGAAAAGCCAAAGGAAACCTGTTACATGAAGCATGTTGATCTCACAATACATTCTTTCTCTGCTGATGTCTATTCTGAGATGCTCCTTTCCCACACAACATCTCAGCGCAATAAAACCGATAGACTGAACATTCCACCTGTTTCTTCTTGTTCTACCTGCTTCTTTTTGTCTCTTAAGCCTCAAAATCTGCCTATAAAGGCTCTTTCTTGTTTCCTGTAGCCTCAAGGTTGAATTCAGCATTAGCTTGATAATTTTCCCACATTTGAGCCACTAGTTCAACTTGTAAATTATCTTTATTAGCCTCCTATTGTAAAGTTAACATGAAGTTCAACCTTATTATTGTTTGCAACCAGACTTACGCGTAAGGAATCGTTCAAAATTGTGACACTTTCATTTAATCTTTCCTATTTGAAGTATAGTTAGTAGACGGATCAACAAACAGACTTTGAGACCTTGAACATACAACATTGTTGATGATACGTGCTAATAGCGCATTCTGCACTTGTTCATGTGGGTTTTCCATCGTGTCTTTTCAATCTTTTTGGATAGTTTTAGATGTTGTTTGGTGATTGGCAAACAGGTTTGTTTTGAATTTTGGAAGGATTAAAACATCAACGCTTTCGCGACCACTAACTACATCATGTTTTATCTAAATTTATAGTAAACATTAAGCAAATACACAATGCAAACTTCCATAGCCATATAATAACATTTAAAATATAAGATAACACAATAGTACTGAAACGATCGACCCATAACGCAAAAAAATAAAACAAACCATTATACTCCTATTACCAAAAAATACTCAATGTACTCATTCGTCAACATAACTCAATCATTAAAAACACCAACTTATCATTTCGTCAACCATTGAATCACAGGTGTACTGCATGCACGGGACATTCACCAGGCCCTTTTCTTTTGAACCAACCTTTGATACATTTGTAATGGAAAACACAAAGACACTCAAGACGCCCAACTTTATCACCGGGTTTCAACTCTTCTAAGCAAATAACACACTCATCATCTCTTGGAAACTTTTCATCAACATTTGATTGTGATTGTTGATGCAGGGTTGACGTTGAAGCATCAGAACACGAAACAACAACTTTCTTGGGGTCTGGAAATGGAATATGATACACCAACATTCTATTACTTCTAAATTGTTCTGGCGAGCCTGAAAATTCTGCATTTATCAAACAAGAATTGATATGTTCCTCTCTCTGTAGCTCAGTTTGACCACTCAAGTTCGTGTTACAAATAGGGCAGTGCTCTCTTTCTTGTTCTATATCATCATCTGGTTCATTAACACCAACTGTTCTTTGCATTGAAACATCTTTGACTTGATTTCTAGGTGGTACCTCCATTGGTGAGCTAGCAGTAATGACACTATCTCTCAAACTATTTTCCATAGCCATCTGTTCCACGCATACATCACAGGTTCTATGTGGCACATGTGGCGATTGCATGAATACTTGACTTTGAGGGCTCACGACGTATGTTCCAGGTTCATAGCTTGTCATGGTGGAAGAGCATGTTCCACAAACAACTCTACCGCATTTACGGCAATGGTGTCTTCTGTAAAATAATGTGAAATCTTTATGGCAAATAAAACATGATTCAACTTCTTCATCTGCTTGCCAAACAGGCACCTCTGTATGAGTTCTGAACGAATGCGTTTCTGACATTACTGACCATAGATAGAGTCAAACCAAAGTGTGCAAATATGAAAATGTAATTAGAACAGATCTTTGGTGGGTTGAATATAAGTTTGATGCTTCGTCTATGATGAATAGATCCTTATCTCTCTCACAACTCGATCGGCAACTTCTTATTAGTCACTTGCCTCTCTCTGATGACAGTTACTCTAGGCTTTATGCTTTATTACTCTATGATATATGAAATGGATGAAATGACTTTGTATTGATCTTGAAAAGGATTCTAAAAAGTTAGTCATGTTGACATTTCTCCATAAAATTACGCTTTGTCCTGTAATTGATTATCCGAATTCCGGGATTTTGTACCATGTGACCAATCACGTGAAACCGAAATTACGAGGGTTTATAAAGTCTATACTGATAACTTTTAATATACATTACTGATATTTTAGACTATATAGCATCTATTCATCATCAGATTCAATTTCATCCACATCACTGTATAAGTCACTATCCAAATCTTCTGGAATAGCTTCATCATCATCGTCACTTTCACTGTCATCACTCTCTTCTTCATCACCATCTGCAGCTTCACCATTAGCTTTTCTTTCTTCTTCACGTTGTTTACGACGTTCCTTTTTAGCTTCCTTTTTAGCCTTTTTACTTGCGATGTTGTCAGATTGAATTTGTTTTCTTTCATCTTTAACTTTTTGACGTTCGGCATGTTTAGCTTCCAATTTAGCAACTTCTGATTTAGATTTCTTAATATTGTGATGGTATAAAACTTTACCAGAACAAACACCTTCTTCAATCTTGGTCATTGTTAATCTCAAACGTGGACCTAATTCAGTCAACTTAATAGCTTTCTTACGCGCATTTGTAACTGGCTCTGTTTGTTCTTCTTCTGTTTTCTTTTTAGGAATTGATGAAGTGCTGTCTTCTTTGACATCAACAATGCTATCATCTTCAACTTCAGAGTCACTTGTGAAACCAGCACCATTTGCATATGGATCCAAAATCAAATCAGAGACATCTGTAGCTTTTCCTAAGTTTGGTAATCTTTTACTCAAATTATGTTTAGCATTGATTAATTTCTTAACTGTCTTGGAACCCTCAACAGGTTTGGTGTCTATAGCATAATGACGCAAGTCAATCAATCCAGTTTCAGGATCTTTATTTATCATCAAAACTCTTTTAACTGAGCTGACTCTTGTGGAATGTGGCTGAATTGGTGGAAACATGTTTTGGAATGTAGTAATTAGTAATTTTTCATGAGGTTCAGCTTTTTGAGGATTGGTGAACCCATTCAACACTAATAATGGAGGATTCAAAAATTCTTTTGATTCTTTTGTGACTGATTTTGGATGCTTCAGTATTCTTCTAACATCTTTAGCTAATGAGTAGTTCTCAACTTTAAATGTTATAGTAGGACCTCTTGACATTCTTCCTAATCTCAATTGTGTTGTACCAGATTCGGACTGACTGAAGACTAATAAATGGGAAACATTTAAAGGACCAGCCATGACAACGAAATCTTTAAGTTTGTTTGATTTTCTTTCTCTTAACTTGATAGCAGTATGTGGTTGCATAACATTTCTCATATCTCTAACAAGTTGAGTCAATGAATGGTTCTTCATGTTGGAACCTATTCTAAGCACCATAGAACGAGGAACTTTGGCCCTATTGACCTTCTCTTCCTCGGTAAGCTTTGGTTGAGTTCTCTTTTTTTGCTAATAACATCAGTTAGTACACCTCCAAGAATATCCATGAGTAAATATCAACATACTCTTCTTTTAGCCATTGTATTTGTATCTTTTAATTCTAGATTTTAAAGTACTTGAGTGTGAAGTTTATCAGGCTCTTGAAATTTTTTTTTCTAGCCCCGATGACATCCCAACACCATTAGAAAAATAGAAATAAAAAAAAAATTCGCATTGTAAGTTTTAATTTATAAGTAGATTCAAGAATAAGATAAAATAAGCCAAACAATGAGTCCAGCTATTGACGGAAAGATTAAAAAGAAGAGTAAGAAGGTTGTTAAGAAGGAAACTGCCCTTGATCTAGCAGAAAAAATCAAAAGAAAAGCTTTAAGCGAGAAAAAACAAGCATCAAAAGCTGAAGATGTGGAAGATCAAGATGATATAAGAGATGATTCAAAAGTTGAAGATGTCAAGCCAAAAGTCTCTTCATTTTCTGAATTGAAGTTGATTCCAGAATTATTAGAGTCATGTCAAGCTATGAAATTTGACAAACCAACACCGATTCAAGCTGAAGCCATTCCATATGCCTTGGAAGGTCGTGATATCATTGGGTTGGCTCAAACAGGTTCTGGTAAAACTGCAGCTTTTGCCATTCCAATCTTACAAGCATTATGGTATGCTCAAACTCCATATTTCGCATGTGTTTTAGCACCAACAAGAGAATTAGCATTCCAAATTAAAGAAACTTTTGATGCATTAGGTTCAAGTATGGGGTTGAGAAGTGTGTGTCTTTCTGGTGGTATGGATATGATGGAACAAGCTAGAGATTTGATGCGTAAACCTCATGTCATCATTGCTTCACCAGGTAGACTGATGGATCATTTGGAACACACTAAAGGTTTTTCATTACGTGCTTTGAAATTTTTAGTTATGGATGAAGCTGATAGATTATTAGATATGGAATTTGGGCCAGTGCTAGATAGAATCTTAAAACTTATCCCAAGGGAAAGAACAACATATCTATTTTCTGCTACAATGACATCTAAAATTGAGAAATTACAACGTGCTTCTTTACAAAACCCTGTTAGAGTTGAAGTTGCCAGTAAATACTCTACAGTTGATACATTAATCCAAACAATGATGGTTGTTCCAGATGGTTACAAGAACACATACTTGGTTCACTGTTTGAATGAGTTTATTGGAAAATCTATCATTGTCTTTACGAGAACTTGTGCACATGCTCATAGAACCGCAATGTTGACACGTCTATTAGGGTTTTCATCTGTTCCATTCCATGGTCAATTAACACAACAACAAAGAATAGGTGCATTGAACAAATTTAAAGCTGGTGAAAAGAAAATTCTTATCTGTACCGATGTTGCAGCAAGAGGTATTGATATTCCATCTGTTGATGTTGTTATCAACTATGATATTCCAACCGACTCTAAACATTATATTCATAGAGTTGGTAGAACTGCAAGAGCTGGTAGATCAGGTAAATCTATAAGTTTTGTCACTCAATATGATTTAGAAATGTTTTTGAGAATTGAAGCTGTTATTCAAATGAAAATTCCAAAAGAAGTTCCAGATAGAGATATAATACTAAGTCTTCATGATACTGTGGACCAAGCTACTGCTGAAGCTATCAGAAAGACCAAGGACTTCCAAGAAACAAGAACTGCAAATGGAAGACACAGAAACAAAAAGGATTATGGTGATAGAGAAGAGCGTTAGCTGTGATAATAAAAGTTTTAATAAGGGTATATTTGATTTCTTTTTAGCATGGGTTTATTTCAATCGAAATTTTATTAATGGATTATTCTATAGAATTGAAATGTTTTGTAAACTCCTCTCTTGTACCTTTAATCCATCTGTATTTGTAAGCCTGGTGATCTTTTGGAACAAACGTTTGACCTTCAACACCATATAGATTTTCTCTGAATGTTCCACCGGGAACTGGATAATCTTCCCATAGCAAACCTCTTTTGCGTAGCTCTGGAGCCAATAGCTCAGCGATATCTTCAAACGTTGCAGGGAAATTTGCATTTGCAAAATTGAAACCATCAATTCCTGAAATATCAACATATCTTTCGATTTCATTTGCAACTTCTTGTGGTGTACCAATCAAAACTCTTTTACGCCCAAGTCCAACACCAACAGATTGCGCAACTTCAGCTCTTGTTTTCTTTTTGTTATCCGTGATATACATTTTCACAGCAGATAACATCGCGTTGGAATTCACTGATTCTAAATCTTCATCTTCTCCAAATTGTGATAGATCTAATCCTGTCCAACCTCCAATAAGCGCTTGCTTCCCCTCTGGATCATGATACTTCATCAAGTCCTGAAATTTTGCTTCAGCTTCTTCATTTGTTTCTCCCAATATAATTATAAGTTCAGAAATAAATTTGATATGTTCTGGGTTTCTATTGTATTTCTCAACAGCAAGTCCTCTAATGTCATCAATACTAGCTTTCAAATCCTCTGGAGTAAATCCTTGAATAAACACAATCTCAGCATGCTTGGCTGCAAATTCCCTTCCAGTTTTAGATGCACCAGCTTGTAGAACCACGGGTATACGCTGTGGTGATGGTTCTGTAATAAATGGGCCAGGAACATTGAAAAATTCACCCTCGTGATTAATTTCTCTTATTCTTGAAGGTTCAGCATATGTCAAATTTGCAGTGTCATCAACTATAGCGTCGTCTCTCCAAGATGATAACAACAATTTATAAACAACTTCCAGATATTCCTCTGCCCTTTCATATCTCTTATCATGTGGTGGCAGATTTTTACTATCTAGTAAGTTTCTAGCTGCACTTTGAAGATAACTCGTCACAATATTCCAACCAACTCGACCTTCACTAAGATGATCCAAAGTTGCCAATCTTCTTGCAAATAAATAAGGAGCCTCACTTATAGTACTGAATGTAATTCCAAACCCAACGGTGTTTGTAGCTTCAACCATTGCACTAATGTAGGCACTTGGATCAACCAGGGGAAATTGAGCACCGGATCTTGCAACAGCATCAAAATTATGAGGGCCTTTATAAACATCATAAGGACCTAAGACATCAGCGATGAAAACAGCATTGAATTTAGCTTTCTCTGCTAGTTTAGCAACTTTTGTCCAGTATGATATTTTTTTATATTCTCTTGATTGATCTTTTGGATGAGCCCAAATTGATGGATTCAAATGACCTAATGATGATAGAACCATAAAGTTCAAAATCAGTGGTTTTCTTTCACGTTTTTGCCTCTTGGAACTAGCAGTCATTCTCTTAGTTTATTGCACCAAGTTGAGTAGAGAAAGGAAGTAACGATAAACTTGAACATCATTCGATTGTTAAATAGAGCTCATCGTCTTCTAACTGTGGCTAAAGGCTACAGATTCAGCAAGCAGCGCCATAGTTTTCAATTCCTCGAAAGAATAACAAAGAGTTCAGCATATAAAGCAGGATCATCATTACCTTCTAATGACATCAGCTACAATTGGATTGGTGCTATTTGGAGGGTAGATGAAAGATGATTGGATTATAATTAAGGAGACGGTATCCTTAAACGCTACCCTTGTATTGATGTCTTTTTAGGCTGGATTGTTATATGCACGGGCAGGGTGCACCTAGGCTGGCTTCAGCCTAGCTCGACTACAGTCTACGATTTCTACAATATCTGATTTATATAACATTCATTTTATTCATCTCTAGGGATAATCAGATCAACTGGCCATCCTATTTATTCAAAGTCAAAGTACTCATTTGACGTTCCTTTTTAGTTGGAATCTTTGTACAGATCCATGTTGAAGCATACATATTTACTCTATCAATTGAAGTTCCAGAATATCTAGTAGCAGCAGCAGTACAGCTGAAACCTTTAGCTTCAAAATGTTTGATATACCATGGAACTTGAGCAGCAGTTCTCAACATGACACGACCACCATCACATAAAGCACTATGGAGAGCGTCAATTTCATCATCAACTTCTTTACCTTCAGGATCAAACCAATCCATATGATCCATAATAACTGCAACTGAGATAGTTTTTTTGGTTAATCTTGCTAAAACATTGTTTAAATAATCGGTGTGTAATCTTATACCTTCTAATGGTGAATTTGAAGTCTTTGTAAGTTGTTTGAAACCTGATTTTGTTAAATAATCTGGGCAATTCTTTGGAGTATAATGCCCTTTTAAAGTCAAATAATAGAAATAATTATCACTTGAAACTAATGAACGACCAATGATTGGATCCAAGGTATCAATAATGTATTGTAAAATTGAAGCATCCATCATAGCAGCTTGGTTAGCTGGAACACCTAAAGCTTTCCACAAGAAGACTGGATTACCAACAAAGATCTTACCAACAATAGCACTGTATAAAACAGGACGAATTGAAGTATTCCAGATTTCTTTTTGTTCATTCAATGTCTTTGCATTGCATAATTCTTCAACTTTTGAAGATAAGCCAGTGATTTTGAAAACATATCTTGCCAATCTCAAAGCCCATCTTGTTGAACCAGTATCATAAAGACCTTTACCAGTAATACTAAAAGTTTTTGGACCTTTCTCCATCCAATATTGGAACGCATTAGAAGAAAGATGTGGTGCTAATTTTCCAATTAATAACTCTTGGAAGTTTTCAATTTTACCTTCACCAAACAATTTCCATGTTTCTTCATGGGATAAAGCTGTCAATGCAGCCAATTTCAATTCAACCAAATGACCTTGACATGGGTTCAAATCAACACCATGGATTCTTTTTGGAGCATTGGAGCCTAAAGAAGCATAAGACAAGATGTTGTCACCAGCAGATGTAATTGCTAAAACTGTGTCCTTTGAAGTCAAGTTCAAAATTTTTGCATCTTCTCTTGGATCTTCCCATGTGAATGCATAAATATATTGATTTTTGAAACATTCATAATCATCACTCAATTCATCATAATAAACTCTCCATGTTTGTTTTTGGTAAAATAATGATGGGTATGGTAATCCTTTCTTGACATTATCCAAAGCAGCTTCCAGAGCTTTACTTGTTGGTGCATCTTTATTAATGGCACCAGATTTTTTTGGATCAATTGGTGCTAAGTATGGAGATTCAGTAGCTAATGAGTTGAATCTGTACATCAATTGTGAATCATGTTGCTTGTTAACACCTAGCCAAATGTAATAAGGAATTTGACCTAAAGTACTGTTGTAACAATTTGTTGATTTTAAAGTACCAAATTTATAATCCAAATATTCTCTTCTTGAAGGATCCAAAAACACTTTATCACATTCAAACCAGATTCTCCAAAACGTTCTATAAAACCAAGGAACATGACGATTAACTAAACCACCGAGTGTATTAGTTCTGCCAATTGAAGTTGAATCTGATTGGACACCAAAATCAACAGAGCAAATGATACCTTCATCAGGTTTCAAGAATTTTGCAGCATGATCAATTGCAGAATGATATAATGGAATCATAGACAAAGAGTATGAATAAGTGATCAAGTCAACTTCTTGGTGTGGGATTTCAAAATCACAAGCATCACCGCAAATAACATGAACATTTTTCCAGCCATGCTTAGCGACTCTTCCCTTGGCAACATCACATAATGAAGGAGATAAATCAACTAAATAAACAGCTTCAAAATTGTCATTCAATTTAGCAACATATTGATCCATTTTTTCAATGTTTAATCCAGTACCACCTCCAATATCGATCCAAACCAATTTTCTAGTTTTATGATCAGCTCTTAAATGTGAGAAAGCCAATTTCATTGCATTTTCCCTACCTTGTAGCAAAACTTCTCTAGTAGTATCATAAAATTTAGCTTGGGTTTTGTAGAACAATTCCAAGTTATTTTGATGATCATTGTGAACTTTTCTATTAGATGGAGTAAATGGTTTCACAAAACATGCCCAAATAAAGACTAGGAAAGATCTTGTCTTTTCATTTGCCAAAAAGTACAAGTAGAATGAACAACCAGTTAAAACCACAGCAGCAAACTTCAAATATTGAGCATAAGTTGAATCTGAAAGATAGTGAGCACTGTTGAATAAGTGAGATTGGACTGTGTCCTTGTAGTAGACAGAATTATCAAGGATAATGTTCTTGAAACTCATATTTGATTGTTGAAATCAGTCTATAGCGTCTTCAACACCATTCAAAGAGCAAACGTTATTCAAAGTGAAGAGCACCTTTAGCGCTATATATACATCACGTCCACCATTCACGCGTTCACTCTTCATTTCCATTTCTACCATCCTCATCTAGTAAGCTTCCACGTGTAATTCACCAGAATCAGCTTAGAATCAAGCGCTGGATCTTCACCAAAGTGTCATATTTGGGTTTCTGTAACAAAACGTGTGCCAACTGCACGTTTCTCAAAACTCAACGTGAAATCAAAACACTGCAAATGTGTTTTCACATGTGACAAGAAGATAACGCACAAGTGACAGTTGTTCAGGAACCATGGAATAGTCTTGTCGACTGGCCAATGACACGCGTTGCTTTGAGTAGGAGAGAAACGTTTCAACTTGATGGTGAACGTGAAGGTGAAATCTGAAATCTCTGTGCTGGTGTTGGGGTGTGATACTCAAGAGCATTGATAATTGAGATCTATCAAAGATCTCGTCAATGAGAGAGGAAGAATGCTTTCAAGACGTGTTGTACAATACTCTGCTACAACATTATAATTGCTGGCACTTGACGCTTGTGTTTCAATGTCTGCAGTACCTTATGATAATACTAAGCTGGTCGATCAGAATCACGCTGTTCATGGACAATTCGCGAAGGAATTCAGCGGCCATGAGAGAGCAGATTAAGCGCTATCTTTCAGTGATTTTTAGATATAAGATTTATGATTAATCACCACTATGACTTCAAGAAGTACTTTATGCACATACTCTTGCTGATTTGTTATGTGATTCGAGAGTTAATCGAAGTTAAATGTTTCAGCTTATACCCCAGGTTTTCAATTCGCGAAGGTGTCAAGATTTGGCCATTCGCGAACCTTCAACTTTTGTAGAGATTTTCATCCAAACTTGAACTTTAACGAATTGAATATTAACGCTTCACAATGCTTGTCCAGTCCCTTCAGAGAAACTTAAATGGCTAAAGAACGAGATGTCGCTTAAGCTGCTGGTACTTGCCGGTTGGTATGGTGATTTGGCATTTGTTGTTTTTGTACCAGCCATCGTTTTTGTGGCCATCATTTTACACAAAGAGTGAGTGTTGTTGAGAAAACTACATATAGTCGACACATTTATTACCGATGGATTCATCATATTGTTTGTTTCAACTTTTTAAAAGACTAAAAAACTTGCTTAAGATTCTCCTCATCAACCCATCCCATCCGCAATTTTGCAATGATGATCAAGGCTAATCAAGAGAAAATATCAAATACAACTCATCTCACCAAATGCTCCGTCAGATTCAAGCTCAAAGCACCACCAATAACAGCAGCCAACAATCTCAAGCTCAAACTACCAGTCACTTCCAAGAGATAGGTACCAATCAGAATCATCATGACCGCCATCAACAAGGAAAGATTACAACACAAGCTTCAACAGACACCATGGATGTTACTAATATGATTGATTACAACACCATCCATTTGTTCACTATGTCTTCAAATCTCATTGATCCAAAAGGTTGTATCAAATTCGGTAACTATACCATTGCTGGTGTTATAAAATTCTTGGTTGAACTAAATACTTTTTGTTTTGGAGAGTCCACTAAATCGTTTGACACTCTATCCAAACCACAAACACAAACTTTGTTGTTGAAGTTTAAGCAAAATGTCATCTTTACAGAACTGCATTCAAGTCATGATGATTTACAAAGCTCTGATAATTTCATTTTCAATAAAGCTGGTGTTTACTTTCCATTCCGTTATTGGTTTCAAAGAAGAAAGGTGTTGAATAATCATTCATTAGAAATTCTGGTTCCAATGAGATTTATGCTGGGATATTATTACTTGGTGTTTATCATCCCGTTTACGTACTACTGGGAATCATTCCCGGTAGTGACGCTGGGATTGCTGTTTTTCATATGTTCACTTTGTTCATGATAAGTCTATAAGTTATAACTTGTGATGTTCCATCGGTATTTTTGTTCCACCTATTGAACCCCCGAACAATGATGAATGATCCTGCGACCAGCTGAGTTCAAATCATCATTGCATAAATAGGATGGGAAATTTTTGAATATAAATTTTGTCGGCAAAGTTTTTCGTAGTATGCGAATCCCTTTCTTTATATAGTTTTTGTAAAATGATTCAATTTTTCTGTCGAAATATCATCATGAGTTGTTTAGTATTCAATGAGAATTTAATCTGGTACAGACTCAATTTCTGTCTCATGAGATGACTACTAGTATTGTTCATACACAATGTGCTAGACTATATACATTTGAACTCACACAACACAAGACCAGTCTCTAGCATTGGTTCCAATAATGCTTTGTCCATTGTAGTACCCATCAGAAGTATTCTGGTCTTCAACATCCTTTTGCAACGAGTCTAGGGCTTTTGAGAACCCACTTATTTTTTCTGAGGCCTTAATTATATACCTTTTATCCTTATTTTATGTACATCAGCTTCCAATAATGGCTTTTGTCAGCCAATGAACTTATCTTAAAAGCACCACACTATTGTTCAAGCTCAAGTTTCGCGATCTCTCAGGCTTTTTCTTTTTTTGACTCGTTTCGATTGCAGTAATTTTTGACGTAAAAAGTTAAAGCCGTTGGATTTTTAAAACCGGTGTGTAAAAAAAAATTTTCTAAAATCATCATAGTATAATATAAAAAGGTGACAATAGAACCCTGAATAAAATATACCTGTCATCTTGATATAAAGGAAAAGAGGATGCTATAGAGTCCTCTCTTAATAATTATCAATCAAAAACAATCATGGGCTCTTCATCAGCTCAAGGAAGAACTGTCATACGGAAACTAGTCCACAAATTAACCACTAAAGATGGTGTGCTTGGTGATTATGACTACAAATATCTATTCACTCCTCAACTACCATTCATGAAGAAGAATAAAGTGAGACAACCATTTTTCGGTCTAGACTCAGAAATGCCAATTTTGCTAGGTTTTATCCTGGGTTTACAACATTCATTAGCGATGCTTGCAGGTATCATTACACCTCCAATAATTGTTTCATCATCTGCAAACTTCACTGCTCAACAACAACAATATTTAGTCACTGCTTCTTTAATCATCAGTGGATTCTTATCAATGATCCAAATCACTAGATTCCACATATATCGTACACCATACTATCTGGGGTCAGGTATGTTGTCAGTTGTTGGTAGTTCATTTGGTGTTATTGTCGTTGTTCAGAAAATTTTACCAGTCATGTACAAAACTGGGTTTTGTCCATCTTCTGATGATGGTACCCCATTGCCTTGTCCTGATGGTTATGGTGCTATCATTGGTACATCATGTGTATGTGGGTTATTAGAGGTTTGTTTCTCATTTATCCCACCAAAATTTTTGAAGAAATTATTCCCACAAACTGTTACTGGTACTGTTGTCTTATTGATGGGTATTTCATTGATTAAATCTGGTTTCCAAGATTGGGTTGGTGGTTCCGGATGTGTTGATGGTATTTGTCCTTTTGAAGGTGCTCCAAAAGCTGCTAAATTTGGTAGTCCTCAATTCATTGGGTTGGGATTCTTGGTTTATATGACAATCATCATTTCAGAAAAATGGGGTGCTCCAATCATGAAATCTTGCTCAGTTATTCTGGGATTATTAGTTGGTTGTATCGTTGCAGGTGCTTGTGGTTATTTTGATAAATCAAGTATTGATGCTGCACCTGCTGCAAGTTTCGTTTGGACAACCACTTTCAAAATGACAGTTTATGGTCCAGCAGTTTTACCAATGCTTGTTGTTTATGTTGTTTTAGTTATGGAAACAATTGGCGATTTGACTGCAACTGCCGAGGTTTCAAGATTAGAAGTTGAAGGTCCATTATATGAATCAAGAATTCAAGGTGGTGTTTTAGGGGATGGGTTCAATAGTATTATAGCTGGTCTTTGTACAATCACTCCAATGTCCACATTTGCGCAAAATAACGGTGTTATTTCAATTACAAAATGTGCTAATAGAACCGCTGGTTATTGGTGTTGTTGTATCTTGATCATTATGGGTATTTTCACAAAATTCGCGGCTAGTTTAGTTGCAATCCCAAAACCTGTATTAGGTGGTATGACTTCATTTTTATTCACATCTGTTGCAGTTTCTGGGTTGAAAATTATTTCCAATTCTCCATTCACTAGAAGAGATAGATTTGTTTTAACAGCTGCTATCTTGCCAGGTATCGGTTGTATTTTGGTTCCAAATTGGTTTGAAAATGTTTTCTCATATTCTGGTAATAACCATGCATTGACTGGGTTCTTGGATGCTATTACTGTCATTATGGAATCAAGTTATGCCCTTGGTGGTATTATTGCCACTATTTTAAACTTGGTGTTACCTCAAGTTATGGATGATGAAGGTGAAGATATCCCGGATGATTTAGAAGAATTGGCACTAGATGATTACGTTCACCAATATGACGATGAGGACAAAGCCACCGAGAACATGAAGAAGGAGAAATCATTAAGTGTCAAGTCTTCTTCAAACGGGTCTCATAGTAAAGACCTTTAATGTTTTAATAATTTAATATCTGCATATAAATAGAGTAATAGATGATTTTCAAATAGAATCTTGTGAAGACTACGCGTAGTTACGGTGATCATTAGTATTTATTCATGCACACTTCTCAATCATCAATTGCTCTGAATAATTTAATATGCTTCAATCCTTCAGAACCCTCACGAGTACTTGGAGACCTGCTTCTCTTTCTGGGTGGTGTTTTTGGTTCCTTATCCTTTTTATTCCTTTGTAAAAGACCAGTGATCTTTGAACTTATTGAATTAGACAGTGAAATTTGCATATTTCTTTTCTTTGTGTTTTGAGGACCTTTTGACGATAAAGGAACAGGTGCACGTCGTTGTTGGGGTTGGGGTTGAGGTTGAGGTTGAGATTGAGATTGAGAAAGACTAGGACGAGGCACCGACGTTTGATGAAATACTTTCTCGCTGAGTAATTCAGGAGAAGAGCTGAGGTCCTTTTTAGAAGTTTCTCCTTGCCTTATCAATTGGTTTCGATTCATTGGTGGTGGTGAACTATTCAGTTGATGTAACCTTGAAGAATTTTCTGGTTTCGACTCTTTCATCAATTTTGTTTGATTTGCAATGATCTTTTCTATTTCAATACCAACTTTGTCAAACTTTTCATTGATGTATGTGTTGTCATAATCTATTTTTTTTTGAAGAGTTTCATCTATTATTTGAACTTGTTGTTTAACATCTTCAATGTTTTTATCTGCTATTTGTTTATAAGCAGCAAAATCAAAAACTCCACTCGAATTTTGCTTTGCGAGTGTTTTAAGAGTTTTTGAAGTGGAGCCTTGGAAATCATTCATCTTGCGAATATCGCCTTGTATTTTTTGAAGATCAGCAGAAAACCCTTCAAGCTTGATTGAACCTGCTGAAGACCTGGATTCAATAGCGTCTAACATTTTGTGAAAATTTTGAATCATTTCTATATTTGACTTTTGGGCATCATAAACTTTTAGGAAATAATTATTGATACTTATCATTTGATTAGAAAGCTTTCTGTTTTCCCTTTCCAAAGCTTCCATACGTTTGACTGTGGTACTAGTTTGGTCTCCAATTGAGGTAACAGACAGTAAGCCAGCCTCCATTTGGTGCTTAACATCTTCAATATTATTTATTTTGCTTTCAAGATTTCGAACAATTGCCTGATGGTCTAGTTTAGAGACGGACGAGTCTTTGAGTTTGTTCAATAATTCCTTGATATTTAACACTTCAACCTCCGATCTGTTAAATGCCTTGAGGTTTTCCCTTAGTGTTTTCGTTTCGATAGACAACTTATTGATCCGTCTATCTAAATAATTTGATATAACTTTTGTAGATTCTTTTCTTTCTAAAGCTTCCGCGCCAATATCTTTCCTTATTTGATCTATGTGTTGCTGAGTTAGGGGTTGTACTGGCTCTTGTGATTCATTGCTGACAATTCGTGATGATTCTGTAGACCTTATGGAAATGTCCGTATCATTTGATAATCCTATTGCTTCAACAAATGTTTGTATGGATGGTAGATTGGATTGAACACTTTTAAAAGCATCAAGGTTTTGCAATATAGTTTTGAACGCAGTTTCTGTTTGATTATATGCATCGACAAATGAAGTTTTGGAGTTATCCTCTGCCTGTAATTCTTCAGCTAAATGTAGCAATTCATTTCGGAGCTGAGCATCTTGAATCTTTTTAGCATACTTCTTTATTCTAGAAGATTTGGAGTTTAGTGAATCCCTTCGAGAGTGTTCTCCATTGTGACTATCTTTTGATTGTTGGGAATCACCATTCGAACTTGAGGTGGCATGAACATCTACTCTCGATTGATCTAAGCTTTTGTTGATAGTATTGATTTGAGTAGACTGGGTCAGAACATTGACATTTGATAAGTCTTTTGAATGATTCGACTCGTCTCTATCACCTTCAACTGATGAGTCTATTGGGGGTGAGCTATCAAAATGTTCATCTTCCATGCCTTCCACAGGCAGGTGATTCACTGGTTGAGTAGCTGTGTCATTAGGATCAAAATCAGCTGGTTCAGTCAACAATATTCTCTTCACCCTAGCCAGAACATTTGTTTTATTTTCAAATTTACCATCCCGTAATAGTTGTAAATCAACATTGAGTAGTTGAAGTTTAGTGAAAATAGTAGTATTTCTGAAATCAATCTTCTTCAATGATAATGATGATGACACAATTGAGGTTGCAATCTCTTTGAGGGTTTCAAAACCAACTATTAAGCTTTTGTCCTCTCTATCCACCGAGTAAAAGATATTCTCTTGGATGAGATAAAGAATGTATTTAACAGCCATTGCTTCTGTAAACACCAATGCATTTCTCTTTTCCACAGTCACGGTCCATTCAACGAAATCTAGCAAAATTTTGACAGTAGACCGACTCATTTGAGGATCACTGGAAGCCAAAGCACGTATATCCAACATGGCTTTTATCAAATCATCTTTTAGTGTATCATCCGCTGTTTGTATATCTTCAAGGTATGGTTTCTTGGGTATTATTGGCTCATCAACCCATTTCATGGAACCATCATCACCGCCGCCATTACGAGCGCCTTGAAGCAACTCAACAGTCTCCTGGTTCATAAAGAGCAATTATTAGTTGGGAATGAAAAGCTTCCTGAGTGAGATTGTGAGTTTTTCGACTTGATTTCACATAGTAAACAACGAATCTATCTGTCTTGTTTTTTTTTCAGATGGTTTGAAGCCCTGAAATGCGAGATTCTTGTAAAATGTTTAGATCGAAGAGCGTGAAATGGTTTTATACAAGTTTGTGAGAAGACAAACAATAACGAAATGACTACTGAATCGTATGACTTCAATGATACGTATGTGTGAATGAGAAAACTGTCTTGAGTTCCTAAGACTAATGCTCTTTTTAGTGTCTATGTGAGAAACATAAATGAGAAAGTATCAATCAATACAATAAAGTCAAAACTATCAGAACTCTTTGAGAAATATGGCCCAATACTGAGTATAACGGCACACAAGAACCTCAAAATGAGAGGACAGGCGTTTGTCGCTTTGGAAGGTGAAGAACAGGCAAAGAAGGCAATTGAAGAGTTGAATGGAACACAATTATTTGAAAAAAAATTGGAGTTAGCTTTTGCAAAAAGTAGTTCAAATGCGTCAGTGGAGAATAAACTAGTAGGGAAAGAATATGAAGAGTACTTGAATAAACGTAAGCTACATAAAGAGGAAGAAGATAAGAAGAAGGAACAACAACCTGTCAAGAGACCTAAAGTTAAACTTGAAAACTTACCTCCAAATAAAATTCTATTAGTACAAGGTCTACCTAAAGAAGTTACGAAAGATGAACTTGTTGAAATATTTGAAAAATTTAGTGGATTTGTGGAGGTAAGGTTAGTTGCTGTGAGAGGTGTTGCATTTGTTGAATATGAGAAAGATCAAGATGCTATTCCTGCCAAAGAACAATCATCAGATTTGACAATAAGAGATACAAAACCAATAGTAAACTTTGCAAAGAAATGATCCATCAAAACAAATGTCTATATTTCAATTACATGCTCAAAACAATTAATATATGTACAATAAACCATTCAAAAACTCGCCTATTTAATCTATGTTACAAAGCCTTTACCTTATTTACCTAAAACAACAGTTCTCAAACCTGTGAACAAGTTTTCTTTACCTTCACCACTGATTTCAGCAAGTAATCTTTCATAATAATCTGGATTACCTTGTGGTCTAATCAATTTATCTCCAGGATAATAGTAATCTCTATATTGATTACTACTTATACTTTTCAAAGCTTGAATTTGTTGTAATATGTCTGATTCTGTGAATTCCTCTTTTTTCTTTAATTGTGGTTCTTTGATAGAATATGGATTAGCTTTTGTGACAATTTCAGAGATTGAAGCCTTTTTAAGCTTTTCTGGATTCTTTAAACCGGCAACTGGTCTATATCTATTTAGCTGAACTTCTTTCAAAGACAAACTTGTTAATTTTTCCTTTGGAACTTGTTCCAACAATTTCACTAGGACTTTAGCAGCTTCTTTAGTTGACATTTTGGGGATTTGGAGAGCGTTTAAAGAGATCAAATTTGACTTATGTTTGTCTTGAATTGTATAGGTCAATTCTTTTCAAAAAGCAAAAAAAAAAAAAAAAAAAAAAACTTCAACTGATGTTCGGATGTGATGATGATTTAATAGCGATTATGCCCTACAAGTACAGGATATTACCAAAAACACACTTGGAGATATATTAATTTATACAAGGAGCATCAGAAAAATTGGATTTATTCTTCATCAACTTTGGTTTCGAATGGAGTCAAGTTTTTGGTACCTTCTTCCCATGAGACTCCGTTATAAGTAACTTCTCTAATAGCTTTGATGATATCTTTAACATCACCTCTAACTTGTTTAGTAGAATCTCTTTCTCTTAAAGTAACTGAACCATCTTTAACACTTTCGAAATCAATAGTGATACCGAATGGAGTACCTAATTCATCATTACGAGCATATCTCTTACCGATAGAAGCACCTGAATCATCAACTTTGAATGGAATTTGTTCTTTTCTTAAAGTTTTAGAAATTTGTTTAACAATTGGTTGTAAATCTTCGTTGTTTGATAATGGAACTAACAACACTTTAGTTGGTGCAACAATTGGTGGGAATGATAAAACTGCTCTTTCAGTAGCTTCTGGTCTTGACCAGAATCTATGTTCAAAGATGGAATAAATAATACGACCAATACCAAATGATGGTTCAATAACATTTGGAGTGTATTCACGAACATGTTCAACTTTAGTTCTTTGTTCAATGGTGATGAATGTTGTGTCTAGCTCAATTTGGTCTTCGATTTCTGGGATTTTGAAGGTGATTTTACCATTACTAGATAATTCTTCTTTCAATTTAACTAATTCATCTTGATTTCTTGATAATAACCAATCTTCAACTAATGGAGCATTCTTTCTGAATTTTGGACCGAATTTTTTCTTTTCTAAATCTAATTCGTATTTAGTGACTGTGACTGGAGTATCTAATTTTTGTCTAACAACTAATTTTTCTTTGGTTTTGTTAGCATGGACAGTTAAATCATAAGCTGATCTATCAGCACAACCAACACATTCAATCCAACCATAAGAGGTGTGTAATTCAGCATCCCAACAATCAGCAGCATAATGTGCCATTTCATTAGCTAAATGTTGACGGAAACGTAAACGTTCTGGGTCAACACCAATCTTCATCAAGAATTGGTAGATTCTAGCAATGAAATAACCTAAAGTTTCGTTATCAACTAAACCAGTTTTAACAGCTTCACCAATAGTGGTTTCAATTGGAGTGGTTAAACCTTCTTGTTGAACAGTTCTTGGTAAGAATCTTAATTTAACATCAGCAACTTCTGAAAAGTTTTCATGTTTTTTGTTTTCTGGGTCAACAAAATGTTCAATTTCAGCCATCAAGAATTCACGAACTCTTAATAAACCAGCTCTTGGAGAAATTTCGTTTCTGAAAGATTTACCAATAGCAGCTGAAGCGAACGGCATTTTCAAATTGTTGAAATCATACAATTTGTTGAAATTCAAGAATTGACCTTGAGCAGTTTCTGGTCTTAAATAACCTTTCAATTGACCTGATGGACCAATAGCAGTTTCAAACATTAAGTTGAAAGCTTTTGGAGCTTCTAAAGTTTCACCAGTGACTGGGTTACCAATGTTGTATTTAACCATTAATTGGCCTAATTCTTCACCAGAGTAACCATCAATCTTGGCTAAAACAGATTCGTATTCTTGAACAACTTCATCATCTAATTTGACAGCTTTGATTTCCTTAACTTTCTTCTTACGTTTCTTTTTGTCAGCATCTTCTTGAGCATCAGCATTAGCGTTATCAACTAAACCTCTAGCTTCTTTGTCACCTTTTAATCTACTTTCTAAAACTTCTTCAACTAAATGATCAGCTCTAAAGATTTCACCAGTTTTCAAATCACGACACATCCAATCAGAGAATTTATCAACATGACCTGAAGTTTTCAAAACTTCATAAGGAGTCAACATGGTGGTATCAACTTCCAACATATCTTCTTCTAAAATGAAATGTTTTCTCCAAATGTCAATAATGTTGGCTTGGAAGGCACAACCTGGTGGACCATAGTCATAAAGACCTGAGACACCACCATAGATTTCAAATGCTGGGGCAAAGAAAAAACGACGTTTCAAGACGTTTTCAAGGTTTTCACGAGAAAATTCAACTTGGGATGGTTTTCCTGACATTTTGGTTTGTTTCTTTAACACTCTAGCTTTTGAAGGAATAAAGCTTGAAGAGAAATATCTTTTAAATAACAATTTGTCGACCTTCAACTTGGTCAATGGGTTAACAAATTTGTGTGAAATTGTGCTCAAAACAACACTTGGATTGGAGAGAGTTTAGTTGCTCCTTAAATTGGTTTTCAAGATCAACACTTTTTCAATTGATGAGTTCGACAGTTTTTTTTTGAAATTCTTTGACACCAGGCAAAAAAAAAATACATTTAACGAATTCGCGAAGTAATAAGCTCCATGTCCGGGTAAATATAGCATAAAGGGTTGTAGATAACCACGTAAAATGAGTAATAAATGAGTCAATACCGCTATCTGAAGAGATATATTCATAATTAAACCCATTTTACTATATTAGGTATTCGGTTTGGAGTGTTCTTGATCCGGTCATGAGTAATTGTAGTACGAAGTTTCACATCAGGGTTTGATAATGAACCAATAGAAGAGAATGAATCAAGAAACCCTTCTCTTTCGTCCTTCAATCACGATGAATATTAATTTGAAATACTACCAATAGATTGTGACTTGTTATTCATCATTCATTAGGATCTTCTTGTATACTGTACTGGGGAAACCACCAAACCTCTACCCTTTCTAGCACCTCTATATATGGTCTCAATTATGTCAATCATCTCTTGCTTATCATCAATAACAAAGTTCATCTTGTTGTTATCACCTGTACCAAAATCACACATCATGTGTTTATTTCTGAAGAAAAACATTACCGTCATGGGGTCATATAATTCATACATCTGGTGTTTTGGAGTTAGTATTCTTCTTAAATAGCCCGAAAAGTAGTAACACATACCTCGTTGAAGTCTGGAACTTCATCGATATTGCATAGGTAAATTGCAGCAAAATTAGATACCTTCTCAGCAATACCATATAATATTTCATCCATCAACATACAATCTTTATCCTAAAATATTTGTTAGTACAAATCCCAAGCATGTAAGTGTTCACCAAAAACTTACCCAATCTCTACCAAATCGTATCACGACAATTCTATCATCCTCTGTAAAACCGTTAGTACGTTGTTTGATCTGAGTATCATCATATTACCTACCTGAAAGAATGGCTTGATCAACATGCCTAAATAATTGTTAGTTAATCGATCCCTTGGCTGTAAGAGTTTAAAAGAAAGCACACTTACCATCCTGTATGCAAATGAGGCAAAAATACACTACCCATGATATTTGTAATTAAAATGCTTCTGCTTGGTTGTTTTTGGTTTGGAAGATTCAAGAGAGATGTCTTTTACAAAAGTGTAAATAGAAAAATCTGAAATGTTCGGGACCACAAAATATGAGTTCTGGCTTCAAAATTAGTGTATCTTTCAACTACATCTAATACTTTGTTAGTAAGCTATAAGAAAGGTGTTGTGTTTGGTGGTGGGTATTTACATACAGCTACATCCTTATACTTTTAGCTTCATGAAATTTCGAAATATATACAACTTTATTTATATGATCAAATGTATTTATACACCAGCTACTCAACTCACTTTCTTCTTCTACTTGCTTTAGTAGCAACTTTACCACCTTTTTGAACTTCTTGAACATTTTGACCTAACAATTCCAAATATTCATCCATCATCATTGAATCAACTTCTTCATCTTGGTTCTCTTCCTTTGCTTCTGCGGTTTCTTCAACCTTAGTAGCTTTTTCACCTTCTTGGGCTTGTTTCTTTTCAATATCTTCTTTGATGCTTTCTTCAACATCAAATTGTGCATATCTTTGTCTAAATCTAGCCATTCTACCACCGGCATTAGCATCAACAACTTCTAAGTCTGCTCTATTTGGATTCCATAATGGATTATTTCTTTGATCTTGAATCAATCTTAATTCATCTTTTGGATATTGGGATCTTCTAATGACAACACTACCATCACTTAATTCTGTTTTACAGTTGAATTGGTAATAAATAGCTGGTCTTGCTTTACCTAATTTAATTTTTTTCATTGGTCTTCTTGGTAATGTGGAATCACTAGAGTTTTTAGCACCCCCAAAACCAGATGATGCCCATCTTCTCCCCAGTATGCTTGGACAGCTTATTATCCTGTTAGATGTGTGTTTGAGCATATTTGTGTATATGACGTGGAATGGGGGATAAAAAGCGGGTTGGATGTCTTTTCAATATACTAAAGCTTCTTTGATGTTGATTTTTCGTTCACTTTTGATTTTTTTTTTTTCACTTGTGAAGAGAATTCGCGAAAATAGAAACAGTGCTTCAAACCGCGATATACACTACAACTAATATACACATCATAAAATGCATTTAGATATCAAGATCTTTTTGCTTGATCAAGCTCGATAGCTCTTTAATTTGTGTAGCTCCACGCTCATTGAATTTCTCCAAATATTTCACAATTTCATCGTAATTAGCTTCCTTGACATCAAGTTCATAATCCTCTATTTCCTCATCCTCTATTTCATCTTCATCATCACTTCCATCATCTTTCTCATTATTGGCTTCTTGTACTTGTAGATTGTTCATTATATGAGAGATTTTATCAGATTCAAATCTTCCACCATCAACTAGCACCTTTAACTTATATCTCATCAATCTTCTAACTTTAAACATGGATAATGCATCATACCAACCATCTTGAAAATCACACTCTGTTCTTATTATGGCCTTTTTAAGTAAGTCTTGCACTTGTTCATCAAGAATATTTTCCAATTGGAAAGAAAGTGTCAACGGCACTTGAGTCCCATCGAATTGGAATGAAGCTGAAACGCCATTAGGTATTTCAGACATGAAACCTTTTGGAATTTTTTGGAAATAATTCGGAACTCTAAATCCTTCTGTTTGATATTTCCCATACTTTGGAGAAGTTCTTGGGTCTATACCGAATTTTATATAAGATTGTCTCCAAGGGCCTTTTGTAAATGAATATGAAATTTGTGGTAGGGCATATTTCAAACAAGGTTTCAATGGATTTGGTAAAATTGCTTCCAAGTGTTTTCTTATCCATATTGGTTTCTCATCAAATAGTTTCTTTAGAATGTCTAATGTTATAATTGTATCTTTGAAGAATGGATTATCTTGTTCACTTTGAAAAACTTTGAGTTGGTTTAATAATTCAATTGAAGGTTGCTTTGGTGCTTCATCATTGAATTTTATAATTATGGAGTTCAATTTGATGTGTTTATTCTTTCTTGTCAATTTCCCTTCTTTTACAACAGAGGCTGCATTTTTCTTGTAATGGTAATTGAAAGGTAGCGGAATTGAAGAGAATCTTGGGGGTGGAGGTAGGTCAAACAATTGCTTATCTTTCACATCAAAGTCCCAAGGTCTTGTATCTTGTTCAAATCTGAGTTCTTTTATTTTATCAAAGTTCAGAGAATGTATTGATTCGTTAACTTGTTGAACATATTCACTGTTTTTGACTTGATATTGGAAATCTGACATTTCTCTAAATCTGAATGTTTTATTAATGATGGCAAGTGGTGTTATATGTATTTGTTTTTTACCATTTGTGTGTAATTGTTCCAACGTCTTTTGAATATTTCTGTTATTTTCATTGAATTCTTTCTTAGGCACTGAAATCTTGATCAAAATATGTTCACGCTTGTTAACTTTAGCATTGACTGGATGCTCATAAATATTTTTAGTGAATCTTAATTCTAATGGAACTTGATCATCCAAACATGACTGTATTATGTTGTCAGCACCACCAACCATATCGAACGCCTTTTCAACATTTTTCACCTTTAAAGGAAATTCAATACAAGAAATGTGGGGAATATCAAGTGAATGTTCTTTTGCCTGTTGTTTCGCACTCATTTTATGGTCTTCTTTCGAATCTTCAACCTGGCTTTTTCGAAGATTGATTTGATTGTTTACGCGCGTATCTTATTTATTCTTGTTTATACCTCTTTTTAGCGTGGTACGAAATCCGGGAGCTTGAGATCACATGATCGAGGGTAAATCTCCTACATCCCAACACCAGTCTCGATAGGCCGGCTAAATGTTTTCACAGGACGAAAAAGGACGTAAAAGCGCTGGAGCTCTCTAAAGTCCAAAAATTTCAATTTGAGTCTGTAGTGAATTTTGTAAATGTTCTTTTTCATTCTTTGGAGTGTGTATTAGTCATTAGTCACAAAAGGTCATTGAGAAGGTTTCACTATCATCAAACCATTTGAATTACTGGTACGCTTGGTGAGAAAACTCAGTTCACACAGTGAGATTGAATGAGAAAGACTTTTCACTAATTATGCCAAATTCCAAGCCAACGAGTCAAAACGACTACCAGATGCAAGATATTGATATAGACAATGAAAACACAATCAGGAACGAAGATGATGGAGATGACACACAATCAACATTAAGCTCAGCTGTATCACACGATGCTGAGTTTAATCCTGTTCAGTTGAATGAATCTCAGCAGAGTGCTGATCTTAATAACCAAACACATCCAAAACTACGATCAGATAGTACAACTTCATCAATAAGGAGAACATCTTCAGGAAGAAGAAGGTTTTCTTCACTATCAAGAACATCATCAGTGAAAAGTGATCGATCCAATTTATCAGCTCGTGACCAAACTGAGTTGAACCAAGAATTGACTCGTCAATTATCAGTCGCCGATGCCATTTTTTTGAATGAAAGTCGAACAGAAAGAAGAGGCTCTAGTCAGACAGGTGAAGATGCATCCCTTGATAGACTAGAAGAAGAGCAATACGAAGCTGAAGAACAGCCATTAGACAGAGCAACTTCCAACGTGGAGAGAATTTTCACAAATAAGTCAACAGGTCAATTAGATCTTCCCCCAGACGGTGGTTATGGTTGGGTTTGTGTTGCGTGTGTTACAGCTATTCAAGCATGTACATGGGGTGCCAATGCTGGGTATGGTATTTTCTTAGAATATTATCTATCAAATAATGTTTTCACTAATGCTACAGCATATGATTATGCATTAATCGCTGGTTTGATTGTGTTCACTGCTCAATTTTGTGCACCATTCGCTATGATTTTGATGAAAATGATTGGCTTCAAGCTAACAATGAGTATTGCTTGTGTTACACATTTTCTAGGTTATTTATTGGCCTCATTCGCAACTAAAATATGGCATCTTTATGTGTGTCAAGGTGTGATTGTTGGTGTTTCTTATGCATTTTTATTCGTCCCTGCAAGTAATGTTATACCAACATGGTTTTTGAAGAAAAGAGCCATTGCTTCGGGGATTTCATATGGTGGTACAGGTCTTGGTGGTGTTATTTATTCCGTTTCTGTTAATGCAACTATCAAGAGAACTGGTGATCAAAGATGGGCTCTACGAATGGTTGGACTTACAACTCTTTTTGCAATGGCTATCTCTATTTTCTTCATAAAGCAAAGAAAACCATTTAAAAGAGAAAAATTGAACTTTCAAAATTTGAAAAAGAATACTCAATTGATGTTTAGTAAAAAAGTTTTGGAAAGAAAGTCACTATGGTACATTACTTTATGGTTCGCCATGGGTATTATCGGATATAATCTGGTTATATTTTCATATGCTACTTATGCCACAACAATGGGTCTTTCAACAAGTCAAGCATCAACATTAACTGCGTTGATCAATGCTGCACAAACATTAGGTAGACCAATGATGGGGTTTGTTTCAGATAGATGGGTTGGAAGAATAAACTATTCAATTGTTTTGGATTTGCTCTTAACTATATTTATCCTTGCATTTTGGATCAACGCTAAAACATTTATTTCCTTGTTATTCTGTGGATTGTTAATTGGTGCAACTATTGGTGTTGGTAATGTTATGAACATTGTGATGATAGCTGATTCGTTTAACATTGAAGAGTTTGCTTCTGCTTGGGCCATTTTGAATATGGGGATTGGTTGTTTTTCATTACCAGTCGAAGTTATTGCATTAGCATTAAGAGATTATACAATTTCTAATCCATTTTTATATACTCAGATTTTTGGTGGGTTACTATTCTTCATTTCAATTGTCATTATAGCACCACAAAGAGAGTGGGCAGTTAGGAAGTCAATGAAAAAGGAAAGTGACCAATTGATAAGGGAGTTAAGAGATTTGGAACCGGTTGGATCGAAAGATTTGCATAATGTCCATGTTGAAGATATGACTAGGGAGTTGAAAAAGAGATCGGATAAATTGGAGGGCTTATTACAGAACAATCCGGGAATGTATTTTAGAAGATTGTTTTATCCAATGAAAATCTGACAGATCCCAATCATTTGAAAATGGATTATGTACAGGATCTAATAAGAGGAATACTAGTTGTTGATTAGATTCCGATTTTGAGACGCAACTCGGCAAGTGCTGGTTTGAAGACCCCTTGAACTTTCAAAATCAAAACCAAAATTCCATAGCTTACCTTAATCTTATAAATGTCAACTCAACAAACTTCACTAGCCAGTAGCTATCAACATTCTCTTTAGCCTAATTTAATAGCCCATGTTTCTTTGCAGCAATCTAGAAATCAAGATCAGCTGCCATTTCGACACGGGCGGATTCCGTTTTGGGCCCATTGGCTGAGGCCATCCTTTCTGTGTGCTTCTATTGCTTGAAAGTACACATGCGACATAGCAAGAACGTAACCTTTTATAAAGAAACCACCAATTCCTGTTGAAAACAAGTTTCAATAAACTACAATTCAGAGTCGTCCTTCACTTTGTACTATTGTCATCTACTTGAAAGTCATCACAAGTATTACAACAACTCATTTTCACAAAATAAACACATCATGTCACCTCCTGGTAACGTCCTAGTCGTTTCAAACAGAATACCTGTCACTTTAAAAAAAACTGAAGATGGTCAATATCAATATAATATGTCCTCTGGTGGGCTAGTCACCGCTTTACAAGGGTTAAAGAAAACAAGTACTTTCCAATGGTTTGGTTGGCCTGGATGGGAAGTTCCTGAAAAGGACCAAGCTAAAGTTACGAAAGATTTAGATGAAAAATTCAATGCATCACCAGTTTTCCTTAATGATGATGTTGCCGAACTACATTATAATGGGTTCTCAAATTCAATCTTGTGGCCATTGTTCCATTACCATCCTGGTGAAATAAATTTTGATGAAAATGCCTGGGCTGCATACAATGAAGCAAACAGAGCTTTTGCAACTGAAATTATGAAACATGTCAAAGATGGTGATGTTGTTTGGGTCCATGATTATCATTTGATGTTATTACCCGAATTACTAAGAGATGAAATTCAAAAAAGAGGAATCAAAGATGTCAAGTTGGGTTTCTTTTTACATACACCTTTCCCATCTTCAGAAATCTATAGAATTTTGCCTGTTAGACAAGAAATCCTGAAGGGTGTTTTAAGTTGTGATTTAATTGGATTCCATACTTATGATTATGCAAGACATTTTCTGTCATCGGTCGAAAGAATATTGGGTGTCAAGACTTTACCAAATGGTGTTGAATATAAAGGTCGTTATGTTAATGTCGGTGCCTTCCCAATTGGTATTGATGTTGGTAATTTCACTGAAGGTTTGAAAAAACCAGAAGTTATCAAAAGAGTTACTGCTCTTAAGGAGAAATTCAAAGATACCAAAATTATTGTTGGTGTGGATAGATTGGATTATATCAAGGGTGTTCCTCAAAAACTACATGCTTTCGAAGTTTTCTTGAATGAGCATCCGGAATGGATTGGTAAAGTTGTTTTGGTCCAACTAGCTGTTCCTTCAAGAGGTGATGTTGAAGAATATCAATCTTTAAGAGCTACTGTTAATGAATTAGTTGGAAGAATCAATGGTACATTTGGTACTGTTGAATTTGTACCAATTCATTTTATGCATAAATCTATCCCATTTGATGAGCTTATATCGTTGTACAGTGTGAGTGATGTTTGCCTTGTCAGTTCAACAAGAGATGGTATGAACTTGGTGAGTTATGAATACATTGCATGTCAAGAAGAATTAAAAGGTTCATTGATTCTTTCAGAATTTACTGGAGCTGCTCAATCATTGAATGGTGCATTGATAGTTAACCCTTGGAATACTGATGAATTAGCTCAAGCCATTCACGAAAGTCTAACCTTGCCAGATGAGAAGAGAGCGGCCAACCATACTAAATTGTTCAACTATATTTCCAAATACACCAGTGCTTTCTGGGGTGAGAATTTCGTTAAGGAATTATACAAAATTGACAATCAAGATTGAACAATGGACTGATTATATTTTCTACAATATGTTTCCGAAAAAAGTTCAATTTTAATGATTTTATGTTTGATAAAGTAAATAGAAATCTACTATTATAGAAATGAGAAAAAGCAGTTGGTTATATAAGTATGTGTCTTACTTTTCAAATGTATGAAATTGTTTGTTGTGGATTCACCTGTTCTGTAAAATGAATTCGCGGATTCGCGAACTTGTATGTTGAGATGATTCAACGTCAAAAATTTCTCAACATATTGTGAGTGGAATTGATCGATTGAACTTCCAATCTATGAACGACTACGCCAATAACTTGATATTTGACTGCTGTTGACACGGCTAACCAGACCATTACATCATGCTGTGATTTGAGATGTTTCTTCAGACACCCTTGAGAATTATCCACTCAGAGTTGTTATATGACTCGAGAGGCTGATATAAACCCAAACAATATGCAAATACCATACAGGTTCTGTGCTAGTTGATCCATATCAAGCTGACTTACCAATCAAACTCGAAATGAAAACAACAAAGTTAATTTTTCTGTGGTTACTAGCCCTTCATGTCAATGCTGTTCCACTCCCCAATGCCGAGTCTCGTACACCATATGAATTTCATTTAGGCGGCTCAGAGACCCCAGTAAATCAGACAGCTTTACATTCACCTCATACAGCTACCATAATTGATAAGGATACGAAGTTACCCCATGGTTCAGATGAACTGGATTCAAATAATGGTACCCTGACACTTTCAACTCATCCAGAAAGTTATCCACACCATGACACCTCAACAAGGAACTCTCCTCCAAAACATTATACAGAAAAATCCCCATATCTCATATTAATTCCAATATGTTTTATTCTCGGACTATTTTGGGCTATTCTTTCATACTGGCCTTTGAAATACAGTTATAATTTGTTGATTAAGAAATGGTGTGATATTGAGCTTGGTGATTATTCAAAAGTTTCAACAAATTTTAGAAAAGTATTCTGTTTTCAATTCTTTCTTTTGGTTATTGTGGTCATTATTTTTATGATCCCCTCCCTTCCGTGAGTAATAAATAAGGCATACCTCTGTAGATTATTATAATACTAACATTTTAATAGGTGGTTTATAGCAGGAGGTATTGGTTTTGCAGTTCAAGAATTTTTCCACTGGTTAGCAAGACGAAACAATGATCGATTTGATAGAGAGCGTGCAATTCAACAAGGAGCTGCGAAAGAAACCAAAAAATACACTAGAGTTACCAGAACAGATGTGGATGAATATGTACCACATTTTGATACATTGTTGGCTCAAAGTTACAAGCCAACATCAAAGTCAAGAAGTTTTAATGATTTCACCAAATTTGGGAAACTGAAATCAGAGAAACCAGACTTGGTGTCTGAGGATTTTTGTGTGTTGTGTTTGGATGCGTATTCTGATGACTCGGAGGTTTTATTGTTACCATGTGAACATTATTTCCATTTCAAGTGCTTCAGAAGAATGGGGATAGTAAGTGGTTTAACTGAAAGTAATCCTTTGTTATGGGCTATAAACTTTAGATGTCCATTGTGTCAATTGAATTTAGCAAGGCACTTTCTATTTTATCATGAACATGGTTTGGATCCAAAAGTTGTGAAGTTTCACAACAAAGAATGAGCAATGTGTTTATGAGATCCTGCGGTACAAAGGATGATGATCAAGTGATATGCGTCAAGATGGTTTGGGAATATAGCTTTACTATCTATTGACGTTTTTGAACAGTGATTAAGCCATTAGAATTTTCAAATTTACGACCATTATTTAGATGCCCCAGGAGCTTATAATTTTCAAGTATATGATCTCTCATCGCTGCACCCTTATGGATACTAATAATGACATTTGGTAGCTGTAGGAATTATATTTCAGTTAATGTAATCTAGCTATAAGCGATTCGATAATTTTTTCTCATTAAATATATGCCGATTCCTTGGCCCATATTGAAGCGTTCATTTTCTGCCATATGTTACGTGATAATAATTATCCAACTTTTTTCAACACGAACACATGTAATGTTTCTTGAATCTTAACTATCATGGACTGTCAAAATATGTGGCTTATCAAATCTTAATGCTTAATGCTTCGCTATTCGCTATCAAGACTTATTCATTTGCAACAACAACCGCTTTCAAGGGTGTCCAAACAACATGCTTAACCGCCGTCAAATTTTACAACGGGACACTAGTTAATTACTATGAGAATTTTTAGCTCACACTGACATACGTAAAAGAATTAAGCTAATGATCAAAAATCTCTCGAGAAACATACACAAACTATTTAGAAGGACAGACACTCTTTTAAATCCATCAATTTGTACAATAATTAACCTGAACCACGTTTGGTTGATCATTAATATGTTACTATTTAAATACCTGCCAACAATATTCCTTTTGATCTTTGGTACAGAAGCTTTGTTTGGGTTTTTAATTCCTGCTGCTATTTTTGGAGGTTTGATGACCCATAGTTCACACGGCAGTGAAGACTCTTCAGATTCAACAACAACATATGATCACACCACGAAAGAGACACAAACGACAACTTCAAACATACCCACAGTCACACCAACTCAGGCATCAAGTTCTAAAGATGACGCTCACTCTCAGAAAGCTGTAAAAAAACTTGACATGATTGTGTTGATAGTTTTAGGACATGTTCTTGCTTCTGCAATATCAGGCTTCTGTCTTAAATATTTAATGACTAGTTTTGAAACGAGAAAACTCAATGTAACACGAGATGCAGCTGTGAGAAACTATTCAAAGGCAAAAATTTGGTTCAAAACATACATTTGCTGGCAAGCGTTGCTCATTATGATTGTTTCAATCCCTATCTGGTTCATCGTCTTGTCATTCTATATATTAGTTATAATCAGCTACTTAGTTGAAAAAGTTGAAAGAAGACAGTCCAAAAAGAAGAGAGCTGATGATATTGAGCTTGGAATTGTACGGAATGTTCATTTTGAAAAAGTTACAAGATCCAACATTGATAACTATATTCCTCAATATCACTCTCAAGTGTCTAAAAACTTTAATTTTCTTTTGTTTGAGAGAAGTTTTTGCAGGACTATTCTGTATAGTGAATACCGTGAAATGAAAGCTAGAAGAGTTTCCCAGGAGGTTGAAACAGATGAGCAGAATGACTCGACTGGTGAGCAGTCTAAATCGAAGTTACAGAGCGATTCAGATTCAAGTGCAGCTACAATTGATGGCCAACCAGAGACAGATACACGTATCAGCGCCGATATGATTGTTATCGATGATATAAATACTGGTATTTACGAGTCTTCCACAATAGATAGAAATGATCAGAGCACGAACGATGAGCGATTTTGTGTTATATGCTTAGACGAGTACGATGATCAAGATAGAATAACAATTTTGCCTTGTGGTCATTATTTCCATTGCCAGTGTCTCATAGAGGCAACTAAAGCCCAAAGTCGATACAACAATGCTGGATTAATATTTCCATATCCTTATAATCTAAGGTGTCCGTTATGTCAGTTGCATGTGTTGCGTTTCTATTTGTTTTATCGGGAGCATAAGTTGAATCCTAATGAAGTGAAGTTTGCAAATACTAGATAGTCAAAATAAGTATTTATGATGTTTTCGAAGTCGTCGACGGTATTGTCTGATGTACTGATGATTTACGCCATTATGGAGTAAGTACTAGTTATTGAATAAACTTTTGAAGCTGGGAAACTTATAAATCGACGGTATTTGTAGTACGACAAAATATCGAATATCTGTCATTTACCATGTGTAAGTGTGAATTTCGCGATTCACATAGAGACTATGTTTGAGTTCTAACGTATTAAACCTTTGCTCTCTTTCACTATGATCAATATAAAAAAATGAAAGGAAGACAATGGATCCTGATGGACACGATGTCCTCCACTCACTCACAGTATTTGAAAGCGGCTCTGTACTCATACTTTAACGTCCAAAAACCACTGGGAAAGTTCTTGTCGAATGGATACCATCTTTTATATTTCAACCCTAAACATGAAGAAACAGAGCTCTCAAAGGATGGTTATGATTCTCATCAAATTCCTGCCAACCTGATGTTTAAAAGAAGGCTTTGGACAGGTGGTCAAATAGACTTTTTACATCCAGTTGCTTATGACTCTCAAGCTGTATGTGTTGAATCAATTCAAAATTCGAAATCATTTGGTGAGAACCACATGGTCACTATTCAAAGAGAAGTTGTGGCCGATGGGTTGATTTCACTTGTTGAAAGAAGGTCGTTATTTTATACGAATGATTTGTATAAGAAAAGTACTCCACAATTTCCACAAAAACCAGCTATATATACCCATGAATTGAAGCCAACCGATATTCTGCTTTTCAGATATTCCAGTTTAACCTTTAATGCCCATAGAATTCACTACAACAAAGACTATGCCATGAGAGAAGGCTACCCTAATATATTAGTTCATGGACCGTTAACTGTCACGCTGCTGTTGGAATGGTTTTCAACGTTGTTCGGTGATCTAGTAGTAAAGTCATTCAAGTATAAAAACATTGCGCCTTTATTTGCCAATGAAAAAATCAAGCTTTGCTTAGGACAAACAAGTGATTTAAAGTATGATACTTGGATAGAGAATGAAGATGGTGAGTTATGTGTGTCTGGAACAATTGAGGTGATAAACAACGATGTTTAATTATGCCTTGTATTAGTTCTAGTATAATATCCATCATCTATTAGTTTCTTTTCCGTAGAAACCCAATGCTTCCATTTCGATTTGGACTTTGGATCAGTGTCTGTTACAACTGAATTAATGACGACTCCATCTTTAACAACAATGAATACGGTAACATCTCGTAACGTCATCACAGTACAAAATTGATCGGTGACTTCTGTTTCACTATCAAGATCAAGAACATTTTGGTCAATTGTTTGAAGATTTTTCAGCTTAAGCAGTATATTATCATCAGAGGTAAAATATCTGTATAAAGCTGCTTGGATTCTGAAGTCATTAGTGATCAGTGATACTGTCAATGACAATTGAGTTTTCTCGAGTAAGTCAAGCGAACAAAACTTTGGATCAACACCATATTTATACTTATGATGAGCACAATTGCGACATTTCTTATCCACATTTGTTAGCCATTTTGGTTTAAGCTCCAATATAAATGAGTCGCTACTCTTGTAGGTTTTGAAGTAGTTCTCTGCCTGTTGCACCTCAGCATCCTCAGGTAGCATATTTGGAATCAGAAGTCCGAAACCATCATTTAGAGCACCATCAGCATTGAACCCGACCTTGACTAAGCCACAATCAATTGTTTCAGGTAATAAAGGTTTTATCTTGTTATTAATGTATCGGAAGACTTCTGATGTTGTGATTACTTGGTCTGATAATCTCAATCTAAGTAGTTTTCTCTTCAATTTTTGATCATTGCCTATATATTTGTATAGAACATTAGCCTTTCCTTTGTTGAAATATCCCCAATCTTTAGCATCATTGAGTTCCAACACCATTGATTGCATTTCAAAGAACAGTAATAAACAGAGGAAGCCAGCTTTCATTGATTAAAGTTTACTGAAGTGAATATTACGAGGTCTCGGAAATTGTAAATCCGGCTCATCTCCCGGAACTCAGAGAATATTGTAAAAAAAAAATTATTATCCTTTAAAAGAGGTGAAGCTAATGAATCAACAAGATATATCTTTCTAAAGAGAAAGACAGGTAATCTAGCTATGGCACCGGAAGAGAGAATAAAGATCAAGAATAAGGAGAGAAGAAAAGAGCTTTTTGCTGCTTTGAAGAAAGAGAAAAACAAAGCTCGTCACAAACTTCGTGCTGAAAGAGCTAAAGAAGAGCGTGCGAATCCAGAATTAAAAGAAGAAAGATTAGCGCAAAATGTTCCAGATACTATTGAATCCAAAAGGGTTTTTGATGAAACTATTGGTCAAGAGTTTGAAGGTGAAGATGATTTCGCCTCATATTTTGACGGTCGTGAACCAAAAATTCTGCTAACCACTAATGCTAATGCTAGAAAAGCTGCATATGAATTTGCTGATATGTTGATGGAATCTTTTCCAAATGTCACATTTGTTAAACGTAAAAGGGAATATTCAATGAAGGAAATTGCAGGGTTCTGTACAAATAGAGGGTATACCGACTTGCTAGTGATAAATGAAGATAAGAAAAATGTTAATGGTATAACATTTATACATTTACCAGAAGGTCCTACATTTTATTTTTCAATAACGTCATTAGTCAATGGTAAGAAGATTCAAGGTCATGGTACTGCTACAGATCATATACCGGAGTTGGTATTGAACAACTTCAACACAAGATTAGGTCAAACTGTTGGTAGATTATTCCAATCACTATTTCCTCAAAAACCTGAGTTTGAAGGAAGAAACGTCGTCACATTGCATAACCAAAGAGATTTTATCTTTTTCAGAAGACATAGATATATTTTCAGAAACGAAGAGAAGGTGGGTTTACAAGAATTGGGTCCTCAATTCACATTGAAGTTGAGAAGGGTCCAAAAGGGAATCAAGAACGAGATCGAATGGGAGCACAGACCAGATATGGACAGAGACAAAAGAAAATTTTACTTATGATCTGTATCACTTTATGTATATTTAATTAGTTTTTAATGTCATTTTAAATCTCAATCTGGTGTAGCTAAAATCTTTCGCGAATCTGTTTTGCAAAATCTGTGATTGTCCTTTTAAAAATCAACAGTGCGAAAAAAAAACTTCGATAGAAAGTGATTGATAACACCTTTACACATACAACCAAGGTACACATTCAGGCTAGAAAAACCGTGCATATTGCATCTAAGGATTCAGAGGTGCTAACCAGGGAGATCATAAACCTCAATACACTTTCTTTCAAGCGCTTGTGATTCAATTGGCTGGAGAGAGATTGGATTTGTTTATTTGTTTTTGTTTTTATTTACACTTTTCGCAGCTCAGCTCAAAAACGTCGAAAAACATCAACAACCAGAGAAAACCATTTCAGGCTGCTCTAAGGTTGATATTCAGAGAGGCTAAGAGTATTGATTAGATTGCTTTGATCTTACATTTGTGACTCTTTGCATCCAGTCCTTTGTTTGGATTTTTATTTGCATATCCTCAATTAATACCAAGCATCACATCCAAAATCATTATAGATACACATCATAATAATAGAGAAAAAAAGAACAGACACTTAAAGAAAGATGGATTTAAATGGTGTCAGTAAAATCGTCAGTGCTTTAGAGTTAATCCATTCACCAAAGACCTCAAACACAGATCGTCAAGAGGCACAGTCCTTTTTGGAACAGGTGAAAAGACAAGAAGAGTCACCACTTTGGGGGTATGAGCTAGCGCTTCCTTCTCAAAGTGCTATTGTTCGTCATTTTGGGTTAACACTTTTGCAAAACTCCATCAATCGTGAATGGTCAAATTATGACCAAGAGAAGAAGCTAGCTATTAGAAGTTGGATCATTGACCTTTCAATGAAATTGTTACCTGAAGATCCACATTTTTTAAAAGAAAAACTAGCATTTCTATGGGTCGCTGTTGCTAAAAGATGTTGGGGCTCCTTTGTTGAAAAATATGAAGATAAACTGGCCACATCACAAAAATTGGTTGAAGGTTGGGCTACAATGGACAAAGATCTTTTGGGCTTATTCAAAGCTAGCTCTCATACTAGGGAGTTATCATTAATTATATTCAGAACATTGTTTGAAGATGTTTACATATTGGATGATTCCATCACATCGAAAAGAAGTCAGGTCTTGAACTCAATGTGTACAAACGTTGTTTTACCAGATACCTTGCTGAATTCCATTTATGAGCCTAATGTGAACTTACAAGAGTCAAAGGCTACTAAGGAAGGCTGGCTTTTAATTTGGCAAGAGCTGTTGAACGAATCAATAAGGAATGGTGATGAAAGAAGTATGATCAAGATTCTTGAGACGCTAAAGACGTGTTTGAATTGGCCATATAGTAGTCTATTGAACCAAGCACAAATTTTGAAAACATTTTTAGATGCTATTTTGGTGTCCAATATCAGAGTTAAAATCCTAACTGTTGATTGTTTGCATATTCTTTTTACTAGAAGCTTCAATGAAGAAATTGATCTGGAACAAATTGTTGGGTCAATTTTTAAACCTGAAGGCATTCAATTACTTGGAACTATTTACAGCTCAATCCAAAATGACCCAGATGATATTGATGATGAGCTGTATGCTTTCACCAAAAAATTTACTGAAATGGTTGTTGGATTAAGCGAACATTTGACCAAAATCTCCACTGACTCATCAGATATTGGTAAGTACTTGGAATTGGTTTTATCAACCACTACAAGTCCCAGTCTTACTATAAGTTCCATTTCATTGAACTTTTGGGGATATATGCTTAGGGATGATGCCAAAATTGCCATCATTGAAAAAATCATTCCAGACTTATTGGAAGTTGCGGCTTCAAAGCTTGTCAATTACAGTGACTTCAATGAAGATCATATAAGTCAAAAATTCTTAGCTGTTGACTTTAACTCCCAAGCAGAAACCTACTCATTTTTAGGTAACTATAAGAAGCTAATTGATGATATCATAAGGCTGATTGCATGTGTCAAAGCTGATATGGGTCTCTTATGGTTAAATAACAGATTGGAGTCTTTCTTTTCATCTGAGCTAGGTAACCAAGTTATCAATTCAGCAAAATTAGATCATCATGGAGAGCCATTTATTTTAGGGATCTCTCAACTAGACATCACAGAGTCATGTGTAAGGGGTATTGTTAGGTGGAAAATCTACTACAATAAGGCAAATTATAATGAAAAACTGGATCAACTTTTGATTCAAGTTGAAGAACTAGCACAAAAACTATTAAATGTTGAACTGAAAGATCCTGTTTTGTTGAAAAGACTAGGTCAAATGTATGTTCAATTCACACCACTGTTGAAAGAGCATATGATCTTCAAGGTTATAGAGAAACTTCTTACACTCTCAACTTTTGAATACCCATCAAACGGTACGGAAGAAGAAACATCACTGGTTAAAGATCTTAGAACAAGTTGTGGTACTGAATTGAATAGGATTGCCTTTCTGATGCCTGAAAGCTTCAAAAATATTTTAGATGATCTTGAGCAAGTCATTGAAAATTTATTACCAAGGCTAACACCAACTGAAGCTGTCACTTTCAAGGCATTCTTATTAGTTGTTTCACAAAGAGCGTCTGTTCCAAATAAAGATGAAAGATTTATTAAAGTTGTTGAACCTGAGATCGCAGCTTGGACTAACCCTGATACTATGAAAGGTTTAAGTGAACTTCAATGGTTCATGGAGAGATTAGGAATTGTGCAAATTGCTGATTATTTCAAAACTAGAAATATTAGTCCTGGTGCTGATTTATTAAAGACACCTATGGATGAGCAAGGGCTGAAACTAAAATCTGATTTGAAAGAAAGATGGTCCACTATTTTCCCTATTAGAACAACAAGATTATTACTCCAGTACTCAATTGAAAAATTACCACATGATACTCCAGAATTCAAGAATTTATTAAGACTATGGAGACCTAGGGTTATTCCAATTATCCCTCATATTTTACAACTGTTGTATCAAATTCAAGCGTATCATAATCCAGCAAATTGGACTGATCTTCCGGAAGTTGTTCAATCATTTGTTCGTGATACTACAGTGGAAAGATTTTGGCAAATGGGTGTTTCTATCCAAACCCGTGATTCATTTTTGGAGGAGAGTGAAAAAGCTATGAATACCTTGAGAGATTTTGCAGATTCTGTTGGTCATATTGTTAGGTATACTAGGGAATATGTTTTCCTGTCTATTGCATCAATTTGTGAACTTGAAGATACTTTTTACACAATTCCTGGTATTGCCGATCTATTTTGGAGAGCTGCCACGGGTGAAAAAGTTGGTATTACATTGCATTCATGGAAACATATGATCAATGTGAGTTTGAGGGCGGTTATCAAAAAATGTCCACCTACAAATGTTGATGATTTCATGTCACAATTGTTACCTCAAATGTTCAATACATTAGATGAATTGTTAATCAATAAATGGGAAAAAGTTTACATTTCAGGTATGAATTTTGATGAAAATGATGATCAATTATCTGAAGAAATGATGGAGGAACATTTATTGAGACAAGTTACACAAGTTACAATTAGATTGTTAGTTGATTGTGTTGGTCAATATGGTTACAAAAATCCATTAACTCCAACTCAAAAGGCAATCCGTAAATTGGTTTTCAACAATATGCAAGTTTTAGGTTCATTTTTAAATTTTGTTTGTCATTTAATTATGTTTAAAGATTCAAGAAGTTCTTTCAATGTTTTACTTATTGTTAGATCACTGATAACAGAAATTATTATGAAGAATGATGAAGTTGATAATTTCTTGTGTGAATATTTAACCAAGTCATTAATTTTTGTTTTAACTGATGATTTTTATCGTGAAGCACAAAATGAAGCAGCATATGTTTTAACTGTTTTATATATCAACTTGAGAGGAAGAAGTCAATATATTTCAACTGTTTTGAAAAATTATTTACCAAATGCTACAGATGTCCATATCCAAAAATACGAACAAGGATTAGCAGAGTCCAAAAATCTGAAAGAACAAAGAAATGCATTATTAGATTTAATTCAACAAGTTAAAGATGAAGATCATGATGATGAAAAGTTTAAAAAGGATAGAAATAAACAATTGGAAATGATCACAAAGAAGAAAAAGAATGAATCTGATATGATGAATGATCCATTTGTGGAGAATGGTGCACTTGGAAATTTATTTGGTGATGAATAGAGTGGAATGAAATTAGTTGATTTTACAGTTTTGTTTTCAATGTATAAAAAAATGAATTGTTAAAAAGATGAGAAATAAATGTTAATCTTGCATTATCATTCTACAATGTAGCTAGTACTTTGTCTGTCTTCATTTTATTAGCTCTATAATTATACTACCACATCTTCTATTAATGATATTATTCACCAAACATCTTCTTGGTATTTATTCAAAGTTTTGAAATTTCTAATAATTTCATGAGCTTGATCTTTTGACAATTGTTTACCTTCAGAAATAATTTCAATCAATGCATTATTAACATCTCTAGCCATTTTACCAGCATCACCACAAACGTAAATAAACGCACCAGCATCAATCAATTCCAAAATTTCTTTCGAACGTTCCAGTAATTTATGTTGAGCATAAACTTTCTTAGAAGTTTCTCTTGAGAAAGCAGTAATTAATTCAAAAGATTCACCCAATTTTTTAGAATATTCAGGCCATTCTTCTTTATACAAGAAATCTTCTTCAGAAGTACGAGAACCATAAAACAAGACAGATTTCCCAATGGTGGAACCTGATTCTGCTTGTTTTACACGATCTCTAATAAAACCTCTAAATGGGGCAACACCAGTACCTGGACCAATCATGATGATTGGAGTTGATGGGTTTGAAGGTAATCTAAAGGTGGAACGACGGACATGAACAGGTAATTTAAAAGATGATAACTTGTCTCTTGGACCTGATAAATCATAAGAAATCCATGGTTTTGAATCGTTATTATTTTGTTCAAGTTGAATGTTACGCAACAAGTTTGTTGCAACACCTGTGATTAATCTTGAATCATTGAATTTTTCAGCCTCAACAACAGCAGTTATATGGATTGTTTTCTTTTCATTTAATGAGGATGAGGAGATTGAATAATAACGAGGTTGTAAATGTGGTAAAGATTCAATTAAAAATTCTAATGGAATTTCCCATGGGGCTCCATTTGATAATAAACTTAGCACTTCAGCAAAATCATATTTTTTAGAGTGAACTTCAGCAGCGAATGAATCTTTATCTTTACTTAATCTTTCAGATTCAATTTTAGCATTTTCAGTTGGAGCAAACTGTTTAACAGTACTCAACAATTGTCTTGAAACTGGACCGCCAATTTCTTTATAATGACGGAAGATAGCACCCACAGTAGTTGGAGTTGGGAATGGGATGGAAACAGTTGAATCTAAAGGTTTCAAATCAATAACTTGATCTAATTGATCATTTAAATTTGTAATTTTGTAAAAAGCTTGTAATTTTTCATTTGAATTTGATGGCCAAACTGCAAGATGATCACCTGTTGAATAACGTAAGTTTGTTTGAGATAAATCAAATTCAGCATGGATACAAGATCTATCTTTTGAATTGAACAATTCTTTTGAGAAGGAAATTGGAGCCAAATAAGGATGAGCATGATCAAAAGGACCTAATGATAAATCAGTTTTACCATCTAAATAAGAACGATCTGGTTCACCTAAAAACACTTTTTCTTCATCAAATTCACCTGGATCTAATCTTGTTAAAGTTAAAGAAGGTTCAAATTTGGCTTCATGTTCATCTAATTTTAAGAAATCTTTTAAAATTTCCAAAGTGTTCTCTTTCCAACTTAGGTAATCTTCATCTAAAGTACCAGCACCATCATCACCTTTACCGAATTCACCAATTAAAGAGGCGCCAGCGCTCTTTAAAGAATTATTTGTCTTTTCTGCAGCTGCATTATAAAATTCATAAGTTGAATTACCCAATCCAAATAAAGTGTAACTAATGTTTTCTAAATCACCTTCAGCAAGAGAACCTAGATATTCTTCAAAATTTAAAGAGGAATCAGGATAGTCACCTTCACCATAAGTTGCAATAAACAAAGAAACTGGGATTTTCAATTGATTTAAAGATTCATAATCATAATCTTCCAAATCGGCAACCATAACATTCAATTTGAACTTAGATTTCAATTCTTTGGCAAACTTGTTTGCATAATCTTCAGCAGTACCAGTTTGGGAACCATAAAAGATCAAATACTCCTTATTATTATTTTCAACAGTTTCCACTATATCTCTTGATTCTGCAACAACTTTTGTACCATCATCTGGAACGGCCCATAAGACCCCTTTTGTGAAGTAGGCAGCGACAGCCAAAGCTAAAGCGATAAGCACAGAGTAGTCCAAAGTATCCAATGCCATTATAACTAGCAACAATAACAACAACAATAACTGTCTTTGAGGTCAAGTGAGTGGAAAAAGATTGTGAAATGATTTCAACGCGATGATAACTTTTTTTAAACGAAAAACAGGTGAATTTTTTCGGTTAGGGCAGGACCTTATTTATGATTGTTCGTTTAAGGGAAAATTTATTGTGGGTGAGATTTGAGTAAAGAATTGGTTAATTCGATTATTTTGATTGATTTAGAATATTTTATTTAACTTTATCTTATTCTATTTATTCTATTCTCTGTTTGAAGATGTTCCAATATCAGATCAGTGACATATTCGCGAATTCTTCATGAGGTGGTTGTTTTCGCCAAATCAAGAGAAAAAAAACAATTTCAACTTCTACAAATTAATGTTATACGCGTTATACATCGAGACGCTTATATGAACACCGCTAATGCGGCCCTGGCACTCTGTTTCAAAGACTGCTTTGTGTGCGAACCAAACTCTTCAGTCCTTAGTATTGTCTAACTAAAAGGACTTGGACTTTAATTCTTTGTGAGTGTTGTTATTTAACTGGTTACTGCTTTCAAAGCTACCCATCTCCAAATCCTCAGTGTCATTACTAACATATCAATTTCGATTAGCGCTCAGTACTCCCGTGCTTTTTTTGGAGATACATAAGGGACATGTCTTTTCAACGAGTGTTTTAATCACCACTGAGATTACATGTCACCCATAGAAAGAAAAGAACTCATTGACAATATACTGTGGCTCTGCATCACCTACATGTTGTGAGTCCGTTTATTGCATTCAGTGATTTTAATCCCCCATTTCATCAATACATTATACACTCTTCATATCTTTTCATACTTGTTCACCTGTAGCAACTGTACCAAATGTAGCATCAATAGTTGCATTAATCTGTGCAAGAAATTCTGGACTTCCATCAGGTTCATTATATATAATTTGTGTGAATGCAATGAAACTTTCTCTATTGAATTCTGATTTAGCTCTTCTCCCCACACTATATTCAACAACTTCTTCATTATCATTTTTAATACAACTTCTATTAACATAATCAGTTTTATCCAATTTTTTCAAAAATTCTTCAATCGTTATATTTAAAACTTCTAATTCAGTATTTGGATCAACACCAAATGTTTCCTTCATTATTTTAATTAATTCAACTTGATTGATATGATTATTTGAAACCATTATAATGGCAACAATAGCTAATGCTAATCCACTAAACACCAAACCTTCATCTGTAGATAAAGCTGGATATAATTCTTTATTGTTTCTATAATCGTGACGTTTTTCCATCAATTCACTTTGGAAAAGTGCATTAGATTTTGATAACCATTGACTCTCAAGTTGGAATTTTAGATAAGGATCTTGAAGCTGGTTAACTAATATATATTGTTGTGTTTTAGATTCTTTCTTTTTACCATCGTTTAAGGATTTCTTTGGTGGTAATTCTTCAATAGTTAATCCAAATGTGTCATTTAAAATACTATTTGCGAGGTTCAAAGCTTGTTGGAAATTAGCTCTACCAAAAGGAACATCTTCCCAAGCATGTCTTTGTAAATTGGCCTTAGTTATTGGAATATTTGAATTATTCAAAGCTAAAGCTGCTCTAACAACTTTTACTGCAACTTTTGATGTTGACTTGTTTGAATGTTAGTAATTTGAACACATTGAACTTGGGACAGCCTAAACTTACAGAGCCAAATTGAGGTTGATCAGGTTGAGCCTCGTAGTCACTGTGTTCTTCTGATTCAGTCATTCTAATCACTGATACGTTATTGATCTATAGTTGTTTCCATTCACGTTAATTCAAATATTCACATACTTTTTTTACGCGACTGATACGCCAAAAAAAAAACAATCGGTTTAAACACGACTTTTGGTGGTGTTGGGATGTTATTGATTATCTAATCATGAGTCGCGAAAATCACATGGCTATTAAACAAGTTCTAATTATAATCAACAGCCACAATGGTCAATTGTACTTTTTCTGATCAACTTATAGTTCAATTGACATACGCTATATCATCAATTCATTATCCATAACTAATCAATATGTCTGTCAATCTAGAAGAAGTTAGAGATTTCTTAGTTGAACTTGCTAAAGAATCTGGTGAAATTATTAAATCAAAATCAGGTAAAGAAACATTTGATGATAAAAAAAATTCAGTTGATTTAGTCACTGCAATTGATAAATTAGTTGAGAAAAATGTATCAACAAAGATTTACTCAAAATTCCCAAATTATAAATTCATTGGTGAAGAAACTTATGTCGAGGGTGAAACTAAATTAACTGATGATCCAACTTTTATTGTTGATCCAATTGATGGTACTACAAATTTCATTCATAATTTCCCATATTCTTGTATCTCTTTAGGTTTCACCATCAATAAAACCCCAACAGTCGGGGTTATTTTCAATCCACATTTAAATTTATTATTCAGTGCAATTAAAGGTCAAGGTGCCTTTTTAAATGGGGAAAAATTACCAAACTTATCATCAAAACCAATCACTTTACAAAGTTCAATTATTGCCTTAGAATCAGGTTCTGATAGAGAGGGCGAAATCTTTGATATCAAGATGGAAACTTTCAGATCTTTATTAGATAAAAACCATGGTTTTATTCACGGATATAGATCTTTTGGATCAGCTGCAATGAATATTGCTCATACAGCTTCTGGTCAATTAGATGGTTATTGGGAAGGTGGTTGTCAAAGTTGGGATGTCGCTGCAGGTTGGGTCATCTTGGAAGAAACTGGTGGTAAAGTTGTTAGTGGTAATAAAGGTGGCTGGACAACACCTGTTGATAGTAGAGTTTATTTATTTGTTAGAGGTGCTCCAGAAGAGGATCAAAAGAAATTTATTCAAGATTTTTGGAGTAATATTAAAGGTGATTTGAAATATTGAAAACTTCTATGAAATGCTATATACATTGGTTATTTTAAATTATCAATTACTTTCTTTACCCTCTAATTTTGGACCAAATGCAACAGCTTCTGGTAATGTAAATGATGCACGATACATTGGTTTTGTTGGTGAAACTTTTCTGACCAACTGAAACAACACATCTTCATAATTTAAATCATCATTTTGTAATTGTTTCTTTATTCTTTCTAAAACTCTTTTTTGTAAATCTTCTTCTGTTGGTTCAGGTTCATCTGGGCTAAATTTTTCAAAACAATAAACATGAACTTTTGGTAATTTGAAACCTTCACAACTCTCTAAAAATTCTTTTTGTCCTTCATAAATACCATTAAAATCACCAAGGAATTCAATAGCACTATCTGGTAAATTCATTACAAAATGATTAATGAATTTTGGGATTGGTAACACCTTCTTATGATCTTTTAATAATTGTTTAATATCATCACCATCTTTTATAGCTTTTTTACCCTTTTTTCTTCTTTTTTCTGGTGTTATGACAACAATTTCACCATTTTGTTTGTCTCTTTTTTCTTGAAGAATTGAAAAACAATTCTTGATAAAGTCATGACCATCTGAGTTATATGGGTAAATTGAAGTGACATGATTCAATTTAATGTTTTCATTCAAATACTTGTAAGATTCAGGGTTTAAATCATTGGAAAAACAAATTACATTTCTTTTAGCAGCTGGAACACTAAAAGGACCAACACCAGCCATCACATCGAAAACGACTTCACCTTCTTGGAAAAGATTAATCAATCTTTCATGTTCAGAATGTAATCTTGAATTCCAATAAACGCTTTGGAAATTAAAACGGAAAATACAATTTGATTCCTTATGTTCCACAATCATATCATCTTCACCAGCTAAAACTTCCATTTCAAATGTTCTATAAACAGTTGCGATGGAATCAACTTTATCCACAACAGTTCTAATGCTTGGGTTTTTATCCAATATCACTTGTCCAATTAAATGTTTGTAAGGTTTGAATTCTTTTCTTAAATTAACATGTGCAATATGACCAGTTTGAGTAAAGCCTGATGGTATATCATCTAATAATTCTTCTGGTAAAACAGCACCCAAAATTTGATCAGTTCTCCAAAATTCATAATCTAATTCCAATAAATGACTCATTAAACGTACAGGATGTTGTTGTTTTTTCATATAATACAAACAATCTTTACTCAGGACATTTTCAGCGTCAGTTGGCATTCTTAATCTATCCGTCAATAAAACAGCTCTACTATTGAAAGGTTTAATCTTTATGACATTACGGACCCCAGGAATATTCAAGATATCTTGTGGATACTTTCTCAAAAATTTTCCAATATCTCTTGGATCTCTAAAACTTGCTTTAACAACTGCAAATTCTTTATGGAAAAATGAACGGTCCAATTCTTTCATTTCTCTATTGATTGGTGGACTGATATCTATTGGTTCACGTGACATCTTGGCAAAGTCAGTTGTCACTCTTTTTGATGGCTTGAAATACTTGATCATCAACAAAAAAATGTCTCTTCACTTTTAATGATTTTTGATGATGAGCTTTTGATCCAAAAATTTTCAAGTTGAATGAAAACATCAAACGGATTCGCGAAGATGGTGTCACATACAAAAATTCGTGTTCTTGAGTAAGAACAAAAAAGAGAAAGTTATTAAATTAAATTTATTATTGAAATATTGAGCTAAATCAATTCTGGAATTGAAGGACGCTTTTTGAAGCTTCAATCAGATCATTTCTTTCTATTGGGTTCATGTTCTGAATTCGATGACCGCGAATATTACCCGCAAGCTGCTCAGAGAAAAAAAATTGTTAGTATAGAGATTTCGATTATTAGCGATGAGCTTCTCTTATCAACAAGTTATATTCCCTGGCAATAGTCGAGAAAAGTATAGAAGATGGATATTCTCAGCATATCAAAATCAAGTCAACTCACATATAACGATGCTGAAGAATCGGACTCTGATATAGAACTACTATCAGATCACGAAGAGCAAAAAGTTCAAACTGATGAAAATGGTTTGAAAAAATCTGTTGTTACACCTGGTGAGCTAGTTACAGATGATCCAATTTGGATGAGAGGTCATGGTACTTATTATTTGGATAATCATACCTATAGTTCAGTTGCAGGAACCATTACTAGAACTAATAGATTGTTGAGTGTTACACCGATACGGGGAAGATATCAACCAGAAACTGGTGATCATGTTGTTGGAAGAATTACAGAAGTTGGTCAAAGAAGATGGAAAGTTGATATAGGAGCTAAACAAGATGCTGTTCTAATGTTGGGTTCTGTGAATTTGCCAGGTGGTGTTCTTAGAAGAAAATCTGAAAGTGATGAATTACAAATGAGAAATTTCTTAAAAGAAGGTGATTTACTCAATGCTGAAGTGCAGTCACTTTATCAAGATGGTTCAGCTTCATTACATACAAGATCTTTGAAGTATGGTAAATTAAGAAATGGTATTTTTTTGAAAGTTCCAAGTTCTTTAATTGTTAGAGCTAAAAACCATTCACATCAATTACCAGGTAATGTAAGCATAATTATCGGTGTCAATGGCTACATATGGTTGAGAAAAACTACCGAAGATTTGTTGACAAATAATAATTCCAGCACTATAGGGAAGAATGCAACAGCTGTCAACTCTAAAGGTCAGTATAATCCAGGTGCTGGTTCAGTGTCAATCACAAGATTAGAAGAAGAAAGTTCTTGGGAGATATACAGTGACACCAATGATCAAATCTCTTCGAGTATAAGAAACACAATCACAAGATATTCAAATTGTATAAAAGCATTAGCATTTTGTGAGTTGGGTATAACGGAATCAAGAATTGTCAGTGCTTATGAAGCTAGTATGCAATATGAAAATGCTGGACAATTGGTGGATATTGAAGTTATGGAATCCTTGGGACAAGGTATCATTACAGCTGAAAAATATAGAGGCAATTGAAATTTCTCTTTTATTTACAAATAATTTTGATTTCTCTAGATTATACAATATTTACAAATTTGCATAGATTTCATTTCTTTCCAGTGTCAGCATTGTTGTAAACTTCTTTAACACGTTTTTGAATACCTGGCGAGATATATTTCTCAACGAATCCGATTTCTTCCTTCTTTTTCGAATCATCTTTTCTCTTTGCAACAATACACCAAGTAGTACCAAGATGTGTTCTCTTCTCTTCTGTAATTTCTAAGCCAGAATCATCAAGAATCTCACCGATATCTAAATTCCATCTACAACCCCAAGTTTCCAGTCTTTTTTCAGCTCTACCATCCAGAATGTTGTTGATGAAATCATATTCACCTCTACCATGCTCAAGTAGGACAATTCTACCACCTGGTTTCAATAAAGTTGAAAAGTTTTTGAGAGCTTTGACTGGATCTTCATGTGAGCAAATACCAAAAGCCTCTATAATCGTATCATATTTGATATTTGTGCTGGCGTCAGTCACTTGAAGTTTATTATCATCAATATCCTTGACTAATAATTCATTTTTCTTGGTTTTGTCTTGTGCTAATTCAACTAAATCTTCTGCTCTTCCAACAACAAATGCAGCATTCTTATAAGTTGGAAATTTTTCTCTGAATTTTTGGTTTGCAATTTCCATCATCTTGGATGAAGAGTCAAGAAATGTAATTGAATGAATCTGTGTCATATCAAGATATTTAACATTACGGCCAGTACCACATGCAACTTCCAATACATCACCTGTACAATGCTTCATTAACCATTTTCTTCTTCTTCCCATGAATACCATTTTCTCTTCCCAGTTAATTTCGGAATCATATTCTTCCGCTTTATCATCATAAAAAGGAGTTGTATCTCTGGCTGGTAAAATTGATTGATTAGAAGTGTTTTGACTTTCAATGTCAACCTTAACATTTTCAAAATCTTCAACACCTTGTTCTTTAAGTTTATTATATTCTGCAAGTTTCAACTCATCTCTTCTTCTAAGTTTTCCCGTGAGTTCTTTGAACCTCAATTCGTCATATTCACTGGTGTTGTGGCTCAATTGTTTTTGACTTATAGCTTCAACTTCCTTCTCTTTATTATAAACACCACGCATATACTTATAACCAAACAGTAGAAACAAAATATAGCAGCCAATATAGTACCAGGTCATTTTCTTTTTGAATTCTTTTGTTCTTACTTTAGCACCCCATCTCACAATCCATGAATCAGATTTCAAATCCTCTTGTAATTTTTCTTCAGCTATCTGTTCTTCAGTTTTTTGTTTTCTCACTCTTTGACCAGGAGCAGTATAGAACGCATTTTTGTTGTACTGAAGCCCTGTAGTTGCAAAAAGCCTATGACCAAAAGACGGCCTTTGAAGTATAGCCTTCGCCCTTCTCGAAGCAAAGTTTCGAAGCAGCATAATGGTCCTGGTGGTCCAAAGATGAATTGATCGAACCGTTTCGTACGTCTTTTTTTTTTTTTCATACTCAAAGCTTTTGACTACGGCCACTACTTCAACAACTTTTAGCGCCAACCTGAATAAGGTATTTTTATGATTGGTTTGGTGTACAGGATCATTTTGAGATCAATTTGTGGTTTTTAATGACAGAGGCGGTTACTGAATTCGCTTTCATTGACTTGTTGGAAGGAGTGGAGCTTCAGAGAATCAAAGAAAACAGTCTCAAGTTTGTTGGGATAGATGTTGAAACTATTAAAAACGTTAAACACTTGAAAAAACATGAGTTTGAGTTGAAAATAAGGCAGTTTCAAACAATGAGTGCAGAAATGAAGAAGCTTGCTTACCAATCAGCAGTGCCAGATAGCACATCTCAGGAATCTTGGGGTATTGACGGTGACAGTGAACAGGCGGTTAGTAAAATATGTGATGATTCTGCACTTGATAAGCTTGACGCAATGATTAATATGAAATACCCAACTCAGACTGAGAAAAATGAAGAAGATCAAGATTTCACATCTATAACCTTGAAGCAGCCAGACTTTGATTTCACACATCCAAGCTCAGATTCTATAGTGCAGCCAACCTCACCGGCATTTCAAGAATTTCAATCAGAAACCAATATTTTGACTGATCCAACAGAAGCGTGCACGAGCTCCTTTAACAACAGCAGACAGCGGCCACTCAGTGGTGATTCGCACCTTCATTCATCAATTCTTCCAATTAAAAAACACAAGCTAGATTCAATTATTGATAGTGACAACTTTAGACCCATCAGTTCGGAGTTACATATTCTCACAAGTGAAGCATGTCTTGAATTCTGAAATATATTTCACATATACAGACATCACACAGTTAAAGGAACATCCCCAAATTTTTCTTTAAATAAACCTAGTGCCTTGATTGGGAACAAGAATTTATAATTTGGATACTCAATAGCACACGAATGATTAAAAACACCTTCAACATACTCAAATAACCATTCACCTGTAGGGCATTGACGTTCCATCAATAATTTCACACCACGCTCAATAACTTTTCTATCTGGATAATCTGCTAAAATCAATCCAATCACAACCCAAGCAGTTTGGACAACTAAACTTTGATCAGATTCAACATATGTATGAGTTTCACATGACTTCATAGACTCACCCCATCCACCATCTTCCATTTGATGTGATACAAGGAAATCACAACCTTTACGAACAACTTCAGAATTTTCATAATTTTCATCAACAGTAGCTAAAGCTTCAAGGGCAAACATTGCAGCATAAGTAAAACAAATACCCCAACAACCATACCATGAACCATCGTCCCCTTGAGCTTTTTTAATATATTCAATAGCTCTATAGATTGCAAAATCAACTTGATCACGTTTATAGTTTGAAAATTTGCGGAAGTAAGTCAAACCTAAAACCGATGAATCTGTGCATTCGACATAAGGATATTCCACCATGATGTTACCAAACACTTCAGCTGGGTTCAATTTTTCAAGTAAAGTTGTGGCTTTGATTTTTTCATAGGTTGCAAACGAGCCGTATTCAAATGATCCAACATTTTGTAAAGAAAGTAAAACATCGATCCCCTCTTGTAAATTCTCATCCTTGATCAAATCTTTCAAATGGGCAAATTGTGTACTGTTTCTCACCATGATGATAGCCTTTAAAGCTTCTGCGGTACAATCACTAACAACATATCCTTGAGTCTTTGTTGAAAATCCCCATGCACCCTTTCTTTTATCCCTGAAACTGCCTTCAACACATTCTTCTGTAAATTGTGACCTCACCAAAAATCTATATCCTCTTTCGATGAATTCATGATATTCCGGGAATTTATCCAGCCCTGCCATAAAGAAATATTGCACTGCAAATGCTGTATCCCAGACCTGTGACCCGTTTGTTCCCATCACTGTAAGCCCTTGTGGACCCAAAAATAAAACATCCTTAGATCTTTCTTTAAATCTTTTAAATTCATAAGAGTCTGGTCCTTCTTCTAAGTATGTAACAATAGCATTGAATGCAAAGTTGACAGGGGCAATGCATAAGTAATCAGTATTTTGGATTTCTTTTTTGATCAACCCATATGTATATTTCTTGATAGAGTTGAGAACCCAATTTGGCCTGAATTTCTCATAAGCAACCATAATATTGTTGGCAAAATCAAGAATCTTGGTATGAGGATAGTATAAATCAACACCACAAACTGTATTTCTATGTTTTGAGAAATCAATCTCATCAAAAGGTTTGCTGTAAATTTCAGCTCTAATTTCCTCTAATAATGGATCTAGTTCACATTGGGCCTTGGAAGCTGATAAATAACCTAGTGGTAGGTAAATTCCACGTGTATGAACCCACCATCTACCTGGATGTATTGGTAGAGTATAAGGTAACGCCCATAATTCTGGAGGTGCTGGGTTGACACCTTCCCATTTGTATAAATTTAAAATTGACAACCATGCTTTCCCCCAATGTGGATTAGCAATAGCACCACCAAGCCTATGTAATGTTCTTCTAGCCTTGACACAAACAGGATGATCCGCTGGAAGACCAAGAAGTCTTAATGAAACATAGTTGATCGATGTACCAAAACAAGTAGATTTATCAACAGTATGTAGACCCCAACCACCATCGACAGGATGTGCTGTATTGACAATATATCTAATCAGCTCTATTCTTTGAGCCTCCTCTATTCTAGTCTTGGTGAAGTAGCAGACGGCAATATATCCAATTGTCATAAACATTGGGCCTTTATATTGACAAGGAATAATACCACATTCTTCTTGCAATTTTTTGAAAAAAGTAGCTCCATTCTTAGCAGCATCAAATGGTGTTTCAGGTTGTGGCAAAATCTCAGCTTTATAGTCATCTGTGTTCAACAGGTACTTAACAAAAGTTGATTGGGGATCGGAAGTCAAATTTGATTCATCTATGTAGTCCCAAGTTTCTCTTCCAAGTTCATCAGTTCTTAATCTCCAACGAGCCTTGTCTGTGTTTGGCAATCCCAAGGTGTCTGAATAATAGCTCATCACCGCCTTCTTCTAGTCTGCTTTTTTTTATTCACTGGAAAATGAATGAATTGCTGATTGTCTTCAAGAAAGTTTTGTTTCGATTCGTTTGTAATTGTATAGATTTTGGGCGATTTAAACGACAAAAGAAAAACATCACCAGTCTGTCAGTAAATACCGTGTCAATTGTACTAACGTCGTGTCTGGGTCCAAAAATTTCTACATTATATGGAAAAACTTAAATTGTTCATGAATCTTCAACAGCTTCTTCGTATGAAGGAAGTTTGTTGTCATTAGATGCATCTTCTGGAGAATATGTCCTATTTGGTAATAGAATACCACAGCGAGCACTCAGTTCATCCATAAGTTTATCAATCGCTGCCGGTGTCGTCTCATGAATATCGCTAGCAAGATTCCAAACAACTCTCCTCAAATCTGCGGTCAAATCTTTCACCAAGGTTATTGAGCGAGGGATGCCGGTAGTAGTCATCATCTGACAGAATGATATTGTGGACTTGAACTCATGGGCCTCTGGTGTGGTAGTGTCAAAAACTTTGTCAGCACTTTTTCAACATCCATCAAATCCATTGGATATATCCTTAGCATAAACTTATTCTTCATAAAAGTTTCATAATTTGGAAATGGAGTTGTGTTATAAATGCAATCCCCATTAGCTTGAGACCTTAAGTTCTTTGAAATCTTTCTGATACATTCCTTGGTGTCAACTCCCATCAACTTATGATATGTTAAGTATACTGAACCAAGCTCTTCAGCGTGATGTTTCACTTCGAACCTTCCTGTGCATACAACATGCTCTTGAAAATCTGGAATATTTATGGATGAATTACAACCTATATCAAACTGCACCTCTGTACCTTCATTGTGTTCGGATCGGTCTAAATAGAACTCAAGGAAGCCATCCCCCTTTCTTCTCAAGTCGCTGAGGTAATATTCGGTTTCAAAAGGTTTGTTCAGAACCAAATCCTGAATAAAATTTCTTTGTTGATGATAAAAATTATATTCAGAGCCTTCATCTCCTGGGATTTTAATTCTCGTTTCTTCAGAGCTTGATTTTTCTAAATCACTTTGTTCGTAGGCGTGAAGGGTTCTATTTCCATTGGGGCGGTTCACTAAAGGTCTACCTCTAAGGTTATTGCCATTCCTTAGCACACTGTTGATTAGATGAATATCTGCAGTAGTAAACTCGACGTTGTTGTGCCCTTTGTCATTTGAGGAACGTTTTAGAATCCAATTTATTATACTCATTTAAGAAACATCAATTGTTCGAATGAGCTGCTATATTGGGATTGATTCATTGTAAAATGGATATAATCATAGTGTGAATTGTTATATATATGTTATAATGTTGGTTAGTATGTTTTATTCTTCTCAAATGATAATGATGTGAGCTCAAATATAACGTTCTACTCATAGTGAGTACAGCTAATACAAGGACTAGGTTTATGGCGAACTAATTAATTTTTAGTCGACGTCGCGAAACTTTTGTAAATTTGGTAGAGATGAGATCATAAGCAAATTGATAGATCTAAGTACTATATATTGATCAATTGCTCATATATGATCAGTTAATTATTTGACTTTATCACGTATTTTCATGGGTTTGTGTAGTAAAGCTAATCCAAGGCCAGCCTAGATATTTGATTAAACTCTATGTACATCGCAATTTCTGCCAACGAAAACAGTGTCAATTGTTTCCGAAAGTTGTACGTGTTTATGGAGCCAAGACACTATCAAAGTCGATTAATACAAAGAACCTTCATTGGCAGCAGGACTACTGACAAGGACAATGTTACACTGGAGATATAAATGATTGAAGTCTGCTAATGCTGGAGCGATACCGGCTCCTTCAGAAGTGGAACGTCATCTATACATTCTTTGAGTATGTGGAAATTGAAATCATCAATATCTTTGGGCGGCTAATTGATGGAATCATAAAAACCAAATGTCCAATATTTTGCTAACACAAAACCTGGCAATATGAAGGATCATGGCACACGTCTAACTTCAAAGCATTACACCTAAGATCATTTGAATATTTGAGGTTTCATTTATCATTATCAAGATGAATAAGTCTGAATTTGACCCTAACAACACTTCTGAAGAGCTCCAACTTGAACTATCAAATTCGCCTGCCAATGTGAGAGATGCTTCAATCAACCTTTCAACTGGTATGGAAAAAGGATCAGGTTCTGGATTCATGCTAAGAATGGTTCACATTAAAGATATCGACAAAGAAGAATCACACCATCAAGAAATGAATAATAACCCATCACACCGTCTCAACGCTGATGATGTTCCATGTGAGCAGTTACTTGGTAGCTCTGAAGCGCAAACTGTTTCATCAGAAGTTTTCCCTGAAAGTGCAGAAGTTGAAGATTCCGTATCTAGTGCTCATGAATCAGGACATGCTCATGAGATTAATGATGCTCATCATATTGATTCTGGGTTAACCAAAACAACAATTTTTGAAAGAATATTTTACTATTATCAGTTATTAGTCTACATTTTTCTGTTGTGTTGTATTTCATATGGCTTTTGGAATTTCATCTTTGACATAGCACAAGATTTATTCATCTAAATTATATAACATTATACAAGCTAGTCAGGGTGCCTTCTGCCTATGTAGACTTGAGCGATATTTGAGGGAAAGGCTGGCTATATATACAGATCTCATACCCAAAATTAAAAACTTGTTAGCAACATCATTCTCTATTAAAGTTTGATTCATTGAAGCATCATCGGAATGATCAATTTGGAGTAAAAGCATATAACTCTTCATTATGAGCAGCTCATTATCAGCATCAATCTGATCTCAAGCTTCTTGACCTGGAACTTCAGCTGGGGATGATTAAATACGTTCTAATGATGAAGATATACTAAAAGGTACATCAAAAAGCATTGTCCCATCTCAACTCCGAACATGTTCTACCAAGCTGCTGTTCCTTATGGTGATGAGCTAGCTAGCTCTAGAACCCAAACATTGAGCTTCCTATAGTTAGTTAAACTGGTGATACCCCTTTACCTATCCCAATCTCTTTTCATGCTGCTACATTTGGCCTCAAAAGGCTGAATCATAGCCAATTCTCCGATTTCTTTCTCTATGACCTTGTTCAACATTGTATAACAACATTGAGCTATACCTACTTTTTTACATACGCGAAGGACCAAAAAAAAAAAAAGTTCAAAAAAATTAACAAGCCGTTTGAGACTTTCACTAAGTCAATCAGTTTGCTTATTACCATCTTGAACAATTGAAAACCTCAAGATGTCTGAAGCCATCCCAAAACGTGATGTCTTGCCAGGAAACGTCAAACCTGTGCATTATGACCTTGAAGTATCAAACATCCAAGTCAACAACAACTCCTTTGAAGGGAAAGTCAAAATTGAACTAGACATCAAGGAGGATACTGATCAAATTGTCCTTCATGCTCTTGATATCAAATTTAAACAAACTGAACTCTCTGTCACCAAAACGGAATCAGTCGTTGAAATCAAACAAGTGTCCTATGATTCTAAAGCTCAAACTGCCACCATCCAATTGGGTGAGACTTTGAAAGCTGGTCCATCTATCAAGGCCTATTTAACAATCACTTTCGATGCAACATTGAGAGACAATATGGGTGGTTTTTACAAGTCAACTTACAAGGACATAAATGGGAATGATCAAGTTTTATTATCAACTCAATTTGAAGCCATTGAAGCTCGTACTGCCTTCCCATGTTTTGATGAACCAAACCTTAAAGCAACATTCTCCTTCTCAATAACTGTTGCAGAAGATTACACTGCGTTAAGTAACACACCTGTGTTGTCTTCGAAAGTTCTTGATGATGGTAAAAAGAAAGGTGCAGTTGAAGCTAGTGGGTTGAAATTAGTCAAGTTTCAAAAAACTCCAATCATGTCAACTTATTTAGTTGCTTGGATTGTGGGAAAGCTTGATTATGTTGAATCAACCACTGAACGCTCTTATAATGGTAAGAAAATCCCTGTTAGAGTTTACACTTCTGAAGGTAATTCTGCTAAGGGGAAATTTGGTTTAGAAGTTGCCACAAAAGTTGTTGATTATTTTTCTGAAGTTTTTGATATTGATTACTATTTACCAAAATTGGATTTGATTGCAGTCCCAACTTTTGCATCCAATGCCATGGAAAACACAGCTTTGATCACATTCAGGGCCTCTGCTTTGCTTTTCGATGAAGCTTCAAGTGATCCAAAATATAAGGCAAAAGTGGCATATGTTGTGTCTCACGAACTCGCCCATCAATGGTTTGGTAATTTGGTCACTATGGATTGGTGGGATGAATTATGGTTGAATGAAGGTTTCGCAACTTGGGTTGGGTTCTTGGCTGTTGATAAATTATACCCTGAATGGAACACATTTGCTACATTTTCGTCATCAACTTTACAAACAGCATTAGAATTGGATGCTCTAAGAGGATCACATCCAATTGAGGTCCCAATTCAATCAGCTTCTGATATTGATCAAGTCTTTGACCACATTTCATACAATAAAGGTGGTAGTGTAATTCATCAATTGGCATCTACTCTTGGGATTGACGTTTTCTTGAAAGGTGTTTCTCATTACCTGAAGAAACATCAATATGGTAATGCCACAACAAATGATTTATGGTCTTCAGTTGGTGAAGTTTCAGGTGTTGATGTTAATTCTCTTGCTGATAACTGGGTCCGTAAGATTGGATTCCCATATGTTGAAGTCAAAGTTGAAAATGGAAATGTTAACTTTAAACAAAACAGATTTTTATCAACCGGTGATGTCACAGAAGAGGAAAATGGAACAAAATGGTGGATTCCTTTGAACATATCCACTGGTAAGGAGGATTCTGATAGAATCAAAGATTTATCATTTTCTGAAAAAGAAGCAACTATTGAAAATTTAGCTAAAGAAAACTCATTTTTCAAAGTCAACAAGAACTCAGTAGGTGTTTACAGAGTTAAATACGATGATGAAACTTTTAAAACCATTGTGGAAAACATTGATAAACTTTCATCAACTGATAAAGTCGGCTTGATTGCAGACTCCACAGTTCTTTCAGTTGCAGGTTTATCTAAAACTTCTAAAGCATTGGACTTGATAAGTGCATTCAAAGGTGAATCTGAATACGTTACATGGTTGGAGTTGATCAAAAGACTAGGTTCAATAACTTCAGTTTGGTTTGAGCAATCTGAAGAAGTTCAAGCTGGTTTGAAAAAATTGGCTCAAGAATTAGTGAGTCCAACTGCTTTAAGTCTTGGTTTTGAATCTTCAAGTTCACAAGATTTCTTAACTACACAATTGAGAGTTGAATTGCTTAGTGCTGCAGTTTCAGCTGGTGTTCCACAAATTATTGAAGAAGCTAAATCATTATTCACAAAATTACAGAAGAATGAAGAAATTGATCCTTCTTTAAGAAGTGTTATATTTGCTGCTGTTATTTCTGATCCTAATGCCACCGAAGAAGATTTCAAATTTGTTTATGACACTATCAAAAATTCAAAAGCTTTAGATTCCAATGAAATCGCTTTGACTGCTTTGGGTACAGCAACTAATCCAGATTTGATCCAAAAAGCTCTTAACTTGATTTTAGACCCAGAGATTCCAATCATGGATGTTTCATTTATCAGTATCTCTCTATCATCAAATAAAAAGGCTAGATGGGCTTTCTGGAACTACTTAAAAGAAAACTATGATGCCATTTATAATCGTTTGAATGCTAATAGAATTGTCTTTGATAGATTCATTAAATTCACATTGGGTAAATTCTCAAGTGATGAAGCTTATGAAGAAATTAAATCATTTTTTGCAAGCAAAAATACTTATGGGTTTGAAAGATCTATTGACCAAGTCTTGGATGGTATTAAAACTAACTCTAGTTGGGTTTCCAGAGATAAAGATGATGTGAAAGAATGGTTAGCCTCACGCGGCTACATTTGAAATGAGATTTTAACTACGTCTATATGATATTTATTGTTTTATGGTGTTTTACCGTAGAGTTTATATTTCCGGTACCCATAATCACGTGAAACTGGCCTCGGAATTGCTTTTCGCCTATAGAAAAATGGATTTTGGAGATTTGAAAAAGCTCCCTAGCTCAACTTGACAAAACAATTAGAAACAATACAAAATCCAAAACTACAGGTAGACAAGTTTCAAAATGTCTACATCATTAGCACGTACCCTTAGAAATATTTGGCAGGTAGGATTCAAAAGATATGCCAAACAAATGAACTCTATGGGTGATGCCAAATCAGGTACATTAGTTGGTATTGATGATCATGGTAATCATTTCTATGAGACAGATCATGAAGATGAGATTCATCTACGTACTAGATGGGTTGAGTATGCTGAAACAAATAAAAGATGGGATATCTCACAAGTTGAACCAGGTTGGCATTATTGGTTGGGGTATGGTACTGATACTCCACCAAATAAATTACAAGGGGAAGAGAAAACTGTGAGGGCATATCCTGTTCCAAAAGTTCATGCTCAGAATTATACAGGTACTCCTGGTGCTTATGTCCCGTATAATACAGCAAAACCAAAGTTTGAAGCCTGGGAAGGGAAAGTCTCGGAAAGAACAGGTTGAAAGAACAGGTTCTATTTATTACAATTTATTTATTTATTTATTTATTCCAAGCTCGGTAAACTATCGTTGCATTATTTATTATCTATTTATTCAGTTACAAGAATTCATGACATACAAGTTATTAATATCTATCGTGAATTGTAGTGGAGTTATCTATATACGTTTTATTGACCACTGGCAAAAGTAGCTGCAACAATTAATGGGAAAACAACAGTAGCATCTGCATATATTTTAACAGAATGAGCTTCAGCTTTAATTTTACCCCAAGAAACAGCTTCATCTGGTCTTGCACCAGCGTCTGATCCATCAAATTCTTGACCAGTATTGATATAAACTGCATAATCAGCACCATTTCTCATCAAACAAGCATTACAGATATGATGTTTAATTAAACCACCACCAAGAATAATCATACCAGCACGGAAGGCAGCCATGGACATTGAGTTGATTTTACGAATATCCGCAACGATATCAAGTCTTAATTGTTGTGGTGAAGCTTTAAAAGTATGGAAGAATAACATATCACCAATTGAACCATCAGTGATTGCTGGACAGAAGATTGGGATTTTGTTTTTATGGGCCCAGTATAAAACTGAGGATTCATCATTGATTTCTTTACCTAATCTATCAATCAATTTTGATGGAGTTAAAACAGCTGGAGAATCAGCATCAAATGCATCTTTGCCTAATTTCTCAGCAGCTTCAGTTTGTTCTTCTAATAACTTGTCTAAGATTGGAACAATCCATTCTTCGAATTTACAATAGTTATCATTTGGAACCAATAAATTACCAATACGATTCATACCTTGATCACGTAACTTGGAACCTTGTAAACTGAATTCACCAAGATAAGTTGGGGCTAGACACTTTATTATATCTTCTTCAATACCACCAGCAGTAGCAACAATAGCACTGACATGTTTATGTTGGACCAAGTAGCGTAAAGTATCACGTAAACCTGAAGAGATCAAATTTGAAGTGTAACCCATAAAGATAGTTGATTTTTGATATCCATTATCATCAAATTCACCGGTTCTTTCGTGTTCTTCTAAAGAATCTCTATGAACACCTCTCCAGCTTCTCATTTCATCAATAATTTCACAACCTTCACCCATTGAAGAAGCTTGGAACCCCATAGTTCTCATACTCTTGATTAAATCTTTAGCTCTCATATTGACACTTTCGGGTTTTGAGTAGTCAATACCTTTAACTTCAACAAAGTCTTCTGGGACTGGGACAGATGCCTTAAGCACCGCATCAGATAAGATATCTGGCAATTTTTCGTTTTGATGAGACATAGCTTTGTGGGAAAATGTGTCAAAATTCTTTTGAACAGTTGCAAAGAGATTCTGAAAAAAAAAAGTTTATACTGTATGGTGTGAGTTTCAAGGGTAAAATTTTCCTGGTTCGCACACTTATCTTATCGTCACGTGAACCTCCCCAGATGTGGTGATAAAGAATAATGAATTGACTGGGAAATAACATAATTCTATGGGGATATCATTTCCTAATTGTATTGGTATTATCATTTAGGCTCTTATCCTCGAGAATTATGTCTTTATTCTCGAGACCGATTGCCCAACGCTTCCCAAAATGACACAATTCGCAATCGCCTATCATCATCGAGGACTCTTCGCCAGCCACGACTAATACCCTAAATTTCAAAACTCCTATAAATCCTCGACAAATCCCTCCCCAGTTATCAAGTGCTAATTACTCAATTGAACAATTCCAGTCACAATGGCTTACTCTCAGAAAGACCTCGAAAAGGCAATCTACAAAACCACAATGCTCACTTTAAAGGACGTTTTATCTCGTCAAACTTCGGAATCCAAATCATCCAAGTCAAAGTTGCCATCCAACACCTCTGATAAGAAGTCCAAACGTCGCTCAACAAATGTTGTTACATTTGACTCAGACTCTGAAGATGAAGACACCACCCCTGATGAAGCTGAAAACTATTTCAAGGTCCCATCATTCAATGTCGAGAAAGTCACTTATGATGATGATTATTTTATCAAATATGCCGATGAATACATCACATTCACTGGTAAAAATCCAACAACATTCCACGCTATTCACTTCTTTTCCAAATTACTTGAAGCTAATGGATTCAAGTACTTGTCTGAAAAAGATGAATGGAGTGATTTATCCGCTGGTTTGTACTACACTACAAGAAATTCCACTTCATTGGGTGCTTTTGCCGTTGGTAAAGATTGGAAACCAGAAAATGGTGTTGGTATAGTTGGCTCCCATATTGATGCTTTAGCTGCAAAATTGAAACCAGTTTCTTCAAAGACCAAAGTTGATGGTTATGAACTATTAGGTGTTGCCAATTATGCTGGTGCGTTATCCCCAACTTGGTTTGATAGAGATTTGGGTATTGGAGGTAGAGTTTTGGTTAGAGTTGAGGATAAAAACTCAAGTACTGGTTACAAAATTATCTCAAAGCTAATTAGCTCTTCTCCTAAACCAATTGCAAGAATTTCCACTTTAGCTGAACATTTTGGTGCTGCAGCTGCACCACCTTATGATAAAGAAACCAAAGCCATTCCAGTTATTGGTTACAATTCTGGTTCAGATTCAGAACCTACAAAAGAAGAAAAGAAATCACCTTTAATTGGCAAACATCCTATAGACTTGCTAAGATTCATTGCTGAACTTGCAGAAACTTCAGTCGCTGATATTGTTCAATTAGACTTGGACCTTTTCGATGTTCAACCAGGTACTAAAGGTGGATTGAGAGATGATTTTGTTTTCGCACCAAGAATTGATGATAGAGTTTGTTCATTTGCTGCAATCAATGCATTGATTGAATTTACCAAAAATGGTCCAATCCCATCTGATTCTTTCAGTCAAGTTTTATTATTTGATAATGAAGAAGTTGGTTCTTTGACAAGACAAGGTGCTAAGAGTACATTAGTTAACTCAATCACTGAACGTGTCATTGACAGCTTAGTTGGCTCAAAAGATGTCTCAGTCGAAGTTGCATCAAGAACTGCATTTGCCAATTCTGTTATCCTGTCAGCTGATGTTACCCATTTGTTGAACCCAACTTATAAAAGTGAATATTTAGATGATCATTTTGCAGTTCCAAACAAAGGTATTACGATTGCTTTAGATCCAAATGGACATATGGCCACTGATTCTGTTGGACAAACTATAGCTCAAGAAGTTGCAAGATTAAATGATGATGAATTGCAATATTTCCAAATCAAGAATGGCGCTAGATCTGGTGGTACCATCGGTCCAACAATCTCAAGTAACACTGGTGCAAGAACAATCGATTTGGGTATCCCACAATTATCAATGCATAGCATTAGAGCTGCAATTGGTGTCAAAGATGTTGGTCTCGGTGTTAAATACTTCAATGGATTTTTCAAATACTGGCAAGATGTGAACAAATCATTCGGTGATCTATAAGCAAGAGCAAACACAAATCATGTATAGATACTCTAGGAACGTATAACATTCAAAATTGTTCAAAAAAAAAGTATAGACTACCATATGAGCTTGAAATCTCGGGCGGGCGCTTTCGTCCGACGAGTAAAAAATACCGACAACTGCAGGATTCGAACCTGCGCGGGTAAACCCAAAAGATTTCTAATCTTTCGCCTTAACCACTCGGCCAAGTTGCCTTGATATCCGTCGGTTCTTGTTTTAGGCACACCGGTATATACACTACATCCGAACACCACTGTGTCCCCAACCGATTAAATCTCCAGCTGTTTACATTTCAAGATGCATACAGGCCAAATTACTAATCCCCGTTTGAACACATATGATTTTTTTTGGGCGTTGTGTTGTACTACGTTTCAATTCGTTTACAAACCAACAAGCCCAAGTCCTTCTACAAACATGAGCAAGAAAGTTACACTCAACACTGATATCGTTTTATTTGATCTAGATGGAACACTAGTTTATACAACAGATGTTGTTGAAGCTTTATGGAGTGAAATATGTGACCAGTATGGGGTTGATAAAACCAATTTTTTTGAACATTCACATGGTTCACGTACTTCAGAAAGTTTTGCAAAGTTTTTCCCAATGATTGATAATACTGATAATAAAGCGGTTTTAAAACTTGAAAATGCTATTCCTGATCTTCATGGTGACAAAGTCAGAGTTATTTCAGGTGCTATTGAGTTATTGAATGGACTTGACAGAGAAAAATGGTGTATTGTTACATCAGGTAACAATTATATCGCACATAGTTGGTTCAATAGTATTTTAAAGACAGTGCAGAAACCAACTACATTTATTACAGCTGAATTGGTTAGTAAAGGGAAACCAGATCCAGAAGGTTATTTGAAAGGTACTGAAATATTGAGTAAAAAGTTGAGTTTATCATCACCAAAATCAATTGTTTTTGAAGATGCCCCTGTCGGTGTTAAAGCCGGTGTGGCAGCTGGTGCAACTGTTATTGGTGTTTCTAGTGGGTTTGATGCTCAATTGTTGTATGATTCAGGTGCAAGCTATGTTGTCAAAGATTTAACTCAAGTTAAAGTTATAGATGGAGATAAGATCACTTTGGAAGTTGCTTACGATTAAGAGATATACATAATGGATAATTATAGATTATATACATGTATATTGCATACTTTTAATGTTGTATGTACATATGGAAAAACTAAGTGGTTCTGGTGCTCGGTTAATTGTTCTTCAATTGTTGTTGTTCTTTTAGTTCTTTAAAAAGCTGATCTTTCTCCTTTGCATCAGTGAACCTTTCATAGAAATGGAATATTTCAAAGCAAACTTCAATCATAATGAGATAGATAATGATCCACTCTAACCTTGTACTCTTTTCTTCATTTAAAGTTGACATCAAAGCTCTTGATTCATCAGTTGCATAATCTAATTTTTTATTCAAAATTGAGATTCTTGGAGAAATATCCAAATTGTTTGAAATTTGTCTATAGATTTTCTCTAAATTTGGTTCACTCCAATAGAGATCTGGTATTTCAATCAATTCAGAGTATAAATTCAATTTCCCTCTTAATAAAAACAATCTTCCAGTAGATTTCAACAACTCCTTTTCGGTTAAATTCAATTTCTTACCCATTGATAAATGTTCTGACATCTTTCTTGTCTGTGAAATATGTCTTTCTAATGCATTTTCAATTATAGCTAATCTTGTTGATCTTGATAACCCAGATGAAAATGCAGCTTTATCCAATAATTGTTGCTCAGAATCACTAGAATTTATAACTATAGTATCTTCATCCAAATATGAGCTTGATTCTAGTTGATCAGTCTCTACATAGTCCATATCTTCGGATTCAGGGAAAGGGTATAATGACACCATATAATTCTTCAACAATGGTAAAATTTTTTTCTCAACATTAGATTCATCTAACCCCCAGACAACCAAAGATCCGTTCGATAATATCAGTACATCATGTTCTTTGTCATATTTGAAATACAAAATCTCATTGGGAATTAAAATTTGAGCTTGTAAATGGTTATTTTCAAGTATCTTGTCAAAATCATAAGATTCACAGGTGGTGAATGTAGTGCATGGTTTGAGACTTTGTTGGTTTTTAATTTCACTGATGAATGAAGCCTTTTGATGGTTACTTTGGTTAGTTGGTATTCTTTTCTTTGTTCTTCTCAGTTTCTGAACATTTGTGGTTCTCGTTGTTTTAGGAGCTTTAGTTTGAAATGAATTTAGACGGAAAGAAGTTGAAGATATTGGTCTTGTGAAAGGTTTGAAACTTGGTCTGAGACTTGACTGTCTAAATATGAGTCGATTGATCATCTTATTAATGGTTTGAGATGGCAGTTGCTTGGTGTTTCTATCGTCTATTAAATGTGTCAAAATATATTCAAACTTGATCTTATCACCATGTTAAATTTTCATTAGTGGATCTGTCATTCTTCTCCGTGTCAACTTGTTTAGGTTCGCGAATACCGCGAACACATTTTATAAACTGCTCAAGGCTGTGGAAAATTAGGCCTGCCTAGAGGAGCCGTCTGGATTCTGGATTCTCGAGTCGACGGTGTACAGGGGCAGGTTGAAGGTTCTAGGCTCTACAGCTCAAGAGAGAAAGGAGAAATGCCTTTAGATGCTCACCTTTCGAGGATGTTGGTTTTTAAACACAAATTTATCTCTTCAACTTATCCAGGGACCAGTGACATGGAGCCCGTCTAGCTTCCCTCTCTCTAGAATCTCGTTCAGCCTATACAGCTCCACTGGCCAGTCTTTGGGCAGGCGACGGTGTAATATTCCAGGCAGAGCCTCTCCCTCCGGAGCCTGGGCTGGAGCCTGGGCCTGTGCACGTTCCCTTGACGCCAAATCGCTTAGAGTGTTCTATTTTAAGCCCATGAGATCAGGTAAACAAAACGACGTCTTATTCAAACAATAAGCCAATCCACAGTACATTCAATGAAACGTCCTACCTCGCAGCCTATTTCTTTTCATCAATGCTACCAAGCTATTCGATCTTTCCACTCGAAAACAACTATATTTAGTCAAAGAACTAAATTTAAACTGTGTAATTCGATTTGGGCGAAATTTCATCTTTACGCGTGGTTCCTTTGTTTTCTTCTTTCCCAAAACGGAATATTAATTACGTGAGTCAATAAGAGAACTGAGTAAAATGGCAAATAACATTGAAATATTATAGCCCAAAAGCGTTTATTCTTCATTATTAAAGCCATTTACTCAATCCACAATGATTTGAGCTTTCAAAGTGAGTTTCCAGCTCAAATTGGGGCCATTTAAAGGTCAATTTTGGCGTCTCTGTCATAATTATCACCGAAGAAACGAACACCTCGACTCTTCATTCAATAAAAGCGCCAATAATAGCTCAATTTTCTCTCAAACTTTATGAGCATATTCCTTATTCAATTCCCTACAATTTGAAGCTATTATCACCTAAATCTAACCTCTTGTTCCCTTGTAAATCAACAATTATACACTTACCCTGTTCCTAACGCTAGAGCCGAACGCACAGCATCTTCGAATTTTTTGAAAGATCCACAAATAAAAAAATAAAAAAAAATACCAAACAAAAACAAAACTTGAACTGGACAAGTTTCATTTTAAAAACATCCACCAACTCTTTTAAATATTTGCTTCTTACCCTTGTTTTTGTTCGTTTAACGGATTCTTTCACACATTTAAGAGAGATCACAGTATCATTTACAGAACAAAGCCTTGCTCGCTCTTTTAACATCTCATTCAAGATCAATAATTCACAAAACCGCTCTCTGTTTTGCCTTGGAGGAGAAAAAAAAATAATCCAAATAAAAGATTTCAAGTTGAACTTTAAGAACTAATTATAATATACTGAAAGCATAATGTGTGGTATTTTTGGTTATGTCAACTATCTAGTTGAAAAGTCTAGAGGTGAAATTGCTGATACCTTAATTGAAGGTTTACAAAGATTGGAATATAGAGGTTATGATTCAGCTGGTATTGCCATTGATGGAGACAAACCTGATGAAACTTTGATCTTCAGACAAATTGGAAAAGTTGCAGCTTTGAAGAAAGAATATCAATCACAAAATTTAGATCAAAATGTCAGTTTTGTTAGTCATGCTGGTATTGCACACACTAGATGGGCTACACATGGTCAACCAAAACAAATCAACTGTCATCCTCAAAGATCTGATGTCAACAATGAATTTGTTGTAGTTCACAACGGTATTATTACAAACTATAGAGAATTGAAAACTTTGTTGGCTAAAAAAGGTTATGTTTTCGAAAGTGACACTGATACTGAATGTATTGCCAAATTATTCAAACATATTTATGATACAAACATTAAAAATGGTAATGAATTAGACTTTAATGAATTGATGAAACAAGTTATCTATGAAATTGACGGTTCTTATGGTCTATTGGTTAAATCTTCCCATTATCCAAATGAAGTTGTCGCCACTAGAAAAGGTTCTCCATTATTAGTTGGTGTTAAAACCGAAAGAAAATTGAAGGTTGACTTTGTTGATGTTGAATTCCCTGATATGGATAACGTTGAAAATGAATTACCAGCTAATCAAAGAAATACTCATCAAAATGGTACTTTGTTACCTGTTGCTCAAGGTGAAAGTGGGTTACGTCATTCCCAATCAAGAGCTTTCTTGAGTGAAGACGGTATGCCACAACCAGCTGAATTCTTTTTATCTTCAGACCCAGCCTCTGTTGTTCAACACACCAAAAAAGTTTTGTTTTTAGAAGATGATGATATTGCACATATTTATGATGGTGAATTACATATTCATAGAGCAAGAAGAGAAGCTGGTATTTCAGCTACAAGATCAATTCAAACTTTAGAAATGGAATTGGCACAAATCATGAAAGGTCCTTTCAATCATTTCATGCAAAAAGAAATTTATGAACAACCAGATTCTACCTTTAACACAATGAGAGGTCGTATTGATTTTGATAATCACGTTGTTAAATTAGGTGGGTTGCAAAGTTGGTTGACCACAGTTAGAAGATGTAGAAGAATTATAATGATTGCTTGTGGTACTTCTTATCACTCATGTTTAGCAACAAGATCAATCTTTGAAGAATTGACAGAAATTCCAGTTAGTGTTGAATTAGCTTCAGATTTCTTGGATAGAAGATCCCCAGTTTTCAGAGATGATACATGTATTTTCGTTTCTCAATCAGGTGAAACTGCTGATTCCATGTTGGCTTTACAATACTGTTTAGAAAGAGATGCATTAACTGTTGGTGTTGTTAATTCTGTTGGTTCTTCAATTTCAAGAGCAACCCACTGTGGTGTTCATATCAATGCTGGTCCAGAAATTGGTGTTGCATCAACAAAAGCTTACACTTCACAATATATTGCATTAGTTATGATTGCATTATCTTTATCAGATGATCGTGTTTCCAAAATTCAACGTCGTCATGAAATTATTGATGGTTTGAAGAAAATTCCAGAACAAATTAAAAAAGTTTTAGATTTGGAAACAAGAATTAAAGATTTATGTACCTCTGAATTAGCTCAACAAAAATCATTATTATTATTAGGTAGAGGTTATCAATTTGCAACTGCCTTGGAAGGTGCCTTGAAAATTAAAGAAATTTCTTATATGCATTCTGAAGGTGTTTTAGCTGGTGAATTGAAACATGGTGTTTTAGCTTTAGTTGATGACCAATTACCAATCATCGCTTTTGCAACAAGAGATTCTTTATTCCCAAAAGTTATGTCATCTATTGAACAAGTTACTGCAAGAGCTGGTCGTCCAATTATTATCCACAATGAAGGTGATGATGTTATCAACACTGAAAAGGCTTTAGCAACTTTAGAAGTTCCATTAAGTGTTGATTGTTTACAAGGGTTGTTGAATGTTGTTCCATTACAATTGATTTCATACTGGTTGGCTGTTAACAGAGGTATTGATGTTGATTTCCCACGTAATTTAGCAAAATCTGTTACTGTTGAATGAATTCAATATTCAGAATAGAAGATTTTTATATTATATTGTTATTGGGTTTATTATTTTTTCGGAGAAATTATTATACATGATATTATTGACATGTGAATTATACCATTGTTCTGTTTTTTTTTATACATATTGTTGTTGTTTTCATGATACTGGAATGCTTTGAAAGTTGCGGATAATTTTTTGATACATCCTGTGTTATGTTTACTGTTTTTGTTTATTGTCATGCCACCAGCCACCATAACAGGTTTCCAGATTATGAATGCTTTGTGGTCATGTTTGTTTTTACCTCGAGCAAAACTATTTTAATAGATGTGTTTTCTTACCTTGAGTCGAGTTTAATTTGTATCTATAAATGCAACGTTCAATTTAAGGTAATATGATCACTGTAATTATGTTGGTAATATGGTACCGCGCCCAGCTCATAGGTTAATTTAGTCATTGTAGGTACGTCGTTGATGCTAATTAACAATATTATCACTACCAGCTCTCAGTAGGTTTGATAATTGATGGCTGGAATTGCAATGGGGATATCGTATAACCAAGTTCTTCTAGCTAGGTGTAATGGGCATTTGATACATGGATATACTATTGAATATTATAGTTCAACTAGTATATCTGCTGGTTCAGTAGTCAGGACTCAGATCGAGCAGATTTCAATATGAAAATGGACTTTGAAGGCCGGCAAGTTGACATCAAATACATGTTTTTAGCCACCTGGCCCTCATGAGGCACTAACTGATCAGTGATTAATTTGAATTTCATGAATACCTAAAACCTTTCAATGTATATCGGTCAATGTTTGAAACATAGGAGCCTTTGGCGTGCAATTACATCCTCCATGGCCTACATAGTTCAAACTGTACAGGATATCATGTTAAAATTGATGGATCTTTAGATTTTTCACGATCCATAAATCAGTCCCCTACATTTTCATGCAGAGTCATGCGAAGCATGTCTTCTTTGCATGAAGACGTCGATTAAAGTTTTTGATGGACCCATATTAAACTGAACAAAGAAACAAAATCTGGTTCATCTGTTGCAAGAATTAGATTCTAGAATACAACAGGGTCCCGAATACTGGGGCTTTAAACTTCTGGTCCTTTGGTACCTATAGGCTCGCGAGTCAAGATATACCAGAGAAGCCTGGTCGTCGAACCAAATCTATGAAGATACACACAACGTTAATGGTAACGATTATATTTAGAGCACAACATTTATCACATCATGAGTAGTATAGCTATACAGCTTCACACCGAGAATAGCTTAATAATTAGGTTGCCTGGTGGAAACTGGGGTATGCTCTACATTGAAATCCAGTACGTTACCATCAAAATCCGGATAATTCAGCTTGGTTTTAACTAATTCCTGTACATTCTGCTCATCTGCAGCGTCCATTGATCCAAATGATTGTTCAACTTAGACAATACATGGAATTTGGTACTACCTACATGTAACGTCATTAGCTAGCTGGCTCCTGTATACATGCGATCTTGCCTCAATGATCATGATTCATAAGTGTGCACCAGTGTCTTTAGCTGAAGGTACAAAAGGCATCAATGCAAGTCTGAGCTGTTTCATGAGTTCTACATTTTTTGGTGGGAAATATTAATATTAATTACAGCTGGACTGTCCGACGTTTTTTGGTTATAGCAAATATTTTCAACTTTCGAGCTCGCTTGTACTATTCACTGGACAACGATCTTCCTTGTACATCCATGGTTTATATTCATGCTAACAAAGTTAGACGTAATACATAGTGCTATATATTTGGAAGACTGGGCGCTATCTCGTTACAATATGTTAAGCTAGATTGACGTCAAGTTACAACTTACTGCCCAGCTAAACGTCTTGAAATAAGTTACGTTTCAAGATGGAGATTAAGTTTTTTCGACCGCTCTGCTCCCCAGCCAAAATTTACTTCTTGAGATGGAACTTGACAAGGCGGTACTGTTGGAGGCTGGAGCTCAAAAGAACCTTAAATCAAGAAGTTAAAATGAGGTCGCCCCAAATCATGATATTGTAAGTATTAAGTATACACTGCTTTACTTTGTCGATATCTTATATTATAATCTAAGGATAAGTGGTTGACTTGAATGAAATAATCAACAAGGAATTTAAACTAGAATATCTCGAACGCTGCTCGCCATATAATAAAGTTATGCGCCGGAATGAGTTGATCAATCATGTTATAATATAATAATATTCTTGTTAAAGTATAGTCGATAATATGGTAGATGTTACACATCAAATATAGTTAGCCAAACCTAGTGTACATCCGGTATACTGTGAATGATTTCAGGGCCTATTCTCCTCGACTTTGATTAATAGAATAGCTAGCTGTCCAAAAATTTTCAACTAATTGGTCACTATATTAATATTTGTCATTAATAATATGCCATGAGCGCAGGTCAGCTTATAGCTGTTTAAAAATTGATCACTAAGCCGTAGATATATTGATTATAAGTTAATATTATAACTAGTTGACAATATTAATATTGTTTCCAGCCATATTTTGCCGAAGTAAATTAAATATAAGTCATGTAGACTCAAGCTACTTTATATAATATTAGATCAATATATTAATATACTCGTGGCTACAGTAGTACATGGCTAATTAAAATATTTTAGACGTGTTATACGTAGGGTATGATTTTCACCTAATTATTCGAGGTACTTCATATTATTCGTAATGTCCGGCTTAATTATTTAATGATATAGTTAGCCAGCTCATGTGTACGGCCAATATTAATTAATGAGCTTCTTTGCCCTCTCATGTTATTTAAAATCAATGATCAGTACAAAGAACGAAGCATTGTGCACTTAGAAGTTAGCTACCGCTTTTTTAAATTCATGGCTCTTTCTACAACCACATGAAGAACATTTTGGTCGAGGTGATTGTCCCACATCATGTAGCCTTTCGTATCGAAAAGCTCATGAAGATCTGATCTACATTGAATTTGCACGTCCTTATCGCCTCTTCGCTCTTGAAAGCTTAGCGTGTACATAACTTTCGAGGTTTGTTTTGTACTCATGGACCATGGTTCTAGTGGAATTTGGAACAAAATCCGAGAAATATTGAAGTCTTCAACAAAGTCGAGATAGGTACATGTACCAATCAACACGTCGTAATAACTTGAATAATAGTGAACAATACGTCCTATTGACCATATTTATTTTATATTGTCGTAAATGTTGAGCAACATAGCATGGTTGAGTGAGCAATGGACATGTTATTCAAGATAGAGAGCTGACGTTGGTGGTGATTGGTGCAGGGCAGGGCTGAAGCCTGTCGAAATTGAGGGACACGCGGATTTTGCAACTACCTTCAATTTCCGTGGTACTTTACGGTGAAGTGAAATCCTTGGGCACAAGTGACAATACCAGTCTAGATTGATGTAGGCCTTGTTCTTAAATACACAGTTGCTCTTGCTCTCGCAGCCTCGCTTACTCACAACTATCTGCTTGCAGTGGTGCAGAGGCACCTGGTATCCACGTAGCTCTTCCAGGTGATGCAAAGAAGGCTACTTTATCTTGATCAAAGTTAATTCGAATCTTCAAACTTCGATTGTTTCGACAGATCCATTTAGCATGTGTTGCTTCAATTATTAAAGAGGTATTGCCTTTTGAGTACGTTAGCTTCGTGTATATTCAACGTAACCTTATATGACCAATACTTAGATTAATCATATTGCAATAATTGTAGTATGTGGCATACAGTGCTACATATGGCTAGATGAGCGATCAAATTTGCGTTAAAGATCTTGATAAAATGATCTTCACCCAAAAAATCAACAATAAGCTGAATTACACTTTATATAAGCAAGCTGGTCAAGTCAAGAGTAAAGACCGCCTGGAGATTGACAGCACATGAGCTAGCTGCCTGGTACACCAACTACATAGGATGCTGTTGATAAGTTATAACTAATTGCTGATCAAAATGTTCTAAGTCCTGACTTACTTTTTTCAATGGTATGACACCCATTGCAGGATAACAAATTTACTAGTTGGACGTGTTGGTTATTGACCTAGCTCGGAGCCCAACCAAATATCAACGCCCAGTACTATATACTACGATGTCTGCAACATTGACGAATATGCTTCGACTAAAGAACAATATTTTCATACGCTCTTCCCTCTCACAGCGGGAAATATTCCACCGTCATAACTTGTCTTTCCTATACATGAGTACACGTTTATTAACGCTCTTTCACGTATTACTATGTTTGTTTCGCTTTAAACAGTATTGAAGGGGAATGGATCTAGTAGCACACAAGCAGCCAACCAAGTTTGTATTTGAGATTGAATTACACACATATCAGTTTTAATTAAAGTTTTCAGAAAGCGTTGGTGACAGCAGGTAAGGCATCGTAGATCTTTCTGATTATACATATTGTAGTCGGAATTTGAATCTTGGAGACTTCGAAGTTTGAGGTGATCAGCTTGATTGAGTTCATAGGAAGGATACGCTTTGATATAAGAGTGGAATCACTACTGTTGTGTGGTGTGATTGATTGAACGCAATCCGATGCACTCAATTAGAGGCCAAAGTACTGTACTACTATGTTTGAAATCTAGTGCATGCCAATACACTGATGATTTGGTTCAGATGATATTAACGACTGATCTTTAATGGAAACCATCGATAAACACATTGGTTTATTGGTTGTAATTGAAAGAAGTCAGTACATTACTATATTACTCGACTGTTTGTATATCACAGACTCATATCAAACAATATATTAAATACAATGTACACATGCATGAGCTTCTTGATCTCTTCGGTTTTCCCACTCAATCACTCCTGGGACCTGTACAGTGTACACTCTTGAGTTGAAATATTGTTTCACTTTGAAACAGCAGCTAGTAACTAGCACGGTTAGTAGCACTTTCGAGAAAGACCAGCGTACTGTTATGCAGCGCAGGTGTGTATCTGTACTTCACGAAGCACCAATACATTATACTAAGCACGGCTAATAATTTAGAATTACAACAATTCATTTGTTGTAGTACCACGTATTCTCATTACAGGAACATTGTAACTTGTAAGCTAACTGTTCAAAGTTGAGAGCTGACCCAACTCTCAATGTCAACGTAATTCGTTACTAGTTGCTACATATAAGTGGTAATGGTCGATTGTTAGAAGCGCCCGAGGAGATATGGTCAGCACGCGTCTGATAATAGTTGATAATTATACCACCAATTAATATACAATCCTGTTAATATCTTCGTAAGTTGCACCAGTGTAGCTTTAAAGTTTAAAACGTAGAAGATTTGGGAATAGATCTCTAGCGAGTGACACAGTACTATATCAAGCTTGTTTGTTCTAATTTGCTGGTGAAAGTAGAGCCATATTAAATTAATCAAAGTGAATTAATCAAACAAGACGTAGATAAGTGATCAGTTGATGGCGGAAGCAGGCTAAAGCTCGATTACTGATTACTGATGAACTTGTGTGCTCGAGGGGCCTTGTATGTCTTAAGCATTGGCTCATCATCGTCACTTCAAAGGAATCATGCTCATGCTCATTCAAAAAGTTGGTTGTAGCTTTTGTGGGCATTTGAATATGGTTCATCCAGGCTGTCAGCCTAGGATTTTCAACTTTCTAACGGCCTTTAAGGGAGAAAAGGCTTAAAGCGGTACCAAGTTGTACCAGTTAGCGAGACCTGTCTCGTCCAGGCTCCAGGCTCCACAGGGAAAGCTGAATTTCTTCTTTCAGGAGTCCAGGGCCGCAGCCTAATTTTTTTATGTGTACCATCGACCAGGGATCAAAAGTATGGTTCACCGTATACGCCTAATCAAGATAAGAAAAGATCTAAAACCAGATGTCAGCTTCTTCAAAATTGAAAGATCTTCAAAGAAATACCTGCTGCTGTTTAATATAATTGAATCTAATATGCAGTAGGTTTAACAGCTCCATCCATAGATTGTATTCATATACATAATTAGTATATGCGACTTGGGGGCTTGTTGTACGTCGACATGTATTTCAACACGATTAATTGAAAGATCGTAATTCACTACGAAATGCAGCAGCAAATACAAAGGCCATGAATTACCTTTTTGTTAAGTCGTTCAAATATTGAAAGTTCCAACTCTATCAAATTACAGAATTAAATCAGTCCAAGCTGTTCATCATAAAGTTGTAGCTCAAGGAGTTGTCCTGAATATTAAAAGCCGTGATCATCTCAATTCAGATTTTCTAACCCTTCTGGATCTTAATTTTTTATCCTTTCTTGTATTTCTCCAACTATCAACAGCTCTTTGAATCAACCCTCTATGATCTCTAATCTCAGGATTCAACGATGCCAAACTCCAGCCAATCTCATTACATTCCTTTTCATATTGATATCTGTTTCCTTTATAATCTTCAAATGAACACATAGCTCTTGGATAAACACAATTCTCCAACAAAAATTGTTGAGATAATTCTGATAATGCTTCCGAAGGGTTTGGTGGTGGACATTTGATGGTAAAATTCCTTATTATCTTTTGTTTTGAATATGAAAAGGTTAATAACTCTTCACCAGTGGTTAGATCTGTTGTTAGTTGTGGTTTAGATGCTGGAATTGGACCTGGTTGGGTTGTATGTTGTAATGAATGGTGGAAATGATGGCTTGTGTGGGAGTGAGATGATGGTGATGATAAAGATGCGCTCTTCTCTCTGTAAGTCTTGCAGACTTTATTGGATGTAATAGATGAGCGGCGTGAAGATATTGATGAAGTGGCTGTTGTTGCTGGTCTTGATTTTCTAGGGGATGTTGGAGATTTTAATGGATGATTCAAGCGGCTAAACTGAGTAGATGTTGGTGATGCTAATGGTGTGCTTAATGGTGAATTGAATGACGTAGTTGGTGCTGAGGTTATGAAGTATGAATTAATATCATTTTGTTGAGTGCAACTTGATAAAAGTGGTTGACATGATGAAGATGAAGATGCTGTTTTGGATATCGAACAACTTTCTGATGAATACTCAGTGGATATTGTTGGGAATTGATCAAAATCATTAACTTTTTTGTTCAGTTGGAAAGAAGCAAACCCGTTGTCATCGTTTTGAGTATTGCTAACTGGCACAAATTCTTCTTCATATTTATCAAAAGCTGAAGTATCTATTGGAAATTCAGTCAATGGTGTTGTTGTTGCTGAAGTTAAATTCTCATAGATCGCTGAGCTTTGGAACGTACTAGGATGAAGGTTTGAGTAGTTCATTTGACTATTAAAAGTTTCAACAAAATAACCTTGATATTGAGTTTCATGATTATTATAATCAACCTGACCAGCACCTGAATTGTTTGAATAAGTTTGATAAGTTTGTAATTGATTAAAACCACCACTACCACCAACACTTGAATCCAAGTTCAATTGATCATAGTTCATATTATTATACTGATGATCGTTTTCACTTTGTTCATGGTAAGGATAGTGACTAAACATTGAGACGTCGTGGAAGTAACTGACTTGCATTAGCGATGGGAAGGGAATGTTGACGTGTAAAAGCTATGATTGGGAGATAAAAAGCAAGCTAAGGTATAATGAAGCCAAAGAATAATAGAACTTTGTTTGAAGTGATTGTGAATGCAGAATGTAGTTTATAACTTGTTGTTGAATTTCTAGGATATACACCAAGATATATATACTCGACGAATAATTTGATAGACGAAAACTTTTTGGTTCACCATAAGTAAGTCCTGGTATGTGCTAAAAGTACTAAATACGCATTGAGACAAACTTCTGTATAACCAAAAGTTTGGGCTGCAAAAGAAGAAAAAGTATCTGCATTAGAAAAAAAAAGTATAAGCTTGTTCTGCAACAGTGGAATCTCTCCATTCAAGAAGTTGAGTTTAAAAAATGTGAGATTTGAAAATCTACAAGGGTTTACCACACAAAAGCCTCCAAAACGTCTTGTTGGTATGATTCCATGTCTATTTACCGACTCTCATGAATGGCAGATGATGCACGTCTACTGCATGCTGATGACTTATTCTGCACAAACTTAGGCTCAAACATCTGTATGTGTATGCATAACTGCTTCTATTGAAATTTCTCAAGACCAAATTTGTACGCACCCAAGTTTTCTGAATTCCGGCCATGTTAATTTTTACTTCTTTGTTCGTTAATACCCGTTGACTGATAGATAATAATTATTACACAGTAGCAATAAAGAAGTTGAATAACTAAGCTTGAAACATATCCCTACACCTCCATTGTATGGTACATAATGAGCTAACCGGGAAATCAAACCCAAGCTGTAGACTTTTGTCTCTATTACAGTATCTGGAGGGGTTAAAAAGACTGGATCTAGAGTAACAAATTGTATCATGGAATAGGACAGTGTTGACTGGAAATTGTGGTTGACGTATAATGACTAAATTATCCTACAACCGTGGTCCAAGGTACCAGTGCAAATTATAATTTGGATCTTGTTTGATGGTTGACACAAACAATCTGATATTTAACCCTTCGAACACCGATCAAATTTCTGAAAAGCCTTTCAGAGTTTCAATTCTAGGACGTATTTTTGACTGATTCATCACCGCCTTGAAAGTTAACGTCAAGGGGCTCTATCTAGCCTATTATGTAACAGCTTCTCGTAATTAACAGTTATTTTTTTATCGGTGATGGGCTGGAACCTAAGAATCCGGGGCATAACATGGTAACTACTAACCATGTAGTATGTTAAAGGAAAACTTTTCAATCAAACCATCTTGATCAACCGTTAACAAAATATCCGGTACTTCAAATACGATTCAAAATAGTTGTGGGTCGAGTTCTATGTGACCTTATTGTTTCTTGTTAAAAATGTGCATTGAACGACGACAAAACACATTGCGAGCTTCAAAAGAGTTCTATGAAAATCACTTGAATTACGTCAATAATAGTAACTAAACAAGCAGTTCGTTTAAATCAAGTTTAAGGGGATTTGGAGTTGACTGTACAGAACAGATCTGAAGTACACGGTTGATTGTCAAAACATACAATGAGAAGACCCAACATGTAACAACCGATTTCCTAATCATCTTGTTTCAACTTTCAAGATGTGTATGAGGTTTTTCGAGATCTACCTGAGCAAAAGCTTCGAAGCTCATATGATGAAGATATATTAATGGGGAGCTGCACACTAACACTTCCAATATAATACTACTCAAAAACCCTGTCGTGACAGATACGTCCTGAAGAATATGCCATATTTTATCTCAGTTATAAGAGCTTACGCGGCCTGGTATCAACGTCTACTGTCTAATCTTTACAACCTAAATTGAAAGCCGCTTTTTAATTGCACGTTAAACCAAATGTATCAAAGTATATCTGGATTTTGTATGTCCTAACTCAAGCAATATACTATTCCGGGCGTCTTATATTCTACTCTATGTTCATGGTTATACTTTCCAAGAGCCGCTTTAAATGTTGTTATAGTTGTCATTACTAAGACTTAGCAGAAGAATCAGAAACTCCAATCTTTGGTTATTCATAATGTTAATCAGTTGAAAAACGTCCTGCACACGAAGCCTTCATAATCCACTCAAGAATCAAGCGATCATGAAACCAGCTATTGTCACAAAAGGGCATCATGCCATTTCGCTGTTTAACTTAGTTTCTTTTGCACAAAGGCGGGTTTTGACGTTTTCATAAGCAATTTAGACTGTATTGGTGAGCTACGTTCGACTTTCTTTTGATCAGCTAATTTCCCAAATCTCTTAACTAACTTTTGTGAATTATTTGATTAACTGATTGTGAAGACGAGTGTAACGGTGAACTGCGATTCATTTCAAGCTAGCTATACGGGGCTCTCCGCCCAAGTTTTGAGTCAAGCTTAATCGACGACGTTTACTTTATAGTTTTGTTCTTTGCATTTAATCGATTGACTAGAAAGCGTAGCATGATACAAACATGGAGCGGCGCTAGTAGTCGGATTATAAGAGGAGGCCTGGTTAATCCACTTGTGTCAATATAACCATACCCCACAGATTAAGTTATTGAATGTTTCTAGCTATAAACTTGATATGTTTTTGGTTCTAATATTTCATAATAGAGATCAATATAGTCTATGTGTTTATATCTCTTTTATATACTTTGTCAACTTCCTGTGCCAGCTACAGTTGTTCTGGTAGTATTCATATTCACGTGACACCTACTGATTAAAACGCAGCTCGTAAATACAAGCTGCGCAAATGAAAATCAATTTTTCTAAACTAGAAATGTACAAGTGTAACGTCGTTCGTCAACTAATCTTTAATATATTACCAGCTACTTGGTCCATGGATGAAGCGTGGAGTCCAGATTTCTAACTCAACTAATTTTCAACGATATAACGTCGAAGATTACAAATATTCCCAGACTGATGATTATCGACTCGATGTAATTGAGGTTCCACATGTTGTCCGGCGAAACTCCGTAATTTGAAGCTAGTTAAGACTTTGGACCCATAAAACATGCCTTTTCAAAAGCCAAATGAACTAAGTTCCATCTTCATCTTTCAATCTGACATAGTTTTCCAAATTTGAGGTGAACGCAGTTTCATTTCATTGGGAATTTGAAGTTCCAGCTTTTTGTCTCGGCACTTCTACGTCTACATTTACAAGTACAAGCTGCTGCTGCAAAGACACCTTTCAAATAGTGTGGTAGAGAACTGCGTGGAGGCTGTAGCCAACTCATCATGAGAAGGTTTTTAGGAAGCCGGTTATCTATTTCCTTTAACTGCTAGCCAGTCAACTGGAATTCCTTAGGGAAAGTTGAATATTCTATCAATGTGTCGATTAATATATGATAGTTGGTGCATATCGGGATACCAGCTCTTCTATTCCCAAACTCAATCGAGATTTTTCAAGCACCTACACATCGGAAAAGCCAAGTTCCAACCCTAGATTAGAAATGTAACATTAAGGAACACATAAGCAGTTCAACTTCTTGTCTGATATAACCGAAGTGCGCCCCTGTCTGATCTCATGTTAAGATGTTAAAGGCATTTGATTGTGTACTGGACTGAAGCACTAGCGACTAGTATACATATAACTTGTAGATCCTCCAAATAATTAACGTCTTGTTGGTCAAAATCTGTCAGCCACTACATAACAGATGTCAGAAGGTCTTGACTCTTGATTCTGATTGATGGATCAAAGTGGAACCAACTACATGCAGGCCGTATCCAGACATGAATTCATCAAATATCCTCTTGAATTGAGAGTTCATCATCATGACTAGACAAAATTCATTGAGATTCATAGAGAATTAGCCAGCTCGATTAGTGTATGACGTACGTTAAATACTCTAAAATGGCTTTGTAATGACGTGGTAATGGTGATAATTGTAAAAGTATAACTCAGCTCTTATATACATATACGATATTAATCGCTAACGTACACTCTCTTATCTATATATTGGCCTGACTATAAATGAATCTTCTTCATATTGGGTGAGTAATTATATTGTGCACTTTCCGGATTCAAGATTAATTACTTCACTCATAAAGACATTTTATTATATTTGACGGTTTAATCAGGGATTTGAAAGGATTGGTCTCATTTAACTGAGATCGTCCTTTCCATACATATGGCATCCAAGTAACTTAATTGCCGGAGCGCTTTCAAATGTAGGCTTAAAGCTTCTTTCGATATGCGACTTTTATGTCAAATTAATTACTCGACACTGGGCCGAAGGGTGCTAATTCATGATCGTTAAATTCATGGGCAGGATATCAAGATCTATCGGTGGATGAATAGCTAAAGCAAGATCAGTATGTCATTACCAAAGTGAATGCTTTTCAGCTGGTTTGTTTGGGGCCATCTTAGCTGCACTGATTGACTCCACCAGCTACAGCACTGCTGTAACTCATATGGTCAATCTATTCATTAATTAGCCTCGCGACGTATTTTAGATACCGTTACGTATCTTGTAAAATCACTGAATCAAACTAACCACAGTTAATTAATAAATAAATCGAGATCAGATTTTGCTTTAATCTCGATCCTCTGCAAGTTTCAAACTCATGAATGCCTCATTTCGTCTATTTCTCATGTATTCCATCATGTTAATGCTCGCTTAATCGTTGGCACCTTCTATGTGCTTGGTGTGCTTTTCAGGTCCAGGGCCCACATATATAAGAGGTTTTGCATGGTTTGACTTGCAACTTCCAAGCTCTCACCAACTATAAAAATTCGATCACTCGTACCTTATACAAGCTGAACTTTTGGTAGACGTGTCTGAAGGCGCTTTGAAGGCTGGGGTGGACCAAATTTCGATAGGTTTTAATGATGGTGAATTGAATCTCGGTGATGCTATACTGCAAGTGATGAGATAGTGGACTTCCCTATTGGGAAGATTATGAGATGTTAGATTTCTGAATTATAGTCTAAAAATACCACATACAGTGTTTTTGTATTAGGGAATAATGCTTTCAACTATTTCGTTTGAGTGCAGTAATTAATTACCATACCTATCTTGTGGTTAAACGTACTTGAGCTTGTACAACGTATTTTGAAGGCATGATACGTCATGAGGAATCATCGCCAGGTCAAACAACTTCGTGATGAAGAACAGGAGAAATAATACACAGCTAGTCAATTAATCGTGTATTGCAACTTTCATCAAGATTATGAGGCATAATTAGAACGCAATATAGTCACGAAAAAAAGTCTGATAGGCTTATACTTAGGTCCAAACTGCCTTTTACTCTGGCAGCTAGAACATTCAGGCATAGCGGAATGAGAAACGTACATCTGTATTGATAAAGATCATGATACCATTTCTTGTACTTTCTGCTGGTCTTCAAGTTAGATGAATAGAAAGAGCTCAGATATTAGTTGGTATCGACTCAATTGATGGATGGTTCGTACAAGGTCTCGCTGAATATTCACAAAAAATTCGTATGCCAAAGGTTGATGGTTCGTAGTTCGTAGTTCACTAAAAATCTTCCTGTATGCAAAACTTGAAATTTCTCACTATTTGTTCACAGTACAGTTCTTGCTGTTGATTGTGGACGCTAATATAAGTTCTCGAAACAAAGCTACCACTTTGTGTCATTTAATCAGTCGCACATATTGGCTGTATTTCACAATAAAACATCTTTCAATTCAAGTACGAAGATTTGAATCCGGATCTCAATTTCGTCAATCAGCAACTGTTTTCATGATCTCTTTTTCCAAATATTTCATCCAAGGGTCGATCAGGACGCTTGATCAAACATGAGCAATCCTATTGTTTGATTATCCCAATTGAAAGGTAATCATTGTAGACAATGTTCAGTATCTGTCATTTATTACAGTTATAATCTCTAGCGATTTTCGGCTGTTGTTCACCTTGAAAGCTTAAATTAGCATTCCCGTCAAATTGATTTACCCGTGAATCGTGATCAATTGATTAAAGTCACTTCCAGTGGAGTGGACCAACTGGTTGGAATCTCATATATCTTCTTGGTTGAAAGTTGCAACATGGACCTCAAACACGGCCACAAGCGGATCTTGAATGATATTTGTTCAATTTAAGCTAGTTAGAGAGTCGAGAGTCGAGAGTCGACACACGAGAATCAGGACACGACATCCTTCTACTAACTGTAGTTCTGAGTTGAAATTCTTGTACAAAAGTAGACATTTTCAGAAAAGCACCTGTCAAAATGCTCAGTGTCTTTCTGACTCTCAGCCTAGTCGGTTCCTGTCATTCTGAAGTTTACGCTGAGGATTGGAGGAGCGCTAGGAAATGTGAGCCACTAGAAACCACTTTGGGCAGGCTCTTTGTGGGGCCAGTCTCCGCGTAACTCTCAGCACACCACATGATGAATGAATTTCAGGTTCACAACCGAATTGAGAGAAGCTCTCTTTGAAATTTGGTAAACAAACAAAAAGGTAAAACGAGAGGCTAACTCGGTGATTGTCATTGAAATTAAAAACAAGATTCAAAAGGTCAATTCTGCTAAAGAAATCTAATCCACTGCTGGGAAACATCAAGGAAGTATCAATCTTCATCTGTTTTCAAATACTTTTTGAAGTGGTTTCACCCTTATTTTGCTCTCTGTTGCAATTTAACCGCCTGATATCCAGCAAAGACTAAAAATAAGAATTATCAAATCTTTAACTTGGAAGTCTGATCTCTTATAATATCAATCACAATCATGTTCTCTTCAAGAAGGAAAAGTCGTGAGCCTGCTGCCACAGTTCAAAAGGGATTTGGTGTCGTGAGTATTCAATCTTGTTGTACTGATGAGAAAGAAGCGCTGTTTTTCATTAATACCCCTGCCAGAGTATGAAGATTATTTACTAACATTTCACATTAGCAACAACAAAATAATGTCAATTCCAATGCCTTAGCTGCTGCTACTGCCATTGGTAATGCTTTGAAAACAGGAACTCCTATCCCTAGATCAAACAGCTTACAAAGAACCTCAAGTATGCAAAGATCTTCCAGTTTCTTGAGTAGAAAGCCAGCATCAAGATCCGGAAGTTTATTGGGATTACAAGGCCCACCTGCAAGTTTCCAGCAACAGCAACGTCAGCATCCACAAGCAGTTCCAAAGAGGTCACAGTCACTAACAGCTGGATCATCTTATGGTAAGAAACTCAATGCTAAAAAATCAACATCATCGTTGTCATCTGGTCCAAGAATGATCAAGAAACATATTCCTGGTCCTTATGGATTAGTTACAATTGAAGTCCCGGCTGAAGAAGAACAAAAACCAAAAGTTAAACCAAGAGGTTCTCAGTCTTTTACAAGATTTTCCGATAGAGGTAGTTTAAGATCCTTTCAATCCACTGGATCGCAATCTTCAAGCCCTCGTGTAAAGAGAGCCATCATTAATGAACCTTTAAAAGAAGTTGATGAAGAAATTCCTGAAGATTTTGAACAACAAGAGCCACTGTATCCAACTGAAGAGACTTATGAAAGTCCAAAAGTTAGTACTCCTCCAAAATTGAATCTAATACATGAAGAAGAAGATCATCACTTGAATGATGCTACACAAGATTTAGAGCAATTGAAACTTGAAAAAGAAAATGAAGAATTGAAATTAAAAGAGACATTGGATCAAGAGCAAGATTTAGAGCAAAATGCTTTGAGTGCAAAAGTTGATCCGTCAGGGACAGTCTCCCCTGTGCCTACTGAAATCAAAGCCATCAAAGAAACTATTGTCTCAACAGAGCCAACTATAAATGCAGATGGTACAATTGAAGGTGCACAAACCCCTGATCTGGAAAATGATGTCTTGGATGAATATACAGACATCCCTTCAACTGCTAAGTCGAATGATACTGTTACTGCTGGTCAGTCGTCATATTCAACTATTGATAGTGAAACTGAACAAGAACATCACGCATCTTCTATGGCACAACAATTGCGCCCAACAATTCCATCTTTACAAGTCAATAACAGCAAAATCGACACAAATGGACCTCAAGATACTGTTCCAGCTTCTGTTGGTTTAGCCAATACTGTGTCTGGGGAGACTGCTGCAAGTAGTTTATACTCAAATGAATCACCAGAGTTTGATGGGGTTAGTTCTCAACCAACTAAATCTAACACAAATGAATCCTCTCAAGACTTGCAAATACCCGCAAGATCATCAAAAAGAGATAGTTCAACGTCACCAAGAAAATCAGCTTTAAAGATTAAATCAAGTTCTACTGTTAATCTGCATGATACTCCTACAAACACTTCAAACCCTTCAAATCCTGCAAATGCTGCGTATCTTTCATTGACAACTGCTGAGAACACCAGATTAAATGCTTTATCTTCATCTAATTTGCCAGCTACAGCATTATCCAGAACAAACTCTTCAAGACACTCTTTAAGACAAGAACCATCTAACAGCAGCAACAACATCAAAACAACCATGAGACCTCAGCAACCTCAAACTAATGGCCCAAGAACGACATTGAGACAAAATCCTCCACAACAACAACAGCAACAATATCCAAAAGTTGCAGCCCCACATCAATTGCAGAAGCGTCCACAATCTGTTGCAACTTCAAGACCTGAGCAGGCTAACAACAATAGACAAGGCAGACCAGCTTCTGCGCAAGGCTTCAGACCACAGTCACAAGCTGCTCCTTCTTCCAGAATCTCCAGACAACCTCAACAACAACATTCACCATCAAATGCTGCTGCATTGAGTGCTGCTACGAAGAAAGCAGAACCATTAAAACCTTTGATCAGATCGTCAAGTTTTGAAAAAGATAGACCAGCTGAAAGTCATGCAGCTTTCAAGAGAAAATCTCTTAGAGATCCTCAAGTTAATAATCATGCTAATGTTGAGTCACAACTTGGATTCTATCGTCATCAAGCTGCACAACAAAATCATCATAATCATCAACATCACCAACCACTGCAGCAGTCCCAACAAGCTCCTCAAGCATCTAATGGAAACGGCCATGGTTTTGCAGGATTCAGATCAAGATTTGATGATTCTGATTCCGACTCTGAAGCTGTTCCAACCTTGAGAAAAGATAAAAAGAAAACGGATTATAATTTTGCTCCTCCTCCAACTAATCCATCATTGAGAAAACCAAAAAGTCAATTTACTTTGAGAAGTGCAAGTAATAGTGCAATCCCTGAGAATGGATCACCAGCAAAATCATTGCCAGAGAAAAGAAATACTCGTTATTTCAGTGAAGCTGATAAAGAACAATTATTTAATGAACATTTAAAGAAAACAGAAGCTGCCTTACACAATGGCGAAAAGAAAAAGAGTAAGTTTGGTGGCAAACTAAAAAAATTATTCGGCAGAGGTAATAATTGAATTGTAAAATAGAATTTATAAGTTATAAAAAAAAGGAAAGTTGTTATAAATTTGTTAAATATTTGTTCATTTATCAATCGTAAGCGACCTATTCGAATATGAATATCATGTATATACATCAATGTTGTTTCTCAACTTTCAAATTCAATCAGATTATCATTTTTAGAAGATTCTTGACCATCCAAAGTTCTTTTGATCTCATCCATATTATCATGCAATACTTTCAACTCATTAGCTCTATCAGTTTCTTTAACATTGCTGCTTAGTGGCACATCACCTAAGGCTTGAATTTCAGCACCTTCCAACAAATCACCATAATCATGAGTTGTTGCATCCCCTCCAAAGTCATCTTCATCTTCCTCCTCTGCGATTGAAGCGGCACCTGTTTTTGATTTGACACCAGCCGAGTCACTGTGGCCATTGTTGTTAGATATGGAAGTTGCAGTGGAGTCCATTCTACGACGGACTTGATTGGCAACTCTTCTGCCATCAGCTAATAATCCGTCAAACATATCACGTAAAATACCACCTTTATCAGATATACTTGTTGATCTGTCAAGATGAATGGAAGATGCTAATGTTTCTGTGAATAACAATTCATAAGTTTCGTCAGCTAATATGACCATACGAAATGTAGCCAAGTTCAATGTTAATGGATGGTTAGGATCTAAAGCAGCATTAGCCTTCATTTTGTCCAAATCTTTTGAATCTTCAAGTTCTATTAATTGTGGTTGTGTAACGGGTTGTGCATACTCAAAAGCTCTTTGGATAAACTCACTAGCTGCTGATAAATAACGTTCACCTTGTTCCCTTTGGAAAATCTCTTGGTCAATGTTGACTTCTGATGGTAACATAATCTCTTCATCATTTGTTTCTTTTTGTCTTTCAACAATTCTATCAGCGATATAACTTTCAATGGATTTTCTAGTTAAATAATCAAAAACTAATCCATCTTGTAAAGGTTTTGTGATGTAAAGTAAACCTTCTGATAATTGTAAAATACCTTCTCTATCAACTTCACCTTTTGATTCTGGATCATAAATCTCAAAAAAGTTTGAGATAGATTCCATCAAATTTCTATTAACAAGTTTATCAAGCCCAACAACGACATCAGTTAATGTCAAAACACCTTTATGATCTTTATCCCAATTTCTAAATAGTCTATGAAGGAAATCATCTGGATGTGAATCATACTCTTCATCTGAAAGGACCCAATCACAAAATCCAGCCATAAATTGTTGGAAAGTTTGGAATTCCATTGATGAAGAACCGGTACCAAGACTTGCCTTATGACTTTGAATACATTTATAAAATCTATCATAAATATTGGATAAATATTCTTGAGAAATATTTGGAGTTCTTGGTAAGTTACGAAGTTGACTTCTCTTGATAAAAGTTTCAATGTTTTGTAAAATGGCAGGTTTATGCTTGTTACGCTCCTGAGCAATCATTTCATCCGTAACGTTTGAAAATTCTTTAAAGGCAACAATTAAAAGTTCTTGGAATTTCGTCAATTGTCTGAATTTTGGATCAGTTGAATTTGGATGAGCAGAATCATCAAGTTGGGAGAAGTAATCCTTCAAAACTGAAATAAACATACCGTCATCATCAATCTCCAGTAATTCTTCACCGTTGATTCTCAATACAGCCAAGGCAACTTGGAAAAGTGTTTTTGGCCCATGCAAGAAAAAAATGTCAATAATTCTAAAGGCAAAAACCAAAGGCATAGAATTTAAAAACAATGATAAAAACCAAGGTAATGACACAACCGAAAGTTGAATATCGTGTTTTGAGATATGGTTCCACAAGATTGGCATTGTCTTTTCAACAAGTGATTCAAACACTTTTTGATCTAATAATGTACCATACATGGTCTTTGAATAGTAGCCTGGAACGTATTTTTCACACAAAACTGACAAAGTCCAGAAGGCTTGTTCTTCAGTTTGAAAGATAAGTAAAGCAGCAGCAACGATATTCATAGCTTGACAATAACCAACATCTGGATTTTTCCATGAGTATGCTGTCAAGACTCTGCGTAATCTACCAATACCCTCTTCTGATTGATAAGCTGAATATTCTGGTAATGAACGGTTTAAATCCTTCTCTATTTCTTCAATTGCAAGTGACTTCTTACCAGCATTATCATCTAATGTCTTCTGATAAACTGAAAGCTCTTGGAAGCGCAAGTACATGGCACCTGTTGTCAATTCCCATATTTCACCTCTTAATCTATTTGGTAGTCCAACTCTAAGCAACTTGTAAAACATTTTTTGACGGGATATACTTAGGTTGCGACCATATCTTCTAAAGTAATCATACCATAACCTTAGTTTAGACTTATCTCTAAGTTTTTTCGGATCTCCTGGGAATTTGAAAATTAGTCCAAGACCTCCTTCTGGTGATTTTATACTATCTTTATCAGCACCTGGTGTGTTTTTCTTGACGATGAATTCAGAATAAAGTGAATTCAAAAATGGTTCCAACTTCTTTGTATTTGGTATATTATCTCTTAGATTAACTTTGAGCTTATGTGAAAACTCTTCAGAGCGTGAGCGAATACCAATAAATTGAATAAGTAACTTTATTCCACAATTTGTGACAATAGATAAGGCAAATACATAAGCTTTAGATGGAATTCTCTCCACTTTCTTAATTGTTGAAAGATTTAAAACCAAAACACAACTTTTTCTATCAAATGAGTCACGGAACACAAGAAAATGCTTTGTTAAGTATAGTTTCCCAGAGTAAACAAAATTTGAATGGTTTGTCAATTGGTTGTCATTTATTCTAGCGGCACCCTTTTGGTTTTCATCAGCTTGCGACACGACCAGCATCTCAGCAGCAGTTTCATCTAGAATTGACTCTCCTTCTGGTAGTTTGAACTCCTCTCTGAACAATTCATCTTTTGAAGGTTTCTTTGGAGCATTGGTCTTATCGAAAAGAGAAAGGGAGGAAGCTCTTTCACGAAGAGTGTTTAAAAAGGACATATCTTGTCGGTCTCCCTTTTGATAGTGATCCTCTGTGCTCTCTATTGGATTAGCTCTTGTGTGGATGTGGAAAGGACCTTTATTAACGGCAATTGGGGTTGTTGTTGATGTTTACCAAGTCCTTTTCCCTTAAAAACAGGCATTCTTAGCTCATCGATCCGATTCAGTATGGGCTTGGTTAGGAGGGTAACCACTGGGAAATTTCCATTGATAAAATGTAACTGACAACCTTTCTTTTGGATGAAAACATTTCTTAAATACATCTCAAGTCGCAATATCATTAGTCTAATTATTTAATAGTTTTATAACTATTTATCCTCTTATTCCCCTTTACAGAATTGAATGTTATTACGGTGTTGCCCTTACCGGGCGTGCACCAGCTGGCACAAAAATAATTAAAGTTGATTTAAACAGTCAATTTTGGATAAATTAATTATTCTTTGGCATATATATATTTAAGTGATGATTATCTATATACTGATATAAATTAAAGGCCAATTGCGTGAAAAAAAAATTTAAAAATTTTAATATTTAAAAATTAGTTGTCCAGCTAATATTTATTTTAATTGAAAATTTGTGAAATTCTGAAAATTTAATTAACAGCTTTCTGCCCATTTGGTCAGGCAGTTAGCATTTTATCATTATTTACCATCAATATCATGGGTTCAAACCTGAGCTCTGATTTTAGGGTGAGTTTTAGTGGGTATTCCTCAACAAGAGGCGAGTCCCACACTGTTCCGTGGTGGAGGATAGGTTTCTCAGTTGGCTGAGAAGGATATTATAAGGAAGCCTGAATTCCAACATAGCGAGAAGCCTACAATCCAAGCGGTTCGTGCGTAATTGCATTCCTCATCCAAGTTCATCAAATCATCA